TTTTTCCCTTAACTTTTGGTGCCTCTACTTGCTAGTCTTAAACACAAACTTGATTCTTAGGTTATTCAGCACTGGGCAGCAGCCAGCCAGAGCACAAGACTCGGAAAATATGCATTCAGTAGTGACAGGGTCATTGCTAGTGAGGACGACCAGCCTCCTGAGGTGTCCTGGGACTTTTAGTGCTGAAATGGCTAGTTTTGAGTGTGATGATTAGTTACCCTAATCAAGATCCAGGATGAGGTCCTGAGGAGAGAAGAGCCCTGAGAACAGCAGATAAACAATGGAGTTTTGCTGTGACTAAGAAAGAGAAACAACTGAAAAGTATTTAAGACTTACATTCTCAAAACTAGACTTGCCCTTTAGTTGAAGTGAAAATTCTTATTTCTCCCTCTCCCACACTTGTGTCTTATGTTTAACAGATCAAAGACCGATAATTCCCTTGGGAGCTGGTATATCATGAAGGCAGAAACAGAAAAGCAGGAACAGCAGTTCTGCATGGTAGGGACACAACAGCTCAGAGTAGCTCACAGACTCCCTTCCTATGGGCGTAACTCATTGACATTTCACCCACTTTGCTGGGAGGGGAAGAGAGAAAAGGAACTAACAGTGTCTACTTTTTTCCTCTAGAAAATTCTTGCCATCATTCTATTAGGTAAGAATTATTTTAGCATGATGGTACATAAAAGGAAACAGAAACTCAGAAAGGTCAAGTCACTGTTCAAGATCCCTTAATTCCTTAGTAGCAGCTTCAGTGTTTGACCTCATGGGCATCTCCCTCAAAATCTTGTGCCTGGTACCTGGATAGAGGCTGGTGACTCCAGCATAAATGCTGGTGGGTATGTATGGGACATGCAAGAGGAAGGAGATGAGCTGGAGAGTACAAACCAGAGCAGAAATAAAGGCTACAAAATGCAGAGCTCCTGGGTAGGGGCAGGCATCTTTCCTTCTCCAGGAAGGAAATTTGATGAAAACTGAGATGTGTGAGAACTTAGACTGATCTGTCTACTAAATAAATGAGATGTCCTGAAAATGGTGCTAGGGAAGTTGAGGGAGAGAGGAGGAGGGAAAACTAGTAAAAGGATCAGATATCTGATGGCTTCTCTTTAGAACTATACCCTAGGGTCTCAAAATGCTTCTGGATGGACTCCATTGGTCATCAAAGTAGGTCCTGGAAAAGCATTAAAAATATTTAAGTGAAGGGGTGCCTGCATGGCTCAGTGGGTTAAAGCCTCTGCCTTTGGCTCAGGTCATGATCCCAGGGTCCTGGGAATAAGCCCCACATTGGGCTCTCTGCTCTGCGGGGAGCCTGCTTCCTCCTCTCTTTCTCTGCCTGCCTCTGCCTATTTGTGATCTCTGTCAAATAAATAAATAAAATGAAATAAAATATATTTAAGTGGGAAGGAGGAGCAACATGGTGGAGGAGTAGGAGACCTAAATTTCGTTGGGTCCCAGGAATTCAGCTAGATAATTATCAAACCATTCTGAACACCTATGAACTCAAAAAGATATCGAAGAAAAGAATAGCAGCAATTCTAGGAATGGAAAAGTGACCACTTTCTGGAAGGTAGGATGTTCAGAGAAGTGAATCTGAGGCGATATATGGGAAGACGGATTGTGGTGGGGAGGGGCCAGCTCCTGGCAAGCAATAGAACAGAGGAGCACAGAGTCGCAACTTTTATAGGTCTACTCCACTGAGGGATGCTGCTCCAGAGGTTAAGTGGGGAGTGGAGCCCTTGCTGAGACAATGTGGTCTCAGGTCCCTTGGGGCCACAGAAAGACCAGGGGTCCATGAGTGTGGCAGAGCTCCCGGGTGTTGGAGCGGGTAAGCTGGCTGCAAAGATGGAGTGGGCTCTCAGCTCAGGGTTGCCATTAACCATGATTCCCAGCACAGTCGGGTCACTGCTCTTTGAGCAGGGACCCCACAAGTGGTAGGTCCAGAGAGACCCACCCCCTTCCTCCCGAGAAGGAGGGGTGCAGGAGCATGCTGCAGAAATTGGCTGGGTTTGGAGAGTCCAAATAGGGCTGTGTGCCAGAGATAGACAATCTGGAAGAAATGGATGCATTCCTAGAGACATATAAACTGACAAAACTGAACCAGGAAGAAATAGAAAACCTGAACAGACCCATAACCAGCAAGGAAATTGAAGTCATGAAAAATCTCAAACAAGTCCAGGGCCAGATGGCTACCCAGGGGAATTCTACCAAACATTTAAAGAAGTAATACCTTTTCTCCCGAAACTGTTCCAAAAAAATAGAAACGGGAGGAAAACTTCCAAACTCATTTTATGAGGTCAGCATTACCTTGGATCCCCAAACCAGAGAAAGACCCTATTAAAAAGGAAAATTACAGACCAATATCCCTGATGAACATGGATGCAAAAATTCTTACCAAAGTACTAGCCAATAGGATCCAATAGTACATTAAAAGGATTATTCACCATGACCAAGTGGGATTTACTCCTGGCTGCATGGTTGGTTCAACATCGTGCAAATCAGTCAATGTGATATAATACATTAATAAAAGAAAGAACAAGAACCATATGATACTCTAAATAGATGTTAAAAAAGCATTTGACAAAGTACAGCATCCATTCTTGACCAAAGCTCTTCACAGTGTAGGGATAGAGGGTACATACCTCAATATCATAAAAGCCATCTATGAAAAACCCACAGCGAATATCATTCCCAATGGGGAGAAACTAAGAGCTTTTCCCTGAAGGTCAGGAACATGGCAGGGCTGTCCACTGTCATTACTGCTATTCAACATAGTACTAGAAGTCCTAGCCTCAGCAATCAGACAACAAAAAGAAATCAAAGGCATCCAATTCGGCAAAGAAGTCAAACTCTCACTCTTTGCAGATGATATGATACTTCATGTGGAAAACCCAAAAAGACTCCACTCCAAAACTGTAAGAACTCATATAGGAATTCAGCAAAGTGTCAGAATATAAAATCAATGCACAGAAACCAGTTGCATTTCTATACATCAACAGCAAGACAGAAGAAAGAGAAATTAAGGAGTCGATCCCATTTACAATTGCACCCCAAACCATAAGATACCTAGGAATAAACCTAACCAAAGCGGCAAACAATCTGTACTCAGAAATCTATAGAGTACTCATGAAAGAAATTGAAAAATATTCCATGCTCATGGTTTGGAAGAATATTGTGAAATATATATAGTGTATATGCTACCTAAAGCAATTACACATTTAACACAATCCCTATCAAAATACCATCAATGTTTTCCAAAGAAATGGAACAAATAATCCTAAAATTTATAGGGAACCAGAAAAGACCCCAAAATAGCCAGAGGAATGTTGAAAAAGAAAACCAAAGTTGGCGGCATCACAATTCCAGACTTTAAGCTCTGTTACAAAGCTGTAATCATCAAGACAGTATGGCACTTTCACAAAAACAGACACAGATCAGTGGAAGAGAACAGAGAGCCTGAATTCTGTGGTCAACTAATCTTTGACAAAGCAGGAAAGAATGTCTAATGGAAAAAAACAGCCTCTTCAACAAATGGTGTTGGGAAAATTGGACAGCTGCATGCAGAAGAATGAAACTGGACCATTTCCTTACACCACACACAAAAATAGACCCAAAATAGATTAAAGACATCAATGTGAGATAGGAATCCATCAAAATCCTTGAGGAGAACACAGACAGCAACGTCTTCGACCTCAGCTGCAGCAACTTCTTCCTAGAAACATCACCAAAGACAAGGGAAGCAAGGGCAAAAATGAACTACTGGGACTTAATCAAGATCAAAAGCTTTTTTTGCACAGCAAAGGAAACAGTCAACAAACCAAAAGACAACCAACAGAATGGGAGAAGATATTTGCAAATGATGTAGCAGATAAAGGGCTAGTATCCAAAATCTATAAAAAATTTATCAAACTCAACGCCCAAAGAATAAATAATCCAATCAAGAAATGGGCAGAGGATGTGAACAGATATTTTGCCACAGAAGACATCCAGATGGCCAACAAACACATGAAAAAGTTCTCAACATCACTTGGCATTAGAGAAATATAAATCAAAACCACAGTGAGATACCACCTCACACCAGTCAGAATGGCTAAAATTGATAAGTCAGGAAACGACAGGTGTTGGCCAGGATGCAGAGAAACGGGAACACTCCTACACTGGATAAAACATGTACCTCATTAGGTTGCTGAATAGCACCTTAATACAAGGTGCTTTGAACAGTGCCCAGCAAGCACCACCATGACCGCCATCTTTCAGCTTAAACACCGCCTCCTCAGAGAGACCCTGTTCTTTTCAGAACACTACTACTCATCACAATCTGTAAATATTTTGTTTACTCTTTGTGTTCCATGAAGACAGGGAATTTGTCTTGTTTACTATTGTATGCTCAGAACCTAGCACAGTGCCTGACGCAGGGTAGGTACTCTAGAAATATATGCTGAATGATTATGGAAGTAGTTATTACTATTACTATACTGGTGCTGTGCCAAGGCAGAAAAGAGGAGAGCTGGGATCTGTAACCATGTAGCTCAGCTGAAGGATGAACAGTTACAAGATGTTCTGTAAACAACAAATGGGTACAGCCCTGATACTATTCTCTTCTTCCAGACCTTACACATCTCTCACCAGGTGCTGAGGTTGGATCTCCTATCTGAAGCTTCCTCTGCTCATGCCCACCATGGCTTAGTGGCGCTCCCAAAGCACTCCCTATATTCATTTCTTGGCTGAGTCCTGTTTTTAACATTTCTGTACTACTTTTTCCACATGTCTTAGCTGATGATGCCCTGCTCTTTACACGTTTACTCTTCCTCATTTTGTGCCTAGTTCACCCCAGATGAGCTCCTTGTGTACCACTGGGCCTTCAGAGTATGCTCAGCACAAGCCTGGAGACTGACGATTGCTGCTGCCTTTTCAGGAAGCTGGCCCAGGGCAGCTCTGCATTCTGCACATGCTTTCATGGAAGAGATGAGGACTCTAGGAGAGGGAGGTCAGCCGGCTGTTCTTACCTGATCTGTTGCGGCTGGTGGTGGTATAGCTGCAGAGAGTGAGAGCATCCTCAGGGAGGCCTCCAACTGTTGGGGAGGCAAAAAGAAGTTGGGTACCACAATGGGCTGTGGCCTAGATGGTAGTTAAGGGACACAATTACCTAGAAATGTCCCCCCTTGCCAGACTGGCATCTCCCCTGGGCTTAGTCACCCCCACTCAGTTCCTCCAACTTATTCTTGTCCATGAAACCTCTGCTCCAGTGGTGCCTTCTGCCTGGAAGACCCTGCCCACCCCTAACAAATCAGTCTATACTTTCTGCAAGTGTTAGTTAAAATAATTCCTCCTCTTGGAAGCCTCTCCTAAAGTCAGCCCATTGTGATTCCTGCAGTCTGCAACACAAGATACTGCTTGTTTTTACTCTGCTAGAAGTCTTGATTTGTTTCAGTATTCCTTCCAGAAACTTCTCAAAGGCAAGGGCAGTTTCCATCAGTTACCTCACTACTTCCCTAGAGCCCTGTTTGAGGCTGATAGGCAGCAACATTTCAATTTGCTTTTTCATTTTCATTCAACTTGCTGAGGACCTGCGGCCCAAAACTGACCTGTTAGAAGTCCAACAGGGTCAGGGTAGAAAGGCGGCTTCAAGGGCAGTGTCCTGCCAGTTGCAACACCCAGGAATGAGGACTCTACAGAAGGGGCTGTCTGTGGTACAGCTTGTCTACCCGGTCTGCATCTGAGCCCTAGAAGCAAGTACCACATCTTGTACTTCTCCGTATCCTCTGACTTAATCCAGTCTGTGCAACACCGTGTTCCAAAAACATCTGTTCACTCAAAGCAATGATTCCATTTGGGAGGGGACTATTTTGGTGTTCTAATTTTTTTGTTTCTGTCCAATAAGCCAAATATGGTTCTGGTTCGAATTGGTTTATCATGGTTCTTCCAGGCTAGACTTTGAACTCCAAGAGGGTAGAGATGATTGATCTCTTTTTCACAGTCATATTCCTATCACCTAGCATAGTACCTGGGATATAGTAAGCGCTCAGTAAGTGTCTAATGAATGAACGAAATGCATCCTTTCCTGCTTTGGCTCAAATCCCTGATTTTTCTATAGAGAGGTGGAGGTGGAGGTGGAGACTCTGAAGGAGAGGAACCTTTTTACCCAAGCGTTTTTTTGAGGCCCAAGTGAAGCAGGATCTGGCTGCTCTGACTACTGGGGACTCTGCCAGTTAGCTGATGCTGTGGGGAAGGAAAAGCTTTGCTATGAGGGGTCACGGATGTGTCTGAAGCTCCAAAGCTCCCCATCTCAGCCACTTTTTAGACAGTGACTTGGGGAAAATTCATTTTTTTGCACCTATTTTTTCACCTGGTTATAGCAATGGTATCTTTTTGAGGATTACATGACTTTATAGACGCAAGTGCTTAGAGCAGTGCCTGACATATCAAGTGTTCACTCAACATCAGCTATTCTTATTTTCCTGGTTCATGGGGAAAAGGTGCCTATTCTCACTGTCCTTACCCCTCAGGTTCCCTGCCACTGAAGTCTGCCTTCTGTTCCCACCTCTGCACCATCCTCCTCAATGCTAATGCCACCATCAGTCCACATTCTACAGGACCTGTCTGAAGTGTCAGAGCACTGACCACTACTTCTCCCCGAAACTCTGCTCCCGCACGGCCTCTGTCCTGCTTTTCGATCTCCAACCAGCTCTTCTCTCCCTCCTCTGTGGCGTGTCTTATTCAGCACTTACAGCTGGGGGCTCCTCGGGGCTCCATCTTGTGTGTGTGCTTCTCCGTTTCCACGCTCTCCCTGCTGCCCTCATCTGTTTTCAGAGGCACCTACCTTTATAGCTGGTGTCCTCCAGGATGTCTTACAGGCACACATGTCCGAAGTGGAAATGTGCCCCTCCCCCACAAACTGTCTTTTTGTGCTGTTCCCTATCCAGTCAATCACCTCGCTTACCTAGCAACTTGTGACAGAACTCTCGGAGCCATCCTTTCTATTTCCTTCTTCCTCTTCCCTGCCCCTATCTAATTCTCCAATCTATGCCCCTCCTCTTCACCACAAAGCAGACTATGCTTTAGGTCACACTTAATCTTTTATTACTATTGCAAGTTTCCCACCTTGTCTCCTTGTTTCTGGCCTTCCCTTCATCTAACCCATCATCCACCCTCTACTTTGCTAATACGTAAACCTGACCAATCACATTCCTGCTTGCTTACCAGTTAATATTTACTGAACACTATGTACCAGGCATTTTGCTAGGTAGTTTACACTGTTAATTGACTTTTCACAATAATCCCACAAGAGAAGTACTATTAGTAGCTCTGTTTTAAAGATAAGGACACTGAAGTTTAACTTGGTTACAGGATAGAGTCCAACCACCTTAGCCGGGCATAAAAGGCTCTCAGAGGTAGCCCTGCCTCACCTCTCACAATTCCACATACCTCTGGGCTCTACCCAGAGTGAACTGCTGCCCACAGGCCAGGCTCTTTCACCTGGCTATGCCTCTGGACACGCAGTTCACTGTGACTAGATCTTTCTCTCCCCTCTGCCTACAGAATGCCTATTCATCTTCGAGGTCCAGCTCTACTGTCTCTCTTGCTGGGATGCCTCCAAACAGTATTACAAGAGCTTCTTCCTCTTGTTCCCTAGCATTGTCCATGTTACATCACAGCACTTAGAATGAGAAACTGTATCACTGCCTGTCCCTGCCTCATAAGGGGAACTTCTGGAGTAAGGTCTATTTCAAATCTGTTTTCAGTAGCAGCACACAGCCTGGCAACACCCAATTTTGATGAATTACTACTTGGGAAGGTCCAAATTAGAGCAGTATTCTTAGTATCTGGGCACAAGTGACTGCTCCAGCACAGACCATATGCGTTCTAAGCACAAGTAAACTGGCTGTAAAGGCAGCAGCGTCAGAAGCCAGGAAGGAACTCCATTGGAGGTGGTCTGCTTTCAGTGTCAGACTCCAGCCATTTCATGGTTTCAGTCTTTTCTGAGTCCCCATCACCTGCCTACCCTTTAGTTTCTCTCTGCTCTGCAACACAAATCACATTTATGTAGTGGGTGCTCATTTAATTTCCTCAAGAATCAATCTGACTTGATTTTCTCAAGAATCTTGTGAAATTATGATAGTTCAATTCAGTCTATATTTACTGATCCCCCCTCTGTGCTATGTTTGGTGCAGGGGATACAGAAAAAGACAAGGTCCCTGACCTACCTGGGCAGTGTACAGTCTGATGTCTCCATCGTGTAGGGAAAGAAACTGAGGCTCAGAAAGGTTAAATTATAGGTCTGACTTCACAGGGTCTAGAAGGGTAAAAAACAGGCCCCCTGGCTTCTGGGAGAGAAAGATCTCTTTGTAAAACAGCCTCCTTCACCAGCACCTGCGCAGTAACCCCTGCCTACTGTGGGGATGCTGGCAGCGTTGATCTGATTGGCGGGTTAGGCAACAAACGTGAGGGCTGTCAATGGTCCTAAGTGATTTCTTTTTCCCATAACATGCTCATCTGTGTTTCAAAGCAGGAACAGGGGGAATGTTAGGTATCCCTTCCCCCCTCAACACTGCCATTCTGGAGGGGGAGGGAGAGTTGGGCAAGTACATTTCAACTGTGCCCTCTTCCTCTCTCCTTTTCCCTATCACTTGCATTTCTTATAAAAAAAAATAATTAGGCAAGTTACTATAAATTTGAGCCTCAGTTTCCCTACATGCAAAATAGAAATGATAATACTGACCTTCTAGACTTATGAAGAGTGAATGAAAAAATTATGTAAAGTGCCTGGCACATAGTAAATACTTAATCAGTGCTGGTACTCTCCTTTCACCTCTCTCTGCACCCTCCACTTTGATTTCACCTGAGATTAATGGTCTCATTCCTTACATCCAGAATCCTACCTTCAAATGTAAAATACCCAATAGACTGATCCAGTGAATCAGGCTGGGCTAGGCTAATGAATGTGCTACCAACACTTACACCCAACTCAAAGCATCATCCTTCAAGGGCGGATATTAATAGTAGCACCAGAGCACCTTAAAGCCTTGGTGAGTATTCTGAAGGAAGAGGCTTCCTGTACCTCCCAGTGCATTACATGAGGAAGGCCACTGCCCCCACTCACACACATGCTAGGCTAGCCAAGTGCCAGTATCCAAAATGCCTACAAATGACTTAAGGGGCTACTTGTGGGAAATACCAAAGGATACAGGAGGCTCTGCCTCGTGGACACCTCTGTTCCAGACGTTGCCTGGTTCTGCCTGATGTCAGAGCAGTTGATAGGTAGTCCCCGACGGCTTTCCTTCCTGCTCCGGGAGGCTAGGTGGAGAGGGAATTTCTCGAAGCTATCAGCAGAGTCACTTAGTTCACTGGAGGCAGCTTCATTCTCAGTCTGGGCCTCTAGTCTGGGCTCCTGGCCCTGATTTGCTCTTGGCGAGCTCAGTCCAACAGAGGTGTTGCTCTGCTGGGCTCCTGAGATAGTCACTTGTGAGATAAGATGAGGGTCTGCTGAAGCAGGCTCTCCATCCCTAGAGTGAGAAGCCTCACCCTCACAAGCAATAAGACTTTGGCTAGAAGAACCCTGCCCAAGCAGGTGGGGCTGTACCGCCCTTCCTGGACTGGACAGAGGGCTACTTTTGCCCTTGAGCTCGTCTCTGGGGAAATGCTTTGAAGAAGAACAAGAAGGGCCTTCCCTATGCACCTCATTAGGGTGAAGGCTGATGACCTCACTTGTGTCTGACATGAAACTGGACCAAGGGCTAGTTTTGTCTGTCACGGTGGTGATATCATTGAGGGTCCTGGGCTCAATGATGTCTTCTTCATATTCCTCATCACTGTAGGCTGGGCCTGCCTCAGTTTCTTCACTGCTTTGCATCCTTGTAATAGGTACTGTGTGCCCCAGGGACTCACGGAGAATTCCTCTTCCACTTGAAGTCTCTTCAAGAGTAGGGCGAGTTAAGGGGCTTCTGCCCTCATCCGGAGCTCTTGCCAATGGCAGTTCTGGAGTTGTGCTTCGCTCCTCCATGACCATTGTGTCCTGAGCATCTGGTAGGGTGGGAACCTCTCCGCTTCTACTCCTGGCTCGGTGAGAACTCAAAGATGCTTGAGTATTCTTGGTGATAGTCTGCAGATCTGAACAGCAACAGATATCTTACTACAAGGTAGGGCCACAGACCACTCAATTTTCCCATGCTAGGCTCTAGCTTCAGATGTATTCTTGCAATCAGACTTTGAACAAATCTTACATTAATCCACCTGAGTCAGTGAAACTATATTCAAGGCAGTATATAATTTCTAGCACTTTATTCTAACATCAGAGGACCAAAATCTAATCTGTTTATAGTTGTGGTTACATCTGTGGAAAGGCTTTCAGAGACTATGCTCATGCTCAGGAATTCTTGGGAGCTAGGAGTCCTGGCGGGCATGTTCATGCTTCCATTTACTTCAGTAATTACCTATATTAAAAATCAAAATGAGATTTGATGACAGTTATTAGAACTATATATTTTACTTGGAAAATAAAACCAAGTCATCTGTTACCCAAATGGTAAGGCAGGGGAGGTTTACAGAGAAAACAGAGGCAGCATGGTGTGTGGAAAGAGCAGAGACTTTGGGGGCCGGTCAGTCTCGGGTTCAAATCTTTACTGTCACTTAGCAACTTTTTGGTCACGAGCAAACTATCCTCTCTGAACCTGTTCATCTTTAAAATGTGATTAACAGGGGAGTGGGGGATGGGGTAGCCAGGTGTTGGGTATTAAGGAGGGCATGTGTGGTGATGAGTACTGGGTATTACACGCAACTAATGAATTGTTGAACATTACACCAAAAACTAATGATATACTATATATGCTGGCTAACTGAATAAAAATAAATAAAAATTAAAAAAAAATGTGATTAACATCACCCTTTCCACAGGGTTATGGTAAAGAATACATGCGATAAATGGGCATAAGTGGTATGGGACATGTATAAACAGTAAATAGAAGCTACCAGTCATTTCAAATGGTTTTGCAATTAAATGGGAGGGAATAAATCAATAGGCTTAGTAAATGGTTTGTTTGCATGGTTATTTAAGAAGAAAAGGCAAATTTGACTCCTGGAGTATGGGGTCATAGCTCCCTCACAGCACCTAATGGGAATCTTCAGCCTACCTGAGGTGTTGGCTGAATTTAATACATTAACAATTGTCATGTCTCAAAGGGGAGTAGATGTATGAAAACGGAACATCCCTAACTGCAAACAGGAAGAGGAACCAGGAAGCAGGTTAGTTAATCCTGATCCCCTTGCCTAAACTATCCTTTCTGTCTTGGAGCAGTTTTTCTGCTTTTTACAAACCAGCCCATCCTTCAAGGCCCTGCTCTACTGCACCTCCTCCAGGAAGCCTTCCCAGGTGTATCATCTATGGGATGGCTAGACAGTGTTGTTCTACAAAGCACTTAAGACGCTATTGTGTATATTTCTCCCAACAGATTGTGAGCTTCTCAAAGGCAGAGACCACGTGTCTGATTCATGTTGCATTTTTAGAGTCCAGCAAAGGACCTGGCACATAGATGTGGCATAAATGTGATCTCTACTCAGTTAACTCACTCTCAAGCTTCACTTGTATCTACTTGTTTAGTGACTTCTTCAAAAGTGTACTGAGACGTGATGGAGGCTGGAGGAGTTTATTCATTTAAACTGTTTTCTTCGATCCAATCATCTCTCTCATTCACTCTCCTCTTTTAATATACCCATTTAAGGGGTTCCCAATCTGCTTTCACCTTTATTCTAAACAAGCCTCCCTCTGTTTTGCTTTTATGCTTTCTTTCTAGGAGGCAGTTTCTTCAGTTGACTATAGAATGTATGCCTGATGAAAGCAAAGACAATTCCTGTCTTGTCCACTACTTTATCCTCCTACAACTTGTAACACACAGTGCCTGGCATAGTTGCTGCTCAGTAAATCAATGACTGAATATTTCCAAGCAAGTAGAAGCCAAATACAGCATGTACCTCTGGAGCCCTGGCTACCAACAGGTCGGCTCTCTGAGCAAGAGGACAGGAAAGAGGTTTGTACCTAATATCAGTCATGGTGGCTGCTCTCCCCTTTAAACAAAGAAAACTGAACTTATTCATCCCTGTGTACAATACACATCTCTTCCTTGAACAAAAATGACACCCAGGTGATGGCTAAAGATACTGATCTAATTGTTTTCTCACAACTCCCCAAACTGATATATAAGTTCCCAGGTCTTAACCCTGCATTCTGACTCAAGAGAAAGGCGTAAGACCCAGGTGATTTTTTATATGTTCAGGCAAGTTTGAGAAATACTTGTTCTGCAAGAGGCTCTGGGCTGCACAGTGGAATTCCGTGGGAGTTATGAACACTGTTGCCTGGGTCCCACCTTCAGAGATCTGTTGCAACTAAACTATGGTGCAGCCTGGGCACCTGAATTTGAAAAGTTCCCTCAAGAACCCCAATATGCAGCCAGGGTGAGGAGCACCGCTTTATGGGGTTTTTCGATGGGTCGACTACGGACCACTAACATCTAAAATCATACGAGGTACCTGCTAAATATGCAGACTTCTGCCTTCTGAGAATTACAATTTTAAATAAATCTGTAGTTGGTTTTTCCCTGAAAACAGGGTTGCACAAGCTTAAGAACTGCTACTGAAGAACTCACCTAATCCACTCTTGTCTTTTTTTTTTTGGCTGGGGAAACCTCAAGAAGGGAAAGGGGTCAGGGTAAACAGTGTCAAAGAGTAAGCCTGTGACAGCAAGCCACCAAAGACCTGACTTGGGTCTCCTGCCTCTCAGTCTGATGCTCTTTCCACTTCACATGTTTCTGTGCCATGCTTCTACATCTCTCCTTCCAGAAGGAAGACAGTAAGTAAATCAGATAGGGAAAGCTGTTGGTCTCTATTTGTCATGGGGGCTTATCTGAGGGCAGACGTTCAAATGCTTTTTGACTAGGCACCCAGGGAGCATAACTGCTCAACAAGAGGGGCCCTGAGCCATACCCGTGATTAAGGAGCTGACTTGCAACACCAGGTTATTGGATTTCTCCAGGATGCACTGGCTCTCTGGGTCTAGGCTGCTGTCTCCAGGTCCACGATGATCCCTGTGGCTCTCCTGACATTGCAAGATGTTATGAGTCTGAGGACTGAGGGGCAGTAAAGGCTTGGAGAGCTTCTGACTGAAGTACTGCTGGATCTGATCTAGCTCATTCAGATTCCTCCTGTAAAAAAAGGGAGAAGACCAAAGGGTCATTCACTGGGATTACAAGCATCTTTGCATTTCCCTGACAGTCCACTGCTTCCCAGGATTTTAGTACTTCCAGTACTTCACTTGGTCTATTAACACTAGGACTGACCCTGCCCTCCCTCTCCAATCCATCAATTCATCCTTTACCAGACTATGATCATGCCGCTCGAGACAACTTTCCTTCCTTCTGTCTGGCTAATGAGATTCCTCTTCTGATGTCCAGTAAAACCCCCACCTCCTGTAGGGAAGGAACCATTCTTGACTACCATTCATGCCTAGTCTTCACATCCTCTTACTCTGACAGAGGAAGGCCTTACTCTGGACTAACACTGGCCTATGCTACTCAACAACCATACCCAATCCTTCAAGTAAGTGACCTCTCCTAGCAAGTCTTCCCTGAACCTCTAAATTGGGTTAAGAGGTCCCCTTTTGTGCTCCACAGTTCTGTACTCTCCAATCATATCCATTTCCCCTGATGTACTATGAGCTGTGTGCTGCTCCCTTTACATCTGCTGTACTCAGCGTAGGGCTTTCTCCATGATGATAGATGGGTTCTGTCCCAGCTGGGTTCATTTCCGCCTCACACCTCTGAATCCTGGAACCTGAGTTCAATCTATTCCCCTTGCTGCGTCCCTATGCTATTTAACTTTTAAAGTGCTCATATTTCTCCTTTCCAAAAGTCCATCAACCCAAATCCTTGGGCCACCTCTCCTTTGAACTCCTTCACTCTTGGCATCTCCATCAACATTTTGTCTTAGATTTCCCCTTAGTTTTCTCATTACGTGTCAGTTTCCCAAACTAGGCCGTGAGCACTTGGTCATAGAAGACAGTATTTCAAACTTTTCTCTCTCTCTGGTTCACTCACTGTGCCTGGTGCACTGGCAAAACACAGAAGCTAAGTACCTGTGAGGTAAACTGAAGGTCTCTCTATCCTTTGTTAGGAACTACAGTTTGCATGTCCTACAGTCAAATTCAAATTAAATGAGGGAGCACAATGCTGATCCTTAATCTGTCACTAGAGACCACAACTCTCAAAATATGGTGGATTTACTTAGGTGTCTACATCTGGGTGTACATCATATGCTACCTGTAGCAGGAACATGCAAACAACTGAACCTGGTGGGACTTGAGAAAATGTGCAAACCCAGCTGGCCTTGTCAGAGATTCTGGTTATAGAACCTATTAACACTAAGCTGCAATTTTCTCATCTGTAAAAAGGTTTATTAATATTTGCTCTGCAGGCCTCATAGTATTGCTGCGACTCAAATGAAGCAGTTTTAGGGCTCTGTGAACCCAAGGAAGTCACGTGAAATTGGTATCTTGTTTCATCTCCACTGGGTAGGGAATTCATCTACTAGCAGTTTTCAAAATGTGGTTCTAGGTCTAGCAACATCAGCATCGTCTGAGAGCATATTAGAAATGCTAATTCTCAGGCACTATCCTGGACCTACTGAATCAGGAACTGCATAGGTGGGTCCAGCAATCGCTGTTTTAACAAGCTCTTAGTGTGACTCTGAAAAGCACTCAATTTTGAGAACCACTGCTCTAGGGCAATGGTTTTATAGCCTGGCAATTTGGCCCCAAGAAGTCTTTTGGCAACGTGTGGAGACATTTTTGGTTGTTGCAGTCAGGAGAGGGGTGCTACTGGTATCTTGTGGAGAGAGGCCAAGGCTGCTGCTAAATATCCTACAACACATAAGACAGGCCCTTACAGCAAAGCATCTGGCCCAAATGTCAGCGGTGCCGACACGGAGTGAAACTGCTTTAGGGTGCAGGAGAGCTTCATTCTCTCTTTTCTCAGTGAATGACCCAATAAAATGCAGCCACACTGTTAATGGTTTTACTTAAATAGCCTACAGTCTCTGGCTGAGAATCTAAAAGGAGAATCTGAACATACCACTTTCTTGTGATATAAAAATCTGAACAGTTTCCCATAGTCTATAGTGTGACTGTTCAATTCTTTTAACCCATGTTCCACCAATCAAAAACATTTTGCCACTTCTTTTCTGAGTTTGCTTTAGGAAACCAAATAATAGGTTAGTTTTTCCAAATACAAAATGTCAAATATTTTCCCCTCAACTTTACACATTCTCTTCCTCCCCTCCCCATCACTTTCCACTTGAGAATCATTCATTCTTAAAGTCCAAACTCCTAGCTAACATTTAAGGCACTTCAAAATGGCCCCACAGAACTTGTCCTGCTTTTTACATTTTTTTTTTTTTTTAAAGACTGATTGACTTGAGAGAGAGAGCGCAAGAGAGAGCGCGTGCATGTGAGTGGGGTGAGGGGCAGTGGGAAAGAATCTCTAGCAGTCTCCCAACAATGCATGGAGCCTGAAGTGGGGCTTGATCCCACAACCCAAGAGGTCATGACCTGAGCTGAAACCAAGAGTCAGACGTTCAACTGACTAGGCCCGTTGCTTTTTACATCTTATGCTCAGCTGTATCCTAACTGTACTGCTGGTATTCCTCAAACTTGACTTGCTGTTTTATCCCTCTGGGTCTTAGTATGTTTTCTGCATAGAATGTCTTTCAAATTCATTGACCTGCTCTTTCAAAGACCAGTTCAAGTGTGACTTCTTTAAATCTTCCCATGACCAACTTAGAATGTTACTTATTCCTCCATCTACCCTTGGCCAGAAAACCTGCAGCTCTTATCACACATCATTATAATTATCTGGTAACAGGCTATCTCCCCCTCTGGGAATGGCAGAGCCAGGATCGGAAGCCAAGGCTACTGGACTCTGAAGCCAAGACCTCACAGCACCACACTTCTTACTATATAACCCAGGGGCTGACTCAGATGATCTATAATGGCCCCTTCTTCTCTGGCTCAGATGCTGACTAAATTAAGAAAGAGATAGGGAAACATTAACAGGACAGATGCTAGTCTAGAAGAATTCAGTGGTTGTGAGAAGACAGACAGTGGGCAGAATGAGGCTCTGCAATAACTTTAAAGTAGATACGAAACTATATAGATGTGAGGTAGTTACTACGTTTGGTGAATAACCTCAAGTTCCTGTGTTACTAGGTGGACCAGTAATAGAACCTGTGAAGGAACGGAAGGCCCCATGCTTGAGAAAGGTTGATCTATGAGGAATCCCAAGAGGTTCCAGGGTCCAATTCAGCAATAACCTAGACAAAAGTCCCTCCTAAGCCTCTCAGGGCCGCGGCAGCGGACAGAAAAGCAGTCCTGCCCGCTGCTGCTGCCAGTTATCTTGTGCTTCACTATGGTTTCCTGTGTCTTTTCTCAGCACAGGGCCTTACCTGAGAGAAGTCAGAATGGAAGTATGGGAGGACAAAGGCAATGTGGTCAGTTTGTCATCACGTGGCAAAATCGCCTCTCCCTGCTGCAGGGATTCATGAAACCGGCGGATATTCTGCACATGCTCTTCATGGCGTGATGCCTGACTTCTTGTGGTACCACTTCTGTCAGGAATAAATGGGGCCAGAGTAAGAAATAAGAAAACTCCTAATGTGACAATCAACAAGTAACAAATAAAATGGCATTGCAAATCCATTCCTATTACCATAATTCTGGCTTGGATTACAACTATCTTCCAAATAATCTTGCCTTCAGTCTTACCCCTTTATTTTTCTCTCTCTTCTTTAATTCCAGTGTAGTTAACATACAGTGTTGTATTAGTTTCAGGTGTATAATAGAGTGATTTAACAATTCCATACATTACTCAGTGCTCATCAAGATAAGTGTATTCTTAGTCCCCTTCAGGGTTTCACCCATCCCCCTACCCATCTCCCCTCTGGTAACAATCCGTTCTCTATAATTAAGAGTCAGCCTCTTGGTTTGTCTCTTTTCCCCTTTCATTTGCTTTGTTTTTACAGTCCACACAGGAGTGAAATATGCTATTTATCTCTGACTTATTTTTTTTTAAAGATTTTATTTATTTGAGAGAGAGAGAGAGAGAGAGATCACAAGGAGGCAGAGAGGCAGGCAGAGAGGGAGGAGGAAGCAGGCTCCTTGCTGAGCAGAGAGCATGATGTGGGACTTGATCCCAGGACCCTGAGATCATGACCTGAGCTGAAGGCAGAGGCTTAACCCACTGAGCCACTCACACACCCCATCTCTAACTTATTTTGCTCAGCATTATATACTCTGGATCCATCCATGTTGTTCCAACTGGCAAGATTTCATTCTTTTTAATGTTTGAATAGTATTCCATTGTGTATGTGTGTGCATGCATGCACACCCCCCCATCTTTATCCATTCATCTGTGAATAGACACTTGGGTTGCTTCCATAGTCTGTCTATTGTAAATAATGCTGCAATTATAAAAAATAAACACGAGGCTTTTGCCCTTTGAATTCATGTTTTTTGTATTCTTTGGGTAAATATCCAGTAGTGTGATTCCTCAATCATAGGGCAGTTCTATTTTTAACTTAAAAAAAAAAAAAAAGATTTTATTTATTTACTTGACAGAGAGAGAGAGAGAGAGAGAGGACAAACAAGTGGGGGAGCAGTAGGCAGAGGGAGACGAAGAAGCTGAGCCTGATATGGGGCTCGATCCCAGGACCCTGAGACCATGACCTGAGCCGAAGGCAGACTCAATGAACTGAGCCACCCAGGTGCCCCTATTTTTTTTTTTAAAGATTTTATTTATTTATTTGTCAGAGAGAGAGAGAGAGAGCACAAGCAGGCTGAGTGGCAGGCAGAGGCAGAGAGAGAAGCAGGCTCCCCATTGAGCGAGGAGTCTGATGTGGGACTTGATCCCAGAACTCTGGGATCATGACCTGAGCCGAAGGCAGCCGCTTAACTGACTGAGCCACCCCAGGTGTCCCCCTTTATTTTTAACTTTTGAGGAAAGTCCATACTGTCTTCAACAGTGGCTGCATCAGTTTGCATTCCCACCAAGAGTGCACAAGGGTTCTTTTTTTCTACAACCTTGCCAATATGTTTCTTGTGCTGTTGATTTAGCCATTCTGAAGGTGTGAGGTAATACCTCATTATGGTTTTGACTTGCATTTCCCTGATGTTGAGTGATGCTAAGCATCTTTTCATGTCACTGTTGGCCATGCGTAGGTCTTCTGTGGAGAAATGTCTGTTCCTGTCTTCTGCCTATTTTTTAATCAGAGTATTTGTTTTTTGGGTGTTGAGTTGTATAAGTTCTTTATGTATTCTAGATAGTAACCCCTTATTGGATACATCATTTGCAAATGTCTTCTCCCATTTAGTAGGCTTTTAGTTTTGTTGGTTGTTTCCTTGCTGCACAGAAGCTTTTTATTTTGATGTGGTCCCAACAATTTTTGCTTTTGTTTCCGTTGCTTAGGTGGACACTTACATGAAGATGTTGCTATAGCTAATGTCAGAGAAATTACTGCTTATGTTCTCTTCAAGGATTTTTATGGTTTCAGGTCTCATAATTAGGTCCTTAATCCATTTTAAGCTTATTTTTGTGTACGGTGTTAGAAAGTGGTCCAGTTTCACTCTTCTGCATGTTACTGTCCACTTTTCCCAACATCATTTATTGAAAAGACTGCTTCTTTCCTATTGCATATTCTTGCCTCCTTTATTGAAAATTGACCATATAAATGTTTGCGTTTTCTATTCTATTCCACTGACCTATGTGTCTGTTTTTGTGCCAGTCTACACTGTATTGACCACTAGAGCTTTGTAATATAAACTGAGAGTCCAGATTTGTGATGCCTCTAGCTTTGCTTTTCTTTTTCAAGACTGCTTTGGCTATTTGGGTCTCTTCTGGTTCCAAACAAATTTTAGGATTGTTTGTTCTAGTTCTGTGAAAAATGCTATTGGTGTTTTGATAGGGATTGCTTTAAATGTGTAGATTGCCATGGGTAGTATAAACATTTTAACAGTGTTTGTTTTTCCAATCTATGTGCATGCATTGTCTTTCCATTTTTCTTTTCACTTTTTAAAGTAGGCTTCACACCCAGCATGGAGCCCAATGTGAGGCTTGAACTCACAACCCTGAGATCAAGACCTGAGCTGAGATTGAGTTTTGGACACTTAACCAACTGAGCCAACCAGGAGACCTTGTCTTTCCATTTCTTTGTATCATCTTCTATTTCTTCCATCAGTATTTTATAGTTTTCAGAGTATAGGTCCTTCGAACTCTTTGGTTAGATTTATTCCTAACTACTTTACTATTTTTGGTACAATTGTAAATGGGATTGTCTTTTTGTTTTTCTTAATTTCTTTCTGCTACTTTAGGGGGATAACATGAGCAAGGAGAAGGGCAAATGGAGAGGGAGAAAGTCCTAAGCAGACTATAAGCTGAGTGCAGCACCCAACATAGGACTTTATCCCACAAATGTGAGAACATGACTTGAGCCAAAATCAAGAATCAGATGCATAACAGACTGAGACACTCGGTTGCCCCTTACTCCTTTAAATGTTTGGTAGAATTCACCTGAAAGCTGTCTGGTCCTTGGCTTTTCTTTGTTGGGAGTTTTTTGATCAGATTCAATTTCATAAGCAGTCTGTTCAAATTTTCTATTTCTTTCCGTATCAGTTTGGTAGGTTATATGTTTCTAGGAATTCATCCATTTCTTCGAGGTTGTCCAATGTGTTGGCATATAATTTTTCTTAGTATTTTCTTACAATTATTTGTATTTCTGTGGTATTGGTTATTATTTCTCCTCTTTCTTTTGTGATATTGTTTGAGTCCTTTCTCTCTCTCTTTTTTTCTGGATGAATCTGGCTAGAGGTTTATCAATTTTGTTGATTTTTTTTGAAGAAACAGTTCCTGGTTTCATTAATCTGTTCTATTCTTTTTTTTAGTTTCTCTATCATTTGCTTCTGCTCTAATCTTTATTATTTCCTTTTGCTGGTTTTGGGGTTTTTTTGTTCTTTTTTGAGCTCCAAAGGTGTAAGGTTAGGTTGTTTATTTGAGATTTCTCTTGCTTTTTGTGGTAGGTCTGTATTGCTCTAAACTTGCCTCCTGGAACAGCTTTTGCTGCATCTCAAAGATTTTGGACTGTTGTGTTTTCATTTTCATTTCTCTCCGTATACGTTTTGATTTCTTCTTTGATTTCTTGGCTGATCCACTCATTGTTTAGTAGCATGTTATTTAACCTCCATGTATTTGTGATGTTTATAGTTTTTTTTCATATGGTTGATTTCTAGTTTCATAGTGTTGTGGTCAGAAAAGATGTATATGACTTCAATCTTTTTAAATTTGTTGACACTTGTTTTGTGGCTTGATATGTGATCTATTCTAGAGAATGTTCCATGTGCACTTGAAATGAATGTGTATTCATTCCACTGTTTTAGGATGGAATGTCCTTAATATATCTGTTAAATCCATCTGGTCCAATATGTCATTCAAAGCCACTGTTTTCTTGTTGATTTTCTGTTTGTTTCCATTGATTTAAGTGTTACCTATTCTCTTTTATAAATTCTCCACATTATAGCCTGAGTGATTTTTTTTTAAAAACATAGGTCTGAAATAACAATAAGAACAACACTATTTATGGAGTCCTTATTAATGAGCCAAGCACTGTTCTAAGCATTTGTGTACTAATCTATTCCCTGTTTAATCACCATTGTTCCTTTCTAGCTTTGGTCGCTCTTTTTTTTTTGGGGGGCGGGTGGCAAGAGGTGTCTGTGATCAAATTTATCCCTGAGGCCCAGCACAGTCGGGATCAAGGCCCATGGATCACAGTGTTTCTGTGGCAGCCTTTTGGGCCAGTGCCAGCCATGGGATGGGCGGGCACTGAATTTGACATAGCTGCGGTGGTTTGTTTTGTTAAATCTATAAAAAAATTTTCAAATTTCTTAGCAAGGTATTCATGAACTTGACTCCAGCAATAATTGTCTTCTCTTTAAATATTAGCTTCATTGAGATAGAATTCACATACAATTCACCCAGTGAAAGTGTACAACTCAATGGTTTTTAGTATATTCAGGGTTGTGTAACCATCACCACGTATTTTCATCACCCAAAAAAGAAACCCTATACCTATCAGCAATCACTCCACATTTCCTCCACTCCCCCAAACCCTCAACCCAAACCTCCTAGCTCTAGGCTACTGCTAATCTACTTTCTGATTCTGTAGATTTGCCTAATCTGAATAATTCATATAAATGGAATAATAACCATATAGAGTCTTTTGTGACTGGCTTCTTCCATTTAGCATGTTTTTAAACTTCACCCGTGCTATAGTATATATCAGTAATTCATTCCTTCTCATGGTTGAATAATTCTCCATTATGTAGAGATAACACATGTTGTTTTTCTATACATCAGATGATGCACATTTTGGTTGTTTCCATTTTTAAGTCATAAGGAACAATGCTACTAACAAACACTCATGTACAGGTTTTGTGTAGACATATGATTTTACTGTTCTTGGGTATATACCTAGAAGCGGAATTATTGGATCATATGATTTCTCTATGTTTAACCTTTTAAAAGGAAGTGCCAGACTGTTTTACAAAGCAGCTGCACCATTTTAAAATCCCATCCCTGGGTGGTTCAGTCATTGGGTGTCTGCCCTTGGCTCAGGTCATGATCCCAGGGTCCTGGGATTGAGCCCCCCATCGGGCTCCCTACTCAGCGGGAAGCCTGTTTCTCCCTCTACCACTCCCTCTGTTTGTGTTCCCTCTCTCACTGTCTCTCTCTCTCTCTGTCAAAAAAAGAAATAAAATCTTTAAAAATAAATAAATACATAAATAAATAAATACATTTAAAAAATCCCACCAACCATGTATGAGGGTTCTGGTTTCTCCACATTCTCCCAACACTTGTGATATTTGTCTTTTTGATTAGTTATTGTAGTGGGAGTGAAGTGGTATCTTATTATGGATGTCATTTACATTCTCCTGATGGTTAATGATGTTAAGTATCTTTTAATGTGCTTACTGATAATTTGTATATCTTCTTTGGATTGGATGTTTTCAGATCTTCTTTGGATGTTTATTCAGATCATTTGTCTTTTTTTTTTTTTTTTTTAAGATTTTATTTATTTAAGGGAGACAGAGCGAGAGTAAGCAAGCATGAGCACAGGGCGGTGGGGAGGAAGGCGAGAAGCAGGATCCCTACTGAGCAGGGACCTCAACTGGGGCTTGATCCCAGGACCCTGGGATCATGACCCGAGCTGGAGGCAGAGGCTTAACACACTGAGCCACCCAGGCGCCCCTTTTGGTCCATCCTTAATTGGGTTATTTGCTTTTTATTATTGAATTATAGGAAATATATATATATATATATATATATATATGAATTCTTTATATATTCTGGATATAAGTCTCATCATATCTATAGGTTGCCTTTTTATTTTCTTAATTATGGCATGAAAGTTTTTAATTTTATAAATCCAATTTACTTTTTCTTCTGTTGCTTCTGCTTTTTGTCTCTTATGTAAGGAATCATTTGCGTAATCTAAGGTCATGAAGATTTACTCCTGTTTTCTTCCTTTGAGAGAATGGAATATGCTCTAGCCCCGTTATCCATATGCATGTCTATGGTTGACGTGGTGAAGCATCTGGATGGGCTAGTTGCTCTTTATAAAATATCCCGGTTCCTACGTTTGGAAAGGGAAGGATCTCAGACAGCTGATGACTGATTTCAGGGATAAACGTTAAACGTTAAAGGCCTCTAAGGAAAAGAGAACAGCATCCTTTCCACTGAAGCTACCCTTCTGATAGCAGTAAAAGTTCTAGTTTCCATCTTATAAAAAAAAAATTTGCTTTCATAGGATCCTGGAGTTCCCAGTGGTTTGACAGAACAAAGCTATTTCCCTGTCTCTAGTTTCTTCCTCTAATAAAGTAAAGAGAGATGACAAACCAGTTAGCAGACTTTCAACTCTATTTCTTCCCATCAAAAATTCACTTACCTCTCAGGAGAGGAGAAATCAAGTTCCTTTGATGAGGTGTGACCAAGTTGTTCTGGGGTCCATCTTGCAATGCTGCTGGGGAACGCAGAGGCAGGGAAGGAAAAGGGGCGATATATTGGGTTCTGTAGAAACAATGAGAAAAATGGTATGTCTGTCACCACAAATCCTTTTGGAACAAAGAAGTACAAATAAGTCTGTAAATTTGTGTTTAAAAAATTTATTGTATGTAGATAAATATAATTTGCTGAGTATTTTCTGTGTTGAATGCTGTACTAAGCAATTTACATGCATTTTCTTATTTGAACTTCACAATAATCTTACAAGATAGGTACTATTATTATTCCCATTTTATATACCATGCTATGAGATTACTTTTTAGTTGCTTTATTTGTATTTATGCTTGGCTCTTCCAGCTAGTTTGTGAACTCCTGACTGGATATCATTTTACCTTACATGTGAAGTGGTATTTCTTACCTCATGACTACAGGGCTAATGTGAAGAAAAGACCTTCTTACACAGTGACTGTTTAACTCTTTGTCACTTTCTCACGCAGTCATGCATGAGAGAGACGCCCACCCTGCCAGAACCTGGGCCAGGCATGCATGATAACAGAAATGAAACAAAACAAAACAAAACAAAACAAAACAAAACAAAAAAACAACCCTAGAATCTTTGTGTTGATAGAGCTCCCTCATCTGGGACAGTCTGGAAAATTCTTTCTTTTATAGTTAAACTCCCTGAAAGAGTATCTGTTCTTACTATCACTGATTCCCCTCTTTCCATTCCCTCTCTTTTTATTTTTTCTATAAGACAGAACAATGATTTTATTTGACAGTTAAAAAAATACTTATTTTTAAAAGATTTTATTTATTTGTCAGAGATAGAGAGAGAGAGAGCACAAGCAGGGAGAGCAACAGGTAGAAGGAGAAGGAGGCTTTCCACTGAGCAAGAAGCTTGATGCGGAATTCGATCCTAGGACCCCAGGATCATGACCTGAGCTGAAGGCAGATGCTTAACTGACTGAGCCACCCAGGCATCCCAAAACATTTTATTTAAATTCAATTAATTTAACGTATAATGTATTACTGATTTCAGAAGTAGAGGTCAGTGATTCATCAGTTTATATAATACCCAGTGCTCATTATATCATGCGCCCTCCTTAATGTCCATTACCCATTTATCCCATCTCCCTTCCCCTCCAGCAACCCTCAATTTGTTTCCTATGATTAAGAGTCTCTTATAGTTTGTCTCCCTCTCTGGTTTCATCTTATCTTTTTTTCCTCTCTTCCCCTATGATCCTCTGTTTTGTTAGAACAATGATTTTAGGGACGCCTGGGTGGCTCAGTCAGTTAAGCATCTGCCTTCGGCTCAGATCATGATCCCAGGGTCCTGGGATTGAGTCCAGCATCAGGCTCCTTGCTCAGAAGGGAGCCTCCTTCTCTCTCTGCCTCTGCTGCTCCCCCTGCTTGTGTGCTTTCTCTCTCTCTTTTGGAAAAATAAATAAAACCTTAAAAGAAAGAAAGAACAAGGATTTTAATGTAATAGAGTTTTTAAAAAGTTTAACCAATGTGGTTTCAAACTCCATGATGCAATTAATCTTATTTTATTTAAAAATTAAGATACAGCCATTTGTGACAACACGGATGGACCCAGAGGGTATGATGCTACGTGAAGTAAGAGAGAAAGACAAATACCCTATGATTTCACTTGTTTGTGGAGTCTAAAAAACAAAACAAATTAATAAAGAAAAAAGCAGAAACAGACCCATAAATACAGAGAACAGACTGATGGTTGCTAGAGGGGAGGGGGATGGGCAAAATCAGTGAAGTAGGTAGGAGATACAGGCTTCCAGTTATGGAATAAATAAGTCATGGGAATAAAAGGCACATCACAGAGAACGCAGGCAATGGTATTGTAATAGCACTGTATGATGACAGATGGTGGCTGCACTTGTGAGCATAGCATGACATATAAACTTGTCCAATCACTGTGTTGTACACCTGATACCAATGTAACCCGGTGTGTCAACTACACTCAAGTAGAAACATTTTTTTCAATTGAGATACAGTCAGTGTATTATAAAGTTCATCCTTTGAAATTGTTCAATTCAGTGGTTTTTAATATATTCAGAATTTTATGTCCATCACCATTGTGTAATTCTACTTTGTCACCACTGTGTAATTTTTATCACCCTAAACAGGTCACGAGGTCATTATGAGACACAAATACATAATGTGTTTTGTAAGCTGGAAAGCACCAAACACATGTAAAGGATCTTCTTACAGATTTGGCTCAGCAGAACGCTTACTGGTTAAGACCGTGAATCAGCATACGTACCAGCAATCCTGGGGTCTGTACCCCACGTCTTGATTGTCTTTCTTCTTTTAAGTGCATCAAACTCTCCAGAGGGGAGATAGCAACTTTTATCTGCCCCTGACACTCTCCACTGAAGTCTGTGATGTTGTACCAGCCACAGACAAACTGGAAGCCAGAAAGAAGTGGGGAGAGGTCCACTGAGGCAAAGCCAATCACCCTCTCCTCATCTGTGGGGGAAAGAGAAGAACTTGGTAGTGTGGCTGGGCAGGTCTTGGCACTGACATTAGAGACTGCACACAGAGAAGCTGAATCAGGGGTCTGTGGGGGGGTGTGTGGGGGCTCAAGTGATTCCAAAATCAACACTGAAGACAGATAATGAGAATGAGAGAGAGAGCCTGCTTTCACTACCAGAAATTCCCTTTTTGTATGGCAGGGAAAAGCTAGCAGAGTTGAGTTTTATTCTCTTGATATAGGCAATTGGAAAACAACCTTAAACAGCAGATATTTCTTTTCCCTACATTATCATGTCTCAGTGATTTTCCTCAGGGCAGTGGGTCTTGAAAGAAATCATTTGAAAGGCCATCACCCTTGGAATTATGAGGGATTTGCACTTTCCCATTCACATTTGTCTGTATTTTTCAATTTTCTGTAATGTACATATGTATTATATTTAATTAAGAACAAAAGTTATACAAATCACAAAAGAAAGACAAAGAAACCCCTGGAAAACCAGTACATGGTGCAAAATAAGAGCTTGGACTCAGGTTTATAACAGGGCTGCCCTTAGTGAGTAAGAAGACCCCTTGTTGATTGGATAAGCAACCATGTAATGGCCTTTGTTCTCAGACTCATTGCTTCTTGTTCCTCACTTCTGACATGGAAGTAGCTAGAGAAGAAGAGGCTCCTCTCCTTCCACAAGTTCTTTTTTGTATGGGCTATATTCCCTATAATGAATATCAAAGGCTGACTACCAAACGTGGACACCATTCTCAGTTTTCAATTTGCTAAGTAAGTCAAGGAATGCAAATTTCTAAGAGGAGTGGTCATTAGTTTTCCCAGTTTTTTGTACATTCCGCTGGTGACACTGAACTCATTACACACTAACATTTGTTTGGACTGTTTTCTCTTCTTTAGCCTCGGACCTACCTAACAGCTAAGACCAAATATCATTCGCTTTATGTTTCCTACACTCTTCATTCTGGCATAAATCTTCCCCCATCACAAGGAAGTTGATAAACAACCACTGAGAACACAAATGAACTGCCAATGTAGAGTGGGACAAGGAAGCAGTGAACAACAGCTAATCTGAGTGTGGCTTTGATTTGAAAACACATTACTTTAACACCCCAAACCTCAAGTCTCATATACACAATGAGAAGGACTGAACCACACTTAAGATCCTCTTCAACTTGGACAGTCTTTAAGAGTCTATGAACGTTTGACATTGTGTTCCTCAGAGTAGAGTCAAGTAATTCTTACCCAATGGGAGTGAAGAATGATGGCTAGAACCATTAATTTGTATTCCAAAGATTTTTTTTTTATAGCTTTGCAAAGAAAAATAATCTTGTTTTATTTGGTTACCCAGGCATAACCTATTCTTGGTAGATTATAACTTTAGGTAACAGGTTGAGGGTTTTTCCTAACACTACATCTTAAACATACCTGAGGAGAAATCAGGCTAAGTTGATCACTGAGAAAAACAATAGCTTTGAAGAGCTCAGTTTAATATCATATTTAGTGGGACAACCTATCATTCTTTCTTTGCAGTTCTATGTTCTCATGATCTCAAACTTACTTCATACTTTCTTTACTCCAGACTCTTGTATTTGCTGTTGCCTCTGACTATACTCTGTCATGCCCCTTCATTTCTCAGCTGAAGTATGCTCCAGGAAGCCTTCTCTGACATCGTCAATCTGATTTACATATTCCCTGCCTGTATTTGCCTAATCATACTATCTTCTAATTGTTTATCTCCACCCCCCTCCCCAACCACATCTGCCACTGGGGGACACAAGCTCCGTGAGGGTAAAGACCATGTATGCCTTATTTTACCTTTGAATCCCTAGCACTTAAGCATAGTGCCTATCACAGAGTAGGAACTCAAATATTTATTGAATATATTTATTGTTTGTATAGCTAATGCTGCGTGGAAAGGCTGGAGTTAAGGGAAGAGAGGCATTTACCTCCACTAAGAGACAGAGTTAGGTAAGTATGGTCAGTTGGGTCTAGGCATTTTCCTCATCTCCATTTACAACAGGGTTTTACAGGATTCTCTAGTGGTCTTGGAAGATAGGGAATTTTGTTCTTCTCTATACCAAATAGCCCTAACACGGTACCTGACACATAGTAGGCATAATAAAAATAGCTCCATTTATTAAGCACCAATTATGTGCCAAACATAATCTCTAATCTTTATAAAAATCCTGTAGGACAGGTACTATTGTCCTAATTTCATTATTAAGAAAACAATGGCTCAAAGAGGTAAAGTGCTTTGGCTTAGGTCATATAAATTGTGAATGGCAAAACCAAAATTTGAATCCAGGTCTGTATTAAGACCGAAATTATTCTTTTTTTTTGCCTTGTTATAGTAAGAGCTGAACTGAGGCAAACCCTAGTCTGCCTGACAATCTGTGGGGAGTACTTTAGAGAAAAGAGAAGAATACAATGCCAGGCAGGAGGGTGAAGCCTAGTTAAATACAGCAGGAATACCTTATGTTGATTCAGAGAAAATGGATTTATGATCAGTTCTGCCACATTTATGACATTATGTGGGGGTGGGGGACATGATAAGTGAATCCAAGGCAGGAGCATGGGACAAATCATTGAAACTGGATTCACAGCATGATTTCCAAACAGAAGCACTAGAGGAGAGACAGGTAAGTCTATTTCCTTTACACACTGACTACTCTCTGGTCTTTATTAGGTTCTGGGGTTAGCTGTGAAACTTACCACTGGCAAATAAAAACTGTAAATCTGTAGACTCAAAACAACTGAGGGTTTAGAAACTAGGCCCTAGCAAGAATGTTAAAGAAGCTAGGTTTATAGGAGGGATTTAATTAGCAATAATAGCGCCTCGGATAAACCTCATTGGCTACGATACTGCCACTGCGCAAAGCTTATAGGAGGGATTTAATTAAGACAAAATTTTCTAATTACAGAAGCTGTGAGATAGCTGGATGTCCTCATTCACTCACTTTCCCCATCCAATGTTACTAGCATGGTGAAGTACAAATGGTGAAGGCTGTATAGCCAGTCAGAACTGGGTTCAAATCCTGGCTCCACTGATTAATAAGTATACGACCTTCTAATTTCTTTGGGCCTGAGCTGTTACATTTGTAACAAACAATGAATGAATTAGGGGCACCTGGGTGGCTCAGTGGGTTAAAGCCTCTGCCTTCGGCTCAGGTCATGATCTCAGGGTCCTGGGATCGAGCCCCATATTGGGTTCTCTGCTCAGCGGGGAGCCTGCTCCCCCCCCCCCACCCGCTGCCTACTTGTGCTCTCTCTCTGTCAAATAAATAAATAAAATCTTAAAAAAAAGAATTAAAAAAATGAATGAATTACGTTTTTACACTGTAGGATTAGAAATGTTTGTAAAGCTCTCAGCACACTGTCATTCACTAATAAGAACAATAAAAACAGATGGTTTTATCAAGTATCAGACACTCATTTAATTCTCCCACTGACGTAGGTACTATTATTCTTATTTTATAAATAAAGAAACTGAAGCAAAGAGAAATTAAGTCATTCACCCAAGGTCATACTACCTTGTAAGGGGTAAGAACTGGTATCTGAATCCCAGAGCGTAGCTTTAGAGTCTGTGCTCTTGATGTTGATGGATTACGCCTGTTAATAATGGTAGCTGAATAAAACTAGGTTCAAGGATCATGATGTCAACACCTCTTAGAGGCTCTTGAAACAAGACTCTAGTTTTGTGTATAGCTTAAAAATGCTGGGGTCTTAGTTAATAAGCCAACAGAAGGTACAATATCATACAGGGGGTTGAACTCCCTTGTGTATGGCAGGCTGTACACTGTGACTGATGAGATACAATTGGAAAGGTGAAATGTACTTGGACTTCTGCACTGAGCTGAAAGTCAAACAAAATGACATGACTTCTAAGGATTTAAATTTCCTGGGAGACTAATGTGGCCTTCTGTGAGATTCCCTCTAACACATATATGCGTCCCTGCATCACAAGTGCCATGGTTATGGTTTCACTTGGTTAAAAAAGGAAAGGATTGGAAACTGTCAACAGGATGTGAGCTTATTTTCAGTAAGATATTCACAGAATAGAGTTCATACCTCCTTTATGCCAAACTTTGAAGACCAGAGTTTGTTGAGGGTCCAAAAGAAGCTCTTTTGATAGCCTATTAAGAAAAACATCCACCAAAAATTAATGGTGTAGGAAGCATCTGCCATATGAAACTTAGATTTGAAGAGCATCTTGTAGTTTGCAAAGCACTTTCCTAACATTTTCATTTCAACTTCATGGTCATCTCTGAGGATATAGTTTTACTTTCACAGGTAAAATGAGGGATGGAAGCTCAGAGAGAAGTAACTTGCCAAGACTTGAAATCAGGCTCCCCTGATGCAGTACTTTCCCACCTGATGGTATCTGCCACATTCAAACTCTCTCAGGATGAGAGGGAGTGTGGAGAGCGAGCTCCTCAAGATGTAAGGAACAGTTTTACTGGAGCAGAGCAGGGATTCTTTTTATTTAATGTGGAAAACAGAATGGTAAGAAGGGTGAAGAGGGGAAAAACAACATCCACTGAGTGCCTACTATGGGCCAGGCACAGTGCCTAGTATCTCATATATGTATAATCTGCACAGAAGCCTAGACATTGGCATTATTATCCCTGCTTTACAGATGATAGAAGTGGGCTCAGAGAGGTGAAGTGACTTGCTCAAGGTCACATGAGAATCAGTAAGTGGCAGGGCTGGGACTTAAAGCTTAGTTTGCTTAATTCTAAAAGCCACATTCCACAGAGGTAAGGCACCAAAATAAGAAAGTATCCATTTTCATATCAGAAAAGAAGTGTTCAATAAACACCTCTAACACATTTTATTTAAGAAATGACTTATACCATTTTAAATTACAAAGATTTGGAAAGTTCCACACCAGGTGCCATTGCTTTAGGAGGAAATCCAGGGAAAACTAAGAGATTTAATTTCCTTCCCTAGATACCCCTGGGGAACTGAAGAGAACCCACTTCAAGACAACAGGAGGCACTGTGATAAAATGAAGTAAGTACTGTGTCAAAAATCTGAATTCTACTTGGTGTTCAGAATACCCACCTCTGCATTCCAGCTCTGCTATGGTTACATGAGTGACCCTGGAGACTCAAACATTTTGAGCCCTGGCTTTCTTACCTGTTAAACGGGTTATTTTCTACCTATAAGGTTGCTAGGAGCATTAAATGAAATAATTTTGTGGTAAAGCAATTGTAAACAGAACCTTTACTCATTTTCCTTCTCTTCTTCCCTCTGCTACCAACAGACTATGTAACCTCCCTGGTCTACAGTCTTAAATTTGAAGTGAGGGGATAAAATTAGGAGACCGTCAATGTCCCTTTGTCAAGTTCAAAATGTTACGCTCTGAATGAATAAATCACCTTCAATTAGAAGCTTAGCCCTCTAGCCTCCTCCCTTTTAAGGCAGATTTGATATTTTAGATCAAGTACCTGGCCATAATGGTGAGAATTTCTATGATTTCCAGTAGTTCACCATAGATAGTACTGAGTTGCCACTGTAGTTCTAGCTCCTGACTCGGGTTGGCCTCTCAAATTTCAAAACACTGGACGTGTGAACAACTGCTGGGCTCAATTAGGTATGGAAACACTGTGAGAAAGCAGCAGATCAGACACCATGTGGTATGGCTAGTGTTGGTGGACAAGTGAGAAACCTTATAAAAGGTGATGCAGGATAAAGATAATGGTAAGTTGTTATACTAGAACTCACACTTTCAATGACGATGAAACAGATGTAATGAAAAAAAGGGAGGACAAGCACTGGGCCTGAATGTCGGCCCCTGACCTCTGAACTGCACTGCAGCATGACCGACAGGGCTCCACCTCCAATTCTTTGAGTCTTCCAAAGGAGATCTAACATTTGTGGAGCACCTGCTCTGTACCATGAGGTCATTTTTCTAAATATCACCTAATTTGGACCTCACAATGACCCTGTAATAATTAACCCCACTTTGCAGATGAGGAATCTGAGGCTCAGAGATACAACTTAATTTGTTCACACAGCTAGTAAATGAGATGGGGCTGGAGGCCAGGTCTCTCTAAGTGCAAAGCCCAGGCTCTTTCCAATGCAGCAGAAATCTTTTTCAAGGATGTACAATCCACAGCCTTTCCTGAAATTAATTTGCTATATCTTCTTCCCCCAAATAAATTGTGTACATTCTTCAGTACTCAGCTGAATTATCTTATTTAAAATAAAAAGCTTTCCCTGAGCTTCTAGGTTAATCTAAATTATCTTTCTGAGGCACTAGAATCATTTTTTTTGCTACTTTTACAGCACTTGTCACATTCTAATGTATATTTTCCCAGGCAGACCATGAGTAGTGCAATTGCAGGGACTATCTTAATCATCTTTAATTCCCAGTCTCTAGAACAGAGTGGGGCATCTAAGCGGTTTTCACTGAATAATTTTTGAGTTGTACTGAGCTCAAAAAGAGTTAAAAAAAAAATACCGCAGTAAGATCTTTAAACCACTACTAACTGTGAATTCATAAGCACCAGGATTAAATAACTGCTTGATAAGAAAAGCATTTTCCAGGTCTGCTTAATATTGTTGCCTCTGTTATATCCCTTGATCTGAGTTTGTCTCCTGGAACAAAAAGGAGATTCTGGAAGGCTGATAGGATATCATAAAATACAAACCTTGACTGCTGTTGAAAATTCCAGATGGGGGAATCTGTGTTTTCAACCACGTGGGTGTAGATAGGAGATGGATCATCAGCCGTTGCAAAGGATACACAACAACTGGGTATCAATACTTTCCGTTCTGTCAAGGGACTCCCTGAAATAGAACACAGTGGAATGACTGACTTTAGAGTGTCAGAAAGAACGTGCTAGAAGCCTTCCATTATACAGGTATAAGCAGGACCATTTCTAGCCTTCTCCTACCTTTAGGTCTTTGCTTGAGCTATTATTCTCTGTATCTGAAGTGTTTCTAGTATCCTTTCTGCTACTAAAACTGTCCTTTCAAGGCTCAGTTCATAAATATTCCCCAGTAAGGGATCACTCCTCTCATCTCTGTATACCTTGAGGGATGATGGAAAATACTGAATTGAGAAGCAAAAGTAGAACTGCAAAACGCCCTAGACTCAGGAGTCACACAATCAATGATCAGCTCTGCAGTACATGTTTTGAGGGACTTCAGGCAAGGCCGCTCTAGGCCACAGTCAGGCAACCAGGCAATAGAGAGGCAAAGTGGCTTGCTCACTGCACATCTGGCTAACTAGCGTCTGTAAGACCCAGCCAGGTTTCCTGAGTTTCCAGGGTTTTTCCATTGCAATAGGTCTAATTAACTACTGGGTTAAGAGCTCCCTCTCTGGCCTGGAATGAATCCATGGTAACTTTTCCCTCAAGTGATGCCCAAATTTGCATACTGACAAAAACTTAGTCCAGTTCCATTAAAGGAACATTAACTGACACTTTTCTCTGTGTCACACACACATGCCCAGAGGAGTCAGGTTTGATTCCTGATTGGAGACAGACACACACAATTAAAATAAGAGAAAGCACAGGGAGCTTTGGGAACCCAAACCGTGCCTGAGTAGGTAAAAAAGAACCTCTAAAGACTGATGATACCATAGATAATTTTGGTTTTTACTAAGTATAACTTAGATTAACTTAGATTAACCTAAATAATTTTACCTCTTTGTTCCTCAGTGCCTTATTCGTAAGGCAGGGCTGGAGACACTTGTCATGTCTAGTGTAAGAATACAACTCTAACAAGTACTCAAGGTGACTCATAAAGAAAGGGTCTTCAGAGGTTTCTCTAACAAAAATATTCAAGAAGCTCTTATTTTCAGAACCAGGACCACAATGGGGATCACAGAAAGTTCAAAACTCCTTCAGATTTAAGCTCTGCTGAGGGCAAAACTCATAATTCAGGACTGTTTGGAGATCTTCTGCATGCAACCTTGTATGCAAAATGATTTTCAAAAGAGCTTGGCAAATTATGGCTGACTCAGAGAGTGTGGCATGAGTTGCCCTCAGCTACATGTTCTCAGATGATAAGAGTTGAAGAGAATCTGAGAGATGAACTTGTGTGAGCATCACTTTTATAGCTGCGGAGAAGGGAAATGGGTTTGCTCAGTCACAAAGCAAGTTCATGGCTTAGCTAAGGTCAGAACCCAGTCTACTGACTCCCATTCCAGAACTACCTCTATCATATCATCATTTGGAAGGCACATTTCAGAGAGATGATGTGCAGGTCTGTATTCTCAGGACCAAACACAGGGCCTGAAAGACACATAAACTTTGTGGGAGGAAAGACTATATGGATCTATCACTGAGGGTGGGAATCAGGGAGACAACAGAGACCTGTGAAAGTCAGATATCCACCCTGATGAGTGTTCAGCCCTGGATAACAGAAAGAGGCCAAAGAACAAGTGATTTATAGATTTGTGATTTATAATTCATATTAGAAATTTTAGAGGTATTAAGTATCATATTCACAAACAAGAGGACATTATTTCCTGCATCAGGAAGATGAGGGTGCTGTGGCAGAGAAATAAACAACACAGTTCCAAGAATACACAGCTAGTGGAGAGACACATTTCTAGCCATTTTCAGTGCAGACTAATATGTGATATGAAGGAGGAAAACTGTGTGGGAGTAGGGGTGGTGGTATGGGGGAGACTGGGGAACCTAGAGTGAGGTTTTGTGCTAAGAGAGGTAGTCAGTAGGCTTCAAAGTGATGGTGTCACCTTAGTCCACTCTCAAAAGATGAATAAGTTTGTTGAAAAGGAGAGAAAAAGGCATTCTAGGAAGAGAAAGGAGCAGATCAAAGGTTTGGTAGTAAGAGAGAGAAAAGGGCTTTGGCAAAACGCAAACTGTGGAATTAAGATATGGTGAAAGATGAGGCTGAAAAGACTGATGAGGTCACATGGGAGGAACTCTGTGTGCTGTCACTGAGAGTGAGGGGGAAACAAAGCCAATAACAGTAAAGTATTTTCAGTTGAGAGAGATCATATTTGTGGACCAGAATATAACCTCAGGAGCAGAATGAAAAAGATATTGGAAGAGAATACTGGAAGCAGCAACCATTGAGGGCTATCCCATTTGTGCAAGTTTCTGAGGCTTGAGCAGGCAAGGTAGCACTAAGAATGGAGAAAAGGTGACAGAAATTTTGTGCAAGAGGCCGTGGTCCTATACCATATATCTGGACACAGTAGAACTTGGTAAGTATTTGTTGAATAATCTATTAATCCCTGTAACTTATCCCCTGTTAAGTTCTCCATAAGCAACTCTCCTACAGGATAGATAAAGTAGGAAACAAGAGGAGGTATTAAGGAGAAGGCAGCATTGGACTGGGCCTCAGGGTCATCCACTTCCTCATTTAACAAATATTTCCGGCTTATTATGTGTCAGATACAGTTCTAGGTGTTAAGAATTTAGTGTTAATAAACAAAATAATAATCCCTGTTTCTGTAGGACTCCTATTCTTCTAGGAAGGACAGAAAATAAACAAAACACATTGTTAAAGGCTACAGACAAAAAGAAAGCAGGAAAGAGGGACAGAAAATGTTGGGGAGGAGCTAGAAATTTTAGATGGGTAGTCAGGGAAGGCCTTGTGAGACAAAATCATTTCACTAAAGACATGCAAGATGTTAGGAATATTCCAAGCAGAGGAATATCAGATCCAAAGGTCCTAAGACAGGAGTCTGTTTGTATTTCAGAAAAAGCAAAGAGGAGCCAGCATGTTTGGTACAGGGTAAATTGGGGGAAGGGCAGGATGCCAGTTGGAGCTTGGTAGCTGGGGAAAAGGAGAAAGGAATCCAGGCTAAGAAAGGTTTGTGAGCAAAGGCCCAGGGAATGGCTTGTCGTTTGTGGTGGTAGGAAAGCAAAGGAAGCCACGCACTACTGGAGGAAATCACCATTTTGCCATTCTTAGCCACTCTAATATCATGTCAGTTAGTCTCAGCTGAGCCCTTGGTTAAGCTCAGCAATCTTCTTACCATGATTCTCACAGCTCCCTTGCAATGACCAGCCAAAGAGGATCAATTGCTATCATGATCCCTGATGCCCTCCCTGAGCAAGCCCAGAACATACACTTTCCCACTTTAATACCTTTGTTTAAGTTGAAATATCCACCTGGAGTTTCATCCCCACCTTCCTGAAATCCTATTCGTTCTAAAAGCTTCTCCTGATTTCTCAGACATCTCTCATCTCTCTGTTCTAAACTCTCTAAACACTACATATTGTAGTGCCCTTTGGGCCTTCAGAACACTTTGCTTTATGTATCCTTTACCATGTGGCTACTAACCTTCTCAATGGGGTAATCAGCTCTTGGAGGACAGTAGCCATGTGTCATTTGCTCCATCCTCTCTGTATTTGGCATCGGCCCTGCAGGGGCCCTGCAAGCCCAGGGCTAGGTGTGCAATATATACCCACCCTGGACTAGAGTGACTGGTAAACACAGTGTAGACAGGATTAACTGGTAAACACAGCCATATTTCATACCTGAAAGGCAGAATGGTATACAGGAAAAGAGCACTGGCTTCAGATCCAGACATAGCTGGAATCAAATCCTGGTTTTCCAGAGCTTATTAACTGTGAAACTCATGTCACTTTACCTTTTTGAGCTTTATAAAATGGGCAGGTACTATAATCTAGTCATACCATCATTGCACTTGTGGTAAGGATGAAATGAGATTTAATGCATAAAAATGAGAATAAAACTTGGTACAAGGAGATGCTCAATAAATTACTGTCAAATTACTTTGCCAAGTCATATTTTAAAAATGTACTTAATGTTCTTCCCATAAGAAGCCTGAAGGGAGCTCTGAAAATGGTTTGCTATATACTTGGCCCAGAAAAGCCTACAAAATCACATGAATCGGGAGGTTCAAATCTTCGTGCTGACTTTAAAAACACAGGTGAAACTGCCCACGCCATCAAGGGTATGCATATCTGAAAAGCCGCCAAGTATGTGAAGGATGTCACTGTGCAGAAGCAACACGTGCCATCCTTCACTCCAATGGTGGAGTTGGTAGGTGTGCCCAGGCCAAACAGTGGGGTTGGACACAAGGTCAGTGGCCCAAGAAGAATGCTGAAGTTTTACTGCATAGGCTTCAAAATGCAGAGTATTGCTGAACTTAAGGATTTAGATGTAGGGCACCTGGGTGGCTCAGTTGATTACGTGGCTGCCTTCAGCTCAGATCATAATCCCTGGGTCCTGGGATCGAGTCCCCCATCCAGTCCCCCACTGCCAGCAGAGAGTCTGCTTCTCCTTCTCCCTCTGCCCTTCCCTCTACCCCTACTTGTGCTCTCTCCCTCTCTGCCTCAAATAAATAATAAAATCTGACCAAAAAAAAAAAAAAAAAAAAGAAAGAAAGAAAAGAGTTCAGATGTAGACTCTCTGGTCATGGAGCACATTCAGTGAACAAAGGCCCCAAGATGCAGCAGAGAACTGACAGGGCTCGTGGTTGGATGAACCCACACATGACTCTCCCTGACACACGGAGAAGATCTTTACTGAAAAGAGCAGACTGATTCTAAACTAGAAGAGGAAGTTGCACAGAAGAAACAATATCCAGAAGAAACTGAAGAAAAACTTATGACCTGGGAGTAAATTCTGCATAAAGTAAATGCAAATAAAAGTAAAAACAGAAAAAAAAAAAAAAAGTAACTTGCTGTCTAATGGAAAAGTTACAAGTATATTTGCATTGCTTTGTATTTGTACTTTTGCAATACGGGGATACCCCCTAAAATGGAATGTAAACCCTATCTTTGCTATTTTAAATTCTATTTTATGCAATAACAATGAAACAGAACAATCCTTGCAAAAAATAAAACTTTTTCGTGCTTTCCTTAAATTCATTCATCTATTGATTTTTCTCTTTTAAAAAATTCAGTTTTGGGCACCTGGGTGGCTCAGTGGATTGAAGCCTCTGTCTTCGGCTCAGGTCATGATCCCAGGGTCCTGGGATCGGGCCCCGCATCTGGCTCTCTGCTCAGCAGGGAGCCTGATTCCCTTCCTCTCTACCTACTTGTGATCTCTGTCAAATAAATAAATAAAATCTTTTAAAAAAATTCAGTTTTTATACATTATAGTTGTCAAAAATAGCCTGCTTTGGTGGGTCAATAAAAAAAAATTATTTCCCAGTTTTGTGACTCATATGGGATCTCATTATCTGTAATAAAGTACAGCAAGGGCTGTACTTGGGGAAGACTTTGTCCTGAGATAAAACATTTCAAGGTTTCAAAGATAATGAGAAGGATAAGAGAACCTCAGGGGTCATTATAGCAGCTTATACTCATGGGAATAATGCCTGTTGGTGGTGTGTACAGAGAGAAATGAAATGAAAGGTAAGCAACAGTTACCATGGAGTGAATTTTGTTTCTGTTCCAACATAGCACAGATTGAGAGAGGCCAACACAGAGATGATAGGAGCTAAGTACAAGGCCAAACGAAAAGATGTATATTGAAACCTGAGCTCACAGGGCTTTGGTTATCTGGCTCACACATCCATCATACATCTCAGAATTGTTAATTCCAACCATTTATAGATGAGAAATTCAAGACAGAGGGAGACAATAACTTGCCAAAGTCACACACATACAACTTACTGATTGGGAATACATATTTGAGGGTGTTTCTACTGGAATGTAAGCTCCACACGGGCACGATTTTTAGCTATTTTGTTCACTACTTTATGTCCAGCACTATACACTATGGTAAAGAGGGCAAAAAGTGCTGGGAGAGCAAACAGGAGAGGGGCCTTTATGTTAGGGAAACTGATAAACATCGAGTCTTAATAGAGGAGTTGGAATTAGCCAGGGAAAAGAGAAGGGTGATGGCAAAGAGAAAGTTTTAGGAGCGATTACAAGGCTGAATAAAGAGTAAGGTAAGGGTTCCTTGTGCCATGGACACATGGATACATGGCTGTCTGGTGAGGTCGCTGGGCCTCTTCTTCTTAACAGTGTGTGTATGATCAGTATGTGTGAGTTTTTTCCCTTTTCTTTTTTTTTAGAGAGGGAGAGAAGGAGGGAGAGGGGCAGAGGTAGAGGAATCTTCAGCAGGCTCCACACTGTGTGGAGCTTGACGTGGGTTTCGATCTCATGACCCTGCGATCATGAACTGAGCTGAAATCAAGAGTTGGATGCTTAACAGACTGAGCCACCCAGGCACCCCAACGTCTGTGTGTTTTAAAGATTTTATTTATTTATTTTGGGGGGGGGAGAGTGAGAGAGAGAGCATGAGTTGCGGGGAGAGGCAGATGGAGAGGGAGAAGCAGGCTCCCCACTGAGCAGAAGAAAGCCCGATGTGGGCCTGGATTCAAAGACCCCAGGATTATGACCTAAGCCAAAGGCAGACATTTAACTGACTGAGCCATCCAGGTGCCGCTCTGTGTGTTTTTTAAAATGCATAATGTAAGATACACAGGATTACGTAAAAATCAAATTATATTAGCATATTATCAAAATGCTAAAAAAGCAGTGACCTACTAGTATATATGCTTTATTAATATGTAACAAGATCTAACTGTACATTTTACAACTACTATAATTTTGAAGTAATGATAGGTATAAAAAGATATCTGTAAGAACTACAATGTGACGGGAAAATACCTGTGATTTCTATTGCTGACAACATCACAGACAGGTACTGTTAATATTACTAGGTTCTAGTGTTTATGATCACAACTGTAGGAAATGTTTAATTTTAGTTAGAGGTTAATAAAATCCAGATGTGATTATTTTCCTATCCAAGTTCACCATCTTGGCTTTTTATTCTTAGGTCCTTTGGGGTTTAGGGATGCAGTGTTAAGAACTCTTGGTCCCAGGTACATAATGAAGATGGTCCGAGTTGGTAGCAATGGAAAGGAGAAAAAGAGTCCTGAGAGAAATTTAAGAGATACAACAATTTAATGAAATTGATATGATGGTGGATGAGGAAAAGAGAAGTACCTAAGCTTGATATGATGGGGGATAAAGGAAAAGAGAAATACTTAATTTGATACTCAGGTTTCTGGACTGGGGAACTTATGATATGCGAAGTTAATATATAACTGGCAATGTCCACTTAAGTTCAGAAAGGCTTTCATATTGCTTAAACTTTTAGGCTTGAGAAATATAATTATCAATTAAGATGTTGTTGCAGATTCTGTCATGATTTCCAAGATTTATGAAGCCAGGACCATAATCTAAGGAGTCAGATACATGATCCTTTTAAGCTCATACCTTTTAAGCTCATACGTACCTTTTAAGCTCAAATGCATCGCTCTTTCTACCAGGATACTGACTGCAAAAGTTCCATCCAATGTGGCAGGGCTCTCCTGGGCTGGGCAGACTTCCTTTGTGGTGTTGCAAGGGACCTGGGTGGACGCAGGAGACTTCTGGCGGGCAGGTGATGGAGAGAGCTGAATCTCATCATTCCTTCTGGGGAACTGCTCGGACTCACTGTGGCTGCTGCAGTCCACAGAATCCAGCTCAGGAGCAGACCCGGGGTGTGGAGAAGGAGAGGAAAGAACCACATGAACTCGTAAGGCAGCTCCTGAGAGGTTGGAAGCATTTCGTCCAAACAGGGGATACACACCTGCAAGAGGATGAAGGAGGATAAGCCCAAGCAAGCAGGAACCAACAACACTCTCTAACCTTGGAAATGATTCACTGGGAGTGCTTGTGGTCCTCTCTCCTTCAATAGGCCTATAGGCCCCAATATGCCAATTTGTAAAAGAAACTGTGAAGTCAGTATACGGTGTGAAAATGTTTACTCCCTTCTCCCCAATATGCACATTATCTCCATTAATGGGTAGTAGTGCAAATTCAGATTTGAAGCCAAAGCCAAATGACTACCAGGCAGAGTTGCTGTGGAAGAGATTCACGAGCTGGGGTGAGATGACTTAGATGACTTCTCATACCTTCTGAAAGTAAGATTATTATTAAAGCAGGAGTGGCCTGTCCTCTCTGTCACATGTCCCTCTGGCTCTTGTCTATAGGCTTTCTCCTAAGGTCTTCTTCTTAGGAAGCTGTCCTGGTGCTCAACTTAGCCTGTTTGAGCAACTAAATATGTCTGGCAGTAGCCCTGAAGATCATCTGGAAATGAAGTAGGGGGCTTCAGCAAAGGAGGCAAGAAAGAAAAATAGGGGAATTCCTGTTTGTTGACTATTTCTCATGTGCCAGGATCTGAGGAGTTAGGTAACCTGCCAAGGTGAATTCTCCAAAGTGGCAGATTTAATCTCAGGTATATGAACTTACAAGCTTCCTGGATATTAAAATGAGATTTCATTATATAGCAGAAGGCACTGAGAATTCTTTCAGAATCTCAGAGTTTGGTTCATTAGGCTCATTTAAATTCAGGAAAATGGAGTTAACTGATTTACAGGAAGCAGTAACATGCAACTTTCCCTGTCTTTGTCAGTTTTTTAGGTAACCTCTTTTCTTGTGATGCAATGTGTTTATTATCATCATTATTACAAGCAGAAAGTAAGGCCAATGGGAGGCAAGACATCCAAAAGCAACACAGCTAAAGCCTTATCCTCAAGAAACTCAACAGCTACTTGGAAGGACGCTTGGGTGGATGACTGAATGGATGCTTGGGTCATTCAATCAGTACATCCAATACCACACCTTGTACAAAACCCATTTACAAGAAGATAAAGAGCTTAGAGTGATGGGAGGTGGAGAAGTAGGAGAGAAATGCATAATCGTAAAACTTAAATATTTCCTTTGTATCAGTCAATAAAAAGAAGTATTTCTGCTTGAGTTCTGATCTTTAAATCTTTATTTAGTGTTCCAAACCTACTTTCTTCAGCAGAATGAAGTTAAAAGTCCATCTTTATGAACTTTAGTTCAAATGAGCTGTGCTTACTTCAAAGATGTTTTCTGCAGGCTCTCTGAAGTGACTCTCGGCTCGCCAGACAAAATAGGGCACATGGAATCTAATGAGGTGTTCAACGGAGACAGAATTACACCTGCTGGGTCCAGAGAGAACCAGAGAATCTGGGATGATCACCCAAATACTTAGTTCTTTCTTAGCTTGGGCCATCTGTGCAACAGGGTCAGAGCACAAGGCTAACAGAGCTACACAGGGTTGTGACTCAGTTTCTTTAGTTGTATAGTGGAGGAAATAACAACCAATCTTACAAGGAATATCCTAATGAATAAATATCATGTTTATTAAGAATCTAGTCTGGTTATCTTCAATTCATTCTGCATTATAGTTACTAGATGGAGTCTTCTAAAATGCAAAACTATCACTCTTCTATTCAGACCCCATTAGAATAGCTTTCCATAGCTCCCAGATAGAAGTCCCATACTCTTGTCTGCCTTTATAACTTCATCTCCTTATCATCTTCCATCCTATGTATCTTATGATCCAGCAGTACCAAATTACTTACAGTGCCTAAAAGGTATGAACCTGCCTCATGCCTCTGTACCTTCACAGGCTGTTCTCCTGTTTAGAATATCATTCTTTGCCTTTTCATGGCTTATTCCTAAATCCTCTGAAACTCAGGTCAAGGATCATTTCCACTGAGATGTCATCCTTGAACCAAAGAGATGTTGCATCCCTGTGCTCCACAATACCACTGAGGATACCTTTTCATAGTTCTTATGGTTCACTGTAATTGTTTATTTACTACTCTATTCTTCCATTGACTATCTCTTACTCATCTCTGAATTCCCAGAGCCAAGTATATGAATCAAGTACTGAACAAAAGTTTAAAAGAAAGCATCTAGCACATAATGCCGCTTGCAAAATGTTACCTTTTTCCTTTCTGCCTTGTGAACCAATTTATTACTTTGTACATTTTCTTTATGATTTCAAGATGTGCTGACCAGAGAGAGAGGATATCCTAGTCTCACCAGCAGCTATGTTTTTCAGTGTATTTTAAAAACTAGCATTCTAGATTATCACAGAGGCTCTTATACATGAGTTTAAAGATAGTGCCCCCCCCAATTCACCCATTTTTATTTTACACAAATTGAGTACAATATTCTAGGCACTACGTTAGGTGCAAAAATCTGCTAAATTTGACTGCATTCTAAAGCTACAAAGTTCAGAGCCACTTCTCAGATCTGTGGTGACCCTACCAAGATATACTGTCATGAGGCAATGCCCTCTTTTAAGCAGCCAGTGGTGCTCTTTCCTTTTGAAAATTCTTTAGTTATAGGAAGCATTACTAAATTATTACTAATCTTTCAGCATACAATACTAGAAGAAAACACTTGCTAGCTGTGAGCCTGGGTAGTAATCTAACCTCTTTGAGACTCCATTTACATGACTATAAGATAGGTCTGATATCTATCTCCTAGCACTGCTAGGAGGATCAAATAAAATAATGTCTGAGGGAGCTTATCACATAGTGCTTGTCACAAGGCAGGTGCTGAAACCACAAGAGCTGAGGCCGGTTCCTCACTTACCACTGACTGTTAATGTTCTTGCTGACCTCTCTCCAAGTCTGGCCAGGTCCACATAAGCTGAGCCAATCCAGCTGTCCGTCTGGTGGGGCCTCTCCACACTGTCATTGCCATAAGCCCGCCACACTTGGATCTCTAACCTCTCTTCCCTGAAATACCAAAGGAGTGATGGGCCCCTAGTGACTTCGGCTCTTCTGGATGCCTTGAAAGTAACCATGACTTGTTTTTTGTTTGTAGATTCCTTAGGCTTCTTGAGAGGGGTCCAGAAGGCCTCATGATCATACAGCTTATAGCGGAGGTAGCAGTATGTGTTCTTATGAATGTGGTTCTGGCCAGCAAGAAGCACACAATGGATGGGCAGCCAGAGCCTTGGGGTGGATATGGTGACAGTGGCTGGCTCCTCTTCATTCATCTTGACAAGATTCTTCAGATTATTCTCAAAGTTCCAGCCCAATAGCTCAGCAGCTTCCAATACCCGCTCTCTATCACCAGGATGCGTGAAGGAAACTGAAAGCTCCAGGCCACCCACAATCTTCTGCATGAGCTCCAAACCATGAGGCAGGGCCCCATCCTCTGGCAAAATGATAGGATACCATCCTGTGATCCCTTATGGAAAACAAGTAAGACTTTCAATTAGTGTTTTAAGAATAAAACGATTTACCCACTTCCTACTCCAGATCCACCATCACTCTGGCCAAAGACAGAACAGAAAACATATACCCGGGGTGCCTGTGTGGCTCAGTGGGTTAAAACTCTGCCTTCAGCTCAGGTCACGATCTCAGGGTCCTGGGATCGAGTCCTGCATTGGGCTCTCTGCTTGGCAGGGAGCGTGCTTCCCCTCTCTCTCTCTGCCTGCCTCTGCCTACTTGTGGTCTCTCTCTGTCAAATAAATAAAGTCTTAAAAAAAATATATATATACCCACAGAACACGGGAGTTTGTTTTCCCCGACCACTGAAAGACTATGAGATCAGGTGGAAGAACAAAGCCTAGGAATTGGAAGACCTGAATTCTCTCCTAGGCTCAAGCCCAAACCAGCAGTTCAGTCTAGTTAAGTCATTAATTTCATTCAACCTTGGTTTCCTTACCTAACAAAGAGGAAAACTGGTGCTAATCTTGCCCACCAGACAAAATTGTTATAATCATCAAATGAGGTAATGGTTTTGGAAGAGTTTGAAAAGAGATGTGATAAAAAAATGTGAAATGGAGGGGTTGAAAGATGGAGGCTGGCTGAGTAGGAGGACCCTAGGCTCTACCTTGTCCCACAAATATTAACTAGATAACTATCAAATCATTCCAAGAACCCCAGAAATTGACCTGAAAACTGGCAGAACAAACCCCACAACTAAAGGTTGAGATGAGGACTCATCAAAGAGAGAAATGGATTGTGGCTGTTGCAGTGGGGAGGGAGTCATGGCCACAGAGAAGGGCAAGACACACACTAGCACACAGAGGAGCTCACGGGAAAACAAATTCCCATAGCAAATGGCTTGGAAAGTGAGAGGGACTGAATTTCATGAGTTTCTGCAACAGTGGGGCTTAAAGCCTGGAGTTTTAAATTAGCATGCTTGGCTCTGATAGAGCCTGGAGGGCATTAGGGCTGCGCAAACAGCCTGAGAACGTACAGTCTAGGAAGAACAATCTGAAGAGCACCTGGAACACATAATGGGGAGGTTATATGCTAACCTAATGGTAACCATATATCAAAACCACTAATAAATATGTAAGGTATAAAGAGAAAGAAATCCAAATATATCAGCAGGCCATGAAAGGATCAGAGAAAATTTTCAGAAACAACCAAAAACAAGTAATAAAATGACAATAAATATTATCTATCATAAATTGACTAAATGCTCCAATCAAAAGACATTGAGTAAGAGAATGGGTAAAAAACAAGACTCATTTACATGCTGCTTACAAGAGACTCATTTTAAACTTAAAGACACCTGCAGATTGAAAATGAGGGGATGGAGAAAAATCTATCATACAAATGGATGCCAAAAGGAAGCCAGAGTAGCAAAACTGATATGGGACAAAACAGACTTTAAAACAAACTGTAAAAAGAGACAAAGAAGGACAGTGTATATTAACAAAGGGGACAATCCAACAAGAAGATATAACAATTATAAATATTTATGTACCCAACATAGGAACACCCAAATACAAGAAACCGTTAAAAACAAACATAAAGGAACTAATCGATAACAATACAATAACATTAGTAGACCTTAACATCCTACTTACATCAAGAGGTAGATCATCTAAACAGAAAATCAATAAGGAAACAATGGCTCTGAATGACCCACTGGAACAGATGGATTTAACAGATATATTCAGAACATTCCATCCTAAAACATCTGAATACACATTCTTTTCAAGTACATATAGAACATTCTTCAGAACAGATTATATAGTAGGCCAGAAAACAAGCCTCAACAAATTCAGGAAGATCAAAGTCATACCATGCATCTTTTCTGACCACAATGCTATGAAACTAGGAAGTCAACCACAAGAAAAAATCTGGGAAGAACACAAATACACAGAGGTTAAATAATATGCTACTAAACAATGACTGGGTCAACTAGGAAATAAAAGAAGAAACAAAAGTAGATGGAAACAAATGAAAATGAAAATACAATGGTCCAAAATCTTTGGGATCAGCAAAAGAAGTTCTAGGAGGGAAGTTTATAGCAACAGAGGTCCACCTCAAGAAGCAAGAAAAATCTCAAACAACTTAACCTTACACCTAACCTAGAAAAAGAACAACAACAAAACCTGAAACTAGTAGAAGGGAGGAAATAATAAAGATTAGAGCAGAAATAAGTGATAAAGAAACTAAAAATGTAATAGAACAGACCAACGAAACCAGGAGCTGGTTTCTTGGAAAAAAATAAATAAAATTGGCAAGCATACAACAAAAGAAATAAAAGGCATCCAAATTGGTATGGAAGAAGTGAAATTTTCACTATTTGCAGATGATATGATACTGTATATAGAAAACCCTAAAGATTCCATCAAAAATCTTATAGAACTGATAAACAAATTCAGTAAAGTTGTAGGATACAAAATCAAGATACAGAAATCTGATACATCTTTCTCCTCCCTCCCTCCCTGCTTGCTTGCTTTCTTTTCCTCCCTCCCTTCTTTCCTTCCTCCCTTCTCTTCCTTTCAGTAGCCCAATGCAGGGCTTGAACTCACAACACTAGGATCAAGACCTGGACTGAGATAAAGACTGGATGCTTAACCAACTGAACAACCCATTCGCCCCTGTTGAATAAATACACCAATAATGAAGCAGCAAAAAGTGAAATTAAGGAAATAATCCTATTTGTAACTGCACCAAAATAACAAGATACCTAGGAATAAACCGAACTAAAGAGTTAAAAGACTTATACTCTGAAAACTATAAAATATTGATGAAAGAAATTGAAGACAACACAAAGATATGGAAAGACATTCCATGCTCATGGACTGAAAAAATAATGTTAAAATGTCTATACTACTCAAAGATCTAAACATTTAAAGCAATCCCTATCAAAATACCAATAGTCTTTTTTACAGAACTTGAATAAACAATCCTAAAATTTGTATGGAACCAAAAAAGACCCCAAATAGCCAAAGAAATCTTTTTTTTTTTTTTTTAAAGATTTTATTTGTTTATTTGACAGACAGAGATCACAAGTAGGCAGAGAGGCAGGCAGAGAGAGAGGAAGAGAAGCAGGCTCCCCGCTGAGCAGAGAGCCCGATGCGGGACTCGATCCCAGGACCCTGAGATCATGACCTGAGCCGAAGGCAGCGGCTTAACCCACTGAGCCACCCAGGCGCCCAGCCAAAGAAATCTTGAAAAAGGCAAAGTTGGAGGCATAATTCTGGACCTCAAGTTATATTACGAAGCTGTAGTAATCAAAACAGTATGGTACTGGCACAAAAACAGTCACATAGGTCAATAGAACAAAATAGAAAACCCAGATATAAACTCACAATTATAACATCAATTAATCTTTGAAAAAGCAGGAAACAATATCCAATGGGAAAAAGACACCACTCAGCAAATGGTGTTGGAAAAACTGGACGGTAACATGCAAAAGAATGAAATTGGATCACACTTTCTTAAACCATACACAACAATAAATTCAAAATGGACTAAAGACCTAAGTACGAGACCTGAAACCATAAAAATCCTAGAAGAGAACACAGGCAGTAACTTCTTTCACATCAGTTATAGCAACTTTTTTCTAGGTATATCCACTGAAGCAAGGGAAATAAAAGCAAAAATAAACTACTGGAACTATATCAAAATAAAAAGCTTCAGAACAGTGAAAGAAACAATCAACAAAACTAAAAGGCAACCTACTAAATGGAAGAAGACATTTGCAAAATGACATATCTGATAAAGGGTTAGTATTCAAGGGGCGCCTGGATGGCTCAGTGGGTTAAAGCTTCTGCCTTCGGCTCAGGTCATGATCCTGGGGTCCTGGGATCGAGCCCTTCATCAGGCTCTCTGCTCAGCAGGGAGCCTGATTCTCCTCCTCTCTCTCTGCCTGCCTTTCTGCCTACTTGTGATCTCTGTCAAATAACTAAATAGAATCTTTAAAAAAAAAAAAAAAGGGTCAGGGCACCTGGGTGGCTCAGTGGGTTAAGGCCTCTGCCTTCGGCTCAGGTCATGATCTCAGAGTCCTGGGATCGAGCCCCACATGGGGCTCTCTGCTTGGCAGGGAGCCTGCTTCCTCCTCTCTCTCTGCCTGCCTCTCTGCCTACTTGTAATCTCTGTCTGTCAAATAAATAAATAAAATCTTTTTTTAAAAAAAAGGGGGGTCAGTATTCAAAACATATACAGAACTTATACAACACAATACCCAAAAAACAAATACTCCAATTAAAAAATTGACAGAAGACATGAACACACATTTCTCCAAAGAAGACATGCAGATGGCCAACACAGACATGAAAAGATGCTCATCATCACTTATCATCAGGGAAATACAAATCAAAACTACAATGAAGTATCACCTCACACCTGTCAGAATGGCTAAAGTCAACAACACATGTAACAACAGGTATTGGCGAGGATGTGGAGAAAGGGGAACCCTCTTACACTGTTGGTGGGAATATAAACTGGTGCAGCCACTGTGGAAAACAATATGGAGCTTCCTCAAAAGTTTAAAATAGAACTACCCTATGATTGAGGAATCGCATTACTGGCTATTTACCCAAAGAATACAAAATCACTAGTTCAAAGGGATAACCACACCTCTGTTTACAGTAGCACTATTTACAATAGACAAGATACAGAAGCAGCCCATGCTGTGTACATTATCAACGAATGGATAAAGATGTGAGACACACACACACACACAGAGGAATATTATTCAGCTACAAAAAATAATGAAATCTTGCCATTTGCAATGACATGGATAGAGCTAGAAAGTATAAGGCTAAGTGAAATAACTCAGAGAAAGGCAAATACCAAAGGATTTCACTCCTGTGTGGAATTTAAGAAACAAAACAAATGAGCAAAGGGGGAAAAAGAGAGTGAGCAAGAGAGACAAACTAAGAAACAGACTCTTAACTACACAGAACAAAGAGATGGTTACCAGAGGGGAAGGGGTGTTTGGCGGATGGGTTAAATAGGTGGTGGGGATTAAGGAGTGTACTTATCATGATGAACAGAGGATAATGTATGGAATTGCTGAATTACTACAATTACTACATAGTATACCAGAAACTAATATAATACTGTATGTTAACTATAACTAAAGTAAAAACTTAAAAAAAAATGTGGTATATATACCCAATGGAATATTATTCAGCCATAAAAAGAATAAAATCTTCCCATTTGCAGTGACAGGGATGGAGCTAGAAAGTATACTGCTAAACAAAGACAGAGAAAGACAAATACCATATGACACCACTCATATGTGGAATTTAAAAAACTAAATGAGTAAAGGAGAAATAAAGAGAGAGAAGACAAATCAAGAAACAGATTTTTAATTAGAGAGAACAAACTGATGGTTACCAGAGGGGAGGCCAGTGCAGAGATGGGTGAATTAGGTGATGGGGACTAAGGAGTGCACTTGTGATGAGCACGGGGTGATGTACTAAGTGGCTGAATCACTACACTGTACACCTGAAACTGATACAACACTGTATGTTAAAAAAAAAAAAAAACAACAACCAACTTGCCTCATATGATCCATGTACCAATTCATTTCTCCAACCCTCAGTTTTTTCATCAGCAAAATGAGGAAATTAGGCTTCTACAGGCCTTCCTGAATTTAAGAATGTATAATTCAGTACTGTGTCTACATGAGGGATGGAGAAGAGGAGAAATACACTGAGAGGAACTAAAACAAAACTTGCCTACATCCTAAATCATTCCACTTGAACCCATTAAAACACATACATATCACTTAGGGGAAAAAAAGTGAAATGTTATAAAAGTGCTGTAAATACTGGGGAAAAGGCATGGGTCAGGAGATCTAGGGACTAGTCCTAAGTCTCCCACTGAAGGAACTGCCACTTAGGACCAGGCACTAGATTTCAAAAAAATAAAAGCTACTCTTCACTGAGTATCCACTGTGTGTCAGACATACTCTTAGGGCTTCATATATAATAATTCACATATATATTACTTCTCCTGATAACTGGGATAATAATCCCTATTTTACAGATGAGAAAACAGAAGCTCAGAGACCCTGCCTGGATTATTATAGCTACCACCTTGAACAAATAAGTGACATAAGTGAGAAACCCTCTATACCAAGTTGTACAGACTTTTCTCTGACAGGCACACAGAGTACCCGTTAGACAGTACTGCTCAAATTTTAATTCACAATTAAATTCAGGAGATGTATGATAGGATTCTGGATATTAGAATACACAATTCTAGGGAGGATGATGGGCAAGAAAAGGAAAGCTGACATTTATCGAGTCCCTGCAATGTGTTGGATACTTTAAATATCTGATTTCATCAGCTCCATCAGACCTGTCAGGATTAACTGTCTCCATTCATGAGATAAGAAAACTGAGGCTCAGAAGGGTCAAGGTCACTGAGCTAGCAGTTAAGTAGAACAGGTCCATTATTTCCAGACTGCCTTGGTGGCTATCCCCTTTTAGGTTGTTACCTCATTCTTTATTCCTTCTACAGTGAGAGAAGAAGGTACAGTGAAAAAGAATAGGTGAACCTGGACTTGATTTCCTATACCACCACTCACTAGTTGTGTGGTTTTGGCAAATCACTTAAATTCTGTGAGCCTAAGTTTCCTCATCGGTAAAATAAAAATAGTAAGACCCTGTATTCCCACCAAGCAGGGTTATAATGAGGCTCACGCAGTATCTGAGGAAATAGTTCACAGAATGTTATGTAACATGTATCACCATATTTACTATTTGTAATATCACCATCACCATCATCTTTCCTGGAGTAAGACAACAATACAAACAAAGCTTTGAGTTACTTTACTTTGTTAGAAAACTTTCGAAATGATTAGGAAAGGACTTAAAATACTTTTCAGTAAACTTCTAAGGTACCTGCAAGAATTCAAAGCATTTGTTAGGGGTCATGTTTTCATCTGCATATCTTACAGGGAGCCATGCAAGATGATCTCTTGTAGGAAGGAAATGAGAAGGGGTAGAATTAGAAAGTGATTATCCAGCACCCTTACCAGATCTCTTGACCAGCAGCTCTTTTGTTGGAACCTTTACTACTCCAAGCAGATAATCTCTGAATGACTGAATACTGGTTATATCACTGGCTATCAAATCAAACAAAAAAGAGAAAATTATTTAGTGCTTTACTGACCAAAGGCTAAATATTTCAGCATGTATTTTCTAGGAAGAGCTATAATATTCAAAACAGAGCCCCTTTTAATTCTGATTGTGGTTAGTCATTTGGTGCTCACCTGACTTGGTATCTTCATGATAAACAGCAAAAGTGACCTCTGCAAATTCCAACAGTTCTGCCAGGAAACAGGCCTCTCCACTGCAGTGCTGAGTCACCAAGTTGCATGGAAACTCAATGTGATGGGAGAACTCAGGGCAGAAGGAACAGGCTATGGGGCGGGTTCGGCGCTGTTCTCCCTTGGGCAGGAAGGAGAGATGAGTGGTGACAAAGGCATTGACCCCGACTGTGGCACTGAACTGTAGAGCGGGTTCCTGCTCCGCCAGAGCCCTGTAAAGGAAGAAGGATGGGAATGAGATGGTAGTATCAAAAGTCAGCTGGACTGCCTAGAAAACATCTGCACTATTTTCATGAGGCTACCAGGAACACTAACTGACCCTGTATTTCCTATCTAGGCTTTGGGCAGAGCCATAATGTGCTTTCTTAGTAATCATTTAGATCATAGTGTATGTGTATGGGATGGGGGAAGAAAACATTCACATGTTTACCAGAGTGATACTCCAAGAACACTCCTTTGTACTGTCAATGACCTTCAGCCAAAGACTACCAGGGAGCAATGGTAGTTGAACAAGTTGGTTTTATTGTTCATTACGATGAGAAAGAATATATACCAAGGGAAATTATGGGGAATTTTAGTAAAAAGCTATCAGAAAGGACTTATATAGCACTCAACTCATTTGTGGATTTGGAGGTTGTTCAAGGAAGTGGGGCTTTGCTCTCTGTATTGCTGTTCTAATGAATCTTTTTTTTTTTTTTTAAAGATTTTATTTATTTATTTGACAGAGAGAGATCACAAGTAGGCAGAGAGGCAGAGAGAGGGGGAAGCAGGCTCCCTGCTGAGCAGAGAGCCCGATGTGGGGCTCGATCCCAGGACCCTGGGATCATGACCTGAGCTGAAGGCAGAGGCTTAACCCACTGAGCCACCCAGGCACCCCGTTCTAATGAATCTTATCTAGGAAGGAAGGAAGACTAGAATAAGGCTAAGGCTGTAATTGGTAAAGCAGCAGCGGTAACTCATTTTGCAGTAACTCATTTTGGCCAAGATGGGGGGATGCTAGGTATTTTGTGATTCATAATGACCTTGTTTTGGTTTGTATCTAGGGAAGATTACAGAGTAACTTTATTTTTTTCTGTCTTCAATGTGATTGCAAAGCAGCCTTATCTGATGTTGCTGTTCTGTGAGATTGTTTATGCTCAGCATGAAAACGCCAAGCCCAGCTACAAGTGTCAGATCAGATTCCAGATGTCTCTGGGGCTGTTTTTCTCAGTAGAGATGTACCACAACACACAGACAGAACCTATCCACCTTTAACTGATACTTGTAAAAAGTCGTCAAGTCTTTCATGTGTGGGTATAGTATGAGACAAACTCCCTCATCTCAACTTCCCCAAGGTTATAAAACTGACATTGAGGCAAAGGTCACCTCTTTTTATACCCTTTTTTTTTTCTTTTAAAGTAAGCTCCACGTCCAATGTGGGGCTTGAACTCATGACCCTGTGATCAAGAGTCTCATGTTCTACCAACTGGGCCAACCAGGCATCCCAAAGAGGTCACCTCTTTTTGAAGCATTTCCTGATAGCCACAAAGCATTCAGAGGGGTTCCTTCTTTATTGTTCTTGATATGCATTTTTAGAGGATAGTAATCTGGAGTTACATAGATCTGGGTTTTAATCTTAGCTCTATCATTTAATTAAATGTGTGACCTTGGACAAGTTATTCAAACTCTTCCAAGTTTCATTGTCTTCTTTACTAAAAGGAGGACAGCATAAGGATACAACAAATACTAAAGGTTTATGTATAGTTATATGTGTACTTCATTTTCATTTCTAATGAAATTAACCTAAAATGATCATTAAAGTAGACTGGTATATGTCTATACAACAGCATACTCAGAAATGTATATTGTGCATAGGAAAAATGAGGGAAATAAATCAAATGCTAGTAGTGGCTAAAAAAACAAGGATAAAATGTTCAAGTAGTGTCATAAAAATTATATAATATATACAAAGCAGAGTACCTGCCTATGGGTTATGAAAGGACTCTTAATATAGGAAACTCTCAGAGATGGCAGTGATAGCAAAGAAAGTTTGGGCCCAAAGCTGGTCTGAATTTATTCATTCGGTAATTATTTCCCAAGCATCAGATCTGTGTGTCATGCACTGGGCTCAGAGCTAGATACATATAGTAGTGAAATAACTATAATTTCTTACTCTTGTGGAATTTAGTAAGTATTGCAGGGCCTCTGCTGTCAAATAAATGACTGTCTATATCTAGACTGTGATTTCTCTTCCTTTGATCCAATTATCTTTTTGCTAGTACTTCACCAGCAAATCAGTGAACCCATGTATGTTCATGAATTTTCTACTCATTCTCAGGTAAAGATGAGGTTAGTTAAAAGACTCTCATGAATAAGAAAGAAGGGATCTGTTTACACAGACATTGAAAGTGTATTTTCAGGAAGACTACTGGCACTTAAGATGAGGGTTGGCGTCTCTCTCTTTTTTAAAGATTTATTTATTTATTTGAGAGAGATGGAGAGTGTGTTCAGGCAGGAGATGGCGGAGGGGGAAAGAATCTCAAAACTCACGCTGAGCAGGGAGCCAGATGCAGAGCTTGATCTCAAGACCCTTAGTCATGACCTGAGCTGAAATCAAGAGTCAGATGCTTAACTGACTGAGCCACCCAGGTGCCCTGAGGGCTGGTGTCTCTTGGTAAGAGAAGGCTGACTTCAGAGGACCTGCTATCTGGATACCAAGAATTCCTATCTTCAATAAGATGCAAAGTAAAACTTATTTCTGATTTTACTATATTTTGCTGGCTAAGAAGGGTAATGTTATCTATACAAATGGAACTAATCACTTGTATAGTAATAATTTATAAAATGACTTCATATTTATATTATATAAATATGTATATTTGTATATTATATTATATATTTATAATATGTAATATAATTATAATATTTCTATACAATATATATTTATATAATTATATAATTATATTTATATTATATAATATAAATATGTATATATGTGTGTATATATATACATTATAATTCTTATACTGATCCTTATAAAATCAGGAAAGGTGTTCATAATTTTCATTTTTTGGATGAAAAAACTTAGACACAGAGAAGTAAAGAAACTAGCCCGAGATCACATACAGCTAGTGGAAAATGGGACTAGAAGGCAAGGAGTCCAATTTCGAGTGCATTTCTGTTTCCATTATACCCTGTCTGTATATGTTCATACATAGTCTGTAAGACTGCCCCAAACTATAAAGAGAATATAGTGTTAGAACTGCCCTGGCTTCTTACCCTTCCTTCTTGACAGTAACACAGACCAAAAGGGCTTACAACAAACTGCCTGCCACCCGATCTGACTTTTTTTATGATCCCAAGAGCGGGACTACTGAGCTTATCTAGGAGAGAGCTACTGAGTATCTAAGCTCCAAGTCCTTCTCTGCCAATTAAATTGTGGTTAATTTGCAAATTTTGACCCCGGCTGGGTCTTACACAGAACAGGTACTCCCTGGACCCAAGTTTCATGCCTCCATGCATTGAATGTGTTCTTCCCTGTGAACAGAATAGTTTTCTCTTGGGCATTTTGGTAACTCCCACTCTTCTTTCAAGACTGAGATTAAGAAGGGCTCTGAATGCCAAGTTGAGCAGGTTAGAGCTTCTCCTGAACCAGTAGTCCCTAGAGTGTGTATAACCTAGGGGGTTTATATATAAGATAAACTATGTGGGCATAGGAAAAAAACATTAAAAGGTCTATATTTGTTATCTCACATGTTTAAGTTTTGTATATGTTTGTGTATGTTATTTTGTTTTGTATATGTTATTATATATTTTATAATGTATTTATACATGAAGTATATAAGTATATAAATTTTATATAAAAATATATTTTATAACATATTTATATATGAAATATATAAGTATATGAAGATGATTTATACACAAAAAGTATAGAGTTATTTAGAGTGTATGCTAAACTTTTTGTTAATAGGAATGGATGATTAAAATTAGACCACTGCTACTGACAATGGGAAAACCATCAAAAGTTTTAATGTGAGGAAATGACATGATTTAAAAACTGCCCTGGTATCACGTACACCAAAATGAACATTCCAGCAATCACTGCAGTGATTGCTTAACAGTCATTCCAGCAATCACCGGAAGTCCATTTGGAGATTTGGTGATGAAAAATATTAACCAGGCTGAACATTTTACCAGCTGCTTCAGTGTCAGATCTCACATGGCAGTAATTCAATTCGTTTTTTACAGACTAAAGTTAAAGCGATCTGTGATCTGACTCTAAAGTTATAACAAGGGAAAAAATTATGGAACACTTACCTACTTTTTTCTTGAACTTGTGTCCAAAGTGAACTAATCTAAGGTAGAAGCTTGACATAGTTCTCTTTCTTACTAGCACTTGTTATGTGCTAGAATTATGCTATGTGGTGGCAGGGGGCAGAGAGGAGTTCAGACAGTGACTAGAGGAACTTACAGCCTAGTGGGGGAAACTCATGTATGCAAATCCCTGAAACTGAGTAATATGGACTTATAACCAAGGTGCTAAAAAACAGGACGGGGCACCTGAGTGGCTCGGTTGGTTGGTTGTCTGCCTTTGGCCCAGGTCATGATTCCAGGGTCCTGGGATTGAGCTCCATACTGGACTCCCGGCTCAGCAAGGAGCCTGCTTCTCTCTCTCCCTCTGCGACTCCCCCTACTTGTGCTCTCTCTCAAATAAATAAATACATAAATAAATACATAAATAAAATCCTTCAAAAGAAACAAAAGACAAAGGACAAAGTGCCACTTCTGTCTACATGTAGGAAGAAATAAGGGAAGGCTGCAAAAAAGCTATAAGTCAAAAGAAAACAGGAGTTTGTTTAGTAGACAAAAGGAAGAACATTCAAGGTAGAGGGAAGTATGAACAAAGGCCTAAAGGAGATAAGAAAAGGCCATGCTGCGATGCCTGGGTGGCTCACTCGGTTAAGCATCTGCCTTCAGCTCAGGTCATGATCCCGGGGTCCTGGGATCAAGTCCTGCACTGGGCTCCTTGCTCAGTGGGACCCAGCTTCTCCCTTTGCCCCTGCCTGCAGCTCCCCCTGCTTGTGCTCTCTCTCTCTCAATCTTTGACAAATAAATTTAAGTAAAAATCCTTAAAAAAAAAAAAAAAAAGAGAGAGAGAGAGAGAGAGAGAGAGGGCCATTCTCTTCATATATAGCAACAGTGCTCTAGGCAGAAAAAAACCAGCAAGACAGATTCCCTGAGGGGAAAATGAGCTTGGCGTGTTCAGAAGCAATAAGGCCAGGGGCCAGAGTACAGTAAGCAGAGTGGAGATGAGCAAGAAGATAAAGTCATAAAGATAATAAGGAGCCAGGTCATGTGGGGTCTCATAGCCATTTTTAGTCGTCTTTTACTTTGAATGAGATGAAAAAGTCACTGATGGGTTTTAAGCAGAAGTGTGTCAAGGTCTGACTTAAATTGTCATAGGGTCACTGGTTTCTGTGTTGAGAATAGACTGAAGGGGAACAAGCTAGAAAAATGGGAGGTGGTAATCACAGACTGAATATGGGATTACAGAAGAGTTGCGATGATTGGTCCTGGCTTGGTTTGAGGGTATAGGGTATGCCTGTGTAAACGAGTGGTTAAGTAGAATAGAGGATAAGATTAAGGTACAAAGTTGCTAATAACAGTTGAAGTAATAAAGTTTACAAGTGGTTTACTCATGTATACTCTTACACGCTTTCTTAAGAGAAAAAGAAAAATAAAGCTGTGCTTAATAAACTGGAAGTTGTATACAAGGAAGATTTGCATATCTGAGTCTCATATGCTGTGTGGACTGCAGTGGAAAAAGATGAGGACTGCTCTTCCAAGGTGGACTTACTTGGCTGCTGCTTGCAGGCCACAGGCTCTGATAACTTGGACTGAGATAGACACAGCTCGGGCAGCAAGAACTCCCTCTGCTGTCCTGGGAGTACGCCTGTACCTTAGTCCCACGTCCAGTAAACCTAATGAGGACAAAAGGAAAAAAGATAAAAAGGTTAGTTGGGAGAGTATCTGTTCTACCAAACCCCAAGTCCTGGTCAGAAAGAAGAGGATAAACACCCTAATGAACAATAAGGGGCATTAGCAGTGAGACAAAATGTCCATGGCCAGAATTACTTTATATTATTGTGTAAGGGCCTATTCAGCCAGAGTGGCCCCACACCCGTTGAACTGCCATTTTGTTGTAAAACTTAAATTGACTCTGCCTACCCCCGGCCCCTGCAGAGGGGAACTTACTTAAAAACAAGTCCCAGGTAACAAAGCCCAAATACAACGGTGGGTCAGGCCAGGTGGCAACATCCGATCAGTGTGGGGGGCACATACTGTCTCCCTAGTTACCAAGGAGTATGGGCCCCGCCCTTTGGGCACCTTTTGGGCGCCAATTCTGACCAAGGTGATAGGCTGGTTCAAATGTCTACTAGGGTAAATTGTAATTCAATTGATCACCTAGCATGACTGTGCAGCTTTCTCTGTGTGTTACAATTTCATTGGCCACCTATGAGTGGCCAGGCCCAACCACATGGCCTTTGCTCTATAAAAGCTAGTCTGTGAAACAGAGAGGGATCGCCCTCTCTGTAAGGGGTGGCCCTGACGGGTCTGTTTGATGGTCGGTTTGATTCTTGATACTTGGCGCAAAATAAAGCTTTGCTTGACCTTCGCTTTGTATCAGTCTCGCTCCTTTAATCACGGACCCATTATTGGGGGACCCAACATTGGGGACCCAACAATTGTATGCCAGGACTAATAAAAGCAGAACAAAAGTTACTATTTTTACTCTGCATCCAAGAAACTATGTCAGAGGCAGAACTTAATTTCAGATTTTTTAAAACTTCCAATTATTTTTTTTTAAAGATTTTTAAAATTTATTCATTTTGAGAGAGAGAGAGAGAGAGAGAATGAGCAGGGTGGGGGGAATGGTGAGGGAGAGGGAAAAACAAACTCCCCACTGAGCAGGGAGCTGATGCAGGGCTCGATCCCAGGACCCCGGGATCATGACCTGAGCCGAAGGCAGATGCTTAATGCCTAAGCCACCCAGGTGCCCTTCTTTTTTAAACTTTTATTTTTTTTTAAAGATTTTATTTATTTATGTGACAGAGCTCACACGTAGGCAGAGAGGCAGGCAGAGAGAGAGAAGGGGGAAGCAGGTTCCCTGCTGAGCAGAGAGCCCCACCCTGGGACTATGACCAGAGCCAAAGGCAGAGGCTTTTAACCCACTGAGCCACCCAGGTGCCCACTTTTTTAAACTTTTCCAAAAGGTTTTCACACTTATACTTCTATCAACCTTCTACCACTACCACCTGAAACACCCTTTATATGCCATCCTTTTATAAAAATTCTACCTTCCTATTATCACATTTCAGAGAAAGCGTTAAGAAACAACAGAACAAGCTGATCAGTGACAGGAGGAACAACTCAACCTTTATCATGGCAAAAAACCCCTTTTGCTTTGGCAGATACTCTCCAGCAAGTAAGCACATTAACTTGATTTAGGAGGCCAGTTCTAGTTATCTGATGACATACCTGGAGGATAGGTCAGTTTACTGAAACAATTAGGATATAATTCAAAACTCCAAATTCTAATGAATCCCTTTCAACTTTAAATCCTAACCTCTTCCTCCCTTACAGTGAATTTCCTGGTCATGCTAACTGTATCCCACCAATCCCGTATCTGCTCATGTTACCCTGGAATAATAATTCTGAGTACACCTACATAACACGTAGGATTTATGCTGTGAGGCTTCTTAAATGCTTGCTGAAGTTAAAGGTGAAATGAGACAAGCAACATTTATGCAGACAGTCCATGGAAATATGAATTTTATAAAATTAGGCAAAATTTACATGCAATAAACTCATATGTTCATTTTTCTAAGAGAAGGTAGATCATAGTTTTCATTCAGATTCATCAGATCATAGTTTTCATCAGGTAAGTCTCTCAAAATATGAAGAGTCACTGTTTACAGAGAAAAGGGATATTTATGTATACTGATTTTGAAAGGGAGAGACAAAGCAGTCTTCAATTACCTGATGACTGGTTCCTCAATTCTTTCCTGTTCTCAAGCCTGGGGGTTAAAGGGAGATTAAAGGTTTGTATTCCCACATCCTCACGGTGCTGCATGGTTATCATGGCACAGATCCTTGATAATGGCAAGGTTCCTTTGGCAACCACCTGGTCTCTCACGTTAGGATAATAGTATCTGTAAGCCGCAAAAGCATAAGCTGTCAGTAGGAAGAATCACATGGATAAATGATTCAATTTGCTCAAGGGATCAGTTTTTGGTATCAAGTTATCTTTGGAGCCTGGCTGTTCTGTATTGGTAGTAGACAGTTATAGTCATGTCTGGCTGGATTTATTGCCTGTCACGTGGAGAAGGAACTCCATAAATTATACGCTGTGTTCAGAACAAACCCCAGCTTCCTACAAACTGTTATCTGTTTGGTTATCTGCATCTGACTTGGACTTCTGGGAGTAGTCACTTTTGAGAGCATTCATCCTGTAACAGCAAAAGTGGTTCTAAGTGGAGCAGTCCCAATTTTCTTCTGTGGCTTGAGGCCTAAGTCCCTCAAATTTAAAGGATCTCTTAGTACCTACTCTATTTCCTTCTCTTGTCAAAATATTTCATCCTTATATCAGTTTTAAATCAAACCTAAATTCACCTGTTTTTAGGAAAAGTTTCTGGCAAATGAATCGTACTCTTCCCTACTTCTGCCCTGGATGCTCTGTCTTCTTTTATATCTACATACCCTTTGTCATTTTTGTTGGTTTCTTGGGAGTAGGGATGCAAAGGAGGGTGAGCATCTACATTCCGGTCAAGTCTGTGACACAAGTGGATTTATATTTTACGAAGGCTACTCTTTGGGTGGTGGGAAGAAAGGATTATAAGTTTAGAAGTGGGGAGACCAGTCAGGAGGCCATCAGCAATTTAGGCGTGATATGATGAGGGACTGAACCAAAAAAGGCAGTAAACAGAAAACAGGTGACCGAATACTTAAGAGCAATAGGAGGTAAAACTGATAGAACTTCACTTCCAAATGTTAAACGTGGTTAAAAGCATGAGATATAACTGCTCCCAAGAGCCTAATAATTCAGATTTCAGTAAAATCTGGAGAAAAGTCACTCACTAACAAGTCAGATGATATAAAGTAGGGTAGAAGGGATTGCTTAGCTTCCTTACATTTCAACCCTAAGCTGTCAAGGGAAGCATGATCTATGATTGCGTACTTCCTTTCTAGGTACAAAACTGATTTCACATTATACCTGCACCAGATTTCAAACTGGACTCCACCACCAGGAACAAGCCCCTGTGCAGAGAAGGCACTCAGTAGAAGCCTTTGCACTGGAACGTCACTTGGCAACAGCAGAGAGTGATGGTGTTCACTATTAAAGATGGGATCTGGAACACAGAGTGTGGTTGCAGATCTGAAAGGCTTCAAAGAGATTCCTTTGGAAAAGAAAAGCAACTCAGAATAATCCAACATAACATTTAGTGTTTTACATGCTGTAAGACAATATGTTAATATCCAGTATTATTCCATTTTATCCTCACAATACTCCTGTGAGGAAAACAAAGCAACTATTATTACTTCTACTTAACAGACAGAATATGGACATATTGAGGTTCCATAGTGAATCCAAAGGCCTTAGAGATAGTAGGTCATGGACCTGGAACCAAAATCTTTATCTTCTATGTTACTTCTATCAAGGTCCATTTCCCTAGTAGCTATGGTCCCCAAAGGTTCCATGATAATACAGAAGAAAGAGATCCTTTTGTTGCTGGACAATATCTAAGGGCTGCAATTCCTACACAATTGTACCCACCGATGCCATGGAAACAGTCCCTCCCGTGCTTCGCTTTTCCTAGGATGCAGCAGTGGGAAGGAAACGAACAGGGGTGTGAGCGTGCTCCTCCCTGAAAAGCAGGTCTCTGGATGGCCCATGCCAACACGTACTGTAGACCCCCCAGGTGCCCCCCAGCTCCTTCCTTTGAATCCCTTCACTGTACACCCAAGGAATTGTACTGTCAATACCTGTTAGCCCTATTCTTTGTTTTAGTTTTTTGGTTTTTAAATTATTGCCATCTTGGTGAAAAGAAGTGGTATCTTGTGGTGTTTTTGGTTTTCATTGCCAAATGGCTAATGATGCTGAGTATCTTTTCATGTGCTTATTGGCCCTTGTACATCTTAGGAGAAATGTCTATTCAGATCTTCTGAATATTTTAAAATCAGATTGTTTTTTATTATTATTTGTAAGGTTTTTTAAAAAATATATTCTGGATCCAAGTCCCTTATTTGAACCCCCAAATCAATACTGGCAGCGCTTTTGCAGTTATTTGTGGACGTGCTGGGAATGGCAAAACATCTGAGTCACCTGACTTGATCATTCCCAGCTGAGCTTGAACAAACTGACACTCTGATTTCTTGTTTCAGCTCTCAGGGATGATCAGATGACGGAGACGGCAGAGGCTAGTGTGGTGTAGTGCGAGAATATCTGGCTCTGGGGCCAGCTGAATGGGGTCTGAATGTGAACCTTGTTATTATCACTGGGGCAGCTTCAGTCACTTAACATTTCTGAACCTTGCTCTTGCTTTCAAAAAATAAAGTAAAATCTACTAGAATAAGTTATTTTAGGATTTATAATTATGATCTATGTGAGATATATATGTACATATTTCCCCTAAGAGCAGTGGTTCGGTATTCTCTAATTCAGTATCCCTGATATTGTTATATTATGTAGAATGTAACTATTGTGAGTAATGAGAATCAATTGTATGTGTACAGGTTAAGAGTGAGTAGGCATGTAAATGAAATAAGATGGGGCAAAATAGAAGTAATTTGTGGATCTAGGAGAAGGGTATATAGAAGTTCTTTGTACCATTTTTGTTAAATTTTCTGTAAATTTGAAATCATATCAAAATAAAAAGTTACAATAAATAACATAAGAAAAAAAAACTTAGCCCATCTCCTGTACTACCCAGGTTAAGACTAGAAACATTTAGGAACACAAAATTCACTCAGGAAAAAACAAAATTCTAAGTATAGCCAAGGAAAAAACCATACAAGAACGAGAAACTCTAACCTCCCAAACCTACCGTTTTCAGGGAACTCAGATCCTTTTAGCACACTGGATTGGGAGTCTTGAACTGGAAAGTAGTATTGGACATAACAATCTGCTTCTCCCCAGACTGTTGCCTGAAGAGGGGCTAGCCCTTTAACTTTCTCTACATGGAGCTCAAAGTGATGCTCCATCAATCCACTTCTTTGGTCCTCCATCTATTAAATGAAACAGAGATACTGGTGAACTTTAAAAGAAAAATTTTCTTAGAATATTCCTGTTTCTCTATGAAATCTGAGTCTAGATTAATAGGTGTAATTAGCTGATACTAAAACAGATACTTAATTTTCATTGTGTATAAATCTCACAACTGCTCCCTGTAATCAGATCAAGGAAGATTTACTCTAGACTACGAGACCAGGTCAATATTTAAAAAATTCAAAAATGTAGTTCACTGTATTAATGGAACAAAGGAAAAAACATGACTGTCTCAATAAATGCTAAAAAGGTATTTAATAAAATTCAACATTGGCTCCTGATTCTTAGTACACTAAGAACAGAATACATTAAGAATATCCTGGGGTACCTGGGTGGCTCAGTGGGTGAAAGCCTCTGCCTTCGGCTCAGGTCATGATCTCAGGGTCCTGGAATCAGGACCCACTTTGGGCTCTCTGCTCGGCAGGGAGCCTGCTTCCCCCTCACCCCCTGCCTGCCTCTCTGCCTACTTGTGATCTCCGTCTGTCAAATAAATAAATAAAATCTTAAAAAAAAGAGAATATCCTAATAGGATAAAAAATATATACATGAAGTAAATAGGTATTAACACACTAATTTTCTTTAAGTAGGCTCTACACCCAATGTAGGGCTCAAACTCACAACCCTGAGATCAAAAGTTGCACACTCTACTGACTGAGCTAGCCAGAACCCCCAATTTACTTACTATTTTTAATGAAGTTGGGAATAACACTGAGACTATTCATTAATGGTAAAGACTATTAGGGAGGTTGTGAACATATCATTAGTGAAGTACTGGTAATAATTTAAGGTTTTTATTATTTACTGTAGCCAGGCACTATACTAAGCCCTTCACCTGTAGTAGCTAATTTAACAAGCAGAGCTAACAACAGCAGAACCAGGGTTTGAATTCAGGTAGTCTGACTCTACAGCCAGGCTCTTTACCTCTATTATGGCTTCAACAGACACAACTGGTAATTGGGAATATTTATAAAGAGGGACTTCAGGATTCAGATAGGGGTCAAACTGTATGATCTGTATGTACTTAATATTCTAACTAATAATCCCATGAATTTGGAATAGAAATTGCATAAGGTCTTTGCTTTGTATTCTAAAAACATATCAGCAATATCTGCTCCAAAATCTTACTTAGGGAAACACAACTTTCAATTTGATTCCCCAGAGAAGAAAAATATGGGTTAAAAAAACCTCTCATAATCTCAGCAGCTGCTTAATGTGGCCATACAGTATTAGAGTAATTTAATAATTCAGTTCTGCAGATGCTAAAAGGGATGAGGGACATGAATGTAGGAAGAAAAACAACTGTATTTATAGATATCTAATCTTTAAAATAGTTCTTTTATGCTCATAGTAACATTCTCTAACTTTTGGTATGGAATTTAATAAAATTTGAGTCTAGGGTCGCCTGGGTGACTCAGCGGGTTAAGCCTCTGCCTTCGGCTCAGGTCATGATCTCAGGGTCCTGGGATCGAGCCCCACATCGGGCTCTCTGCTCAGCGGGCTCTCTTGCTTCCTCCTCTCTCTCTGCCTGCCTCTCTTCCTACTTGTGATCTCTGTCAAATAAATAAATATTTAAAAATAAAAAAATAAAATAATAAAAATAAAATTTGAGTCTACACTGCAATATGAGGGCCATATAACACTAAACAGACTTGGGAATATTATAGATACATTTTCTTTGTGCTTTTCTGTCATTCTTAAATTGAAGAAACTATTATCTATTAATAGACACTAGAATCTAATAGAAAGGGTAAAGTTTGGAGTTCATAACATACAAATAAACAATAACCTACTCACAGACACTTCCCTAATCTTTGTTAGATACATCACATTTGTCATTCACATTCAAATTTAAAAACATAACGTACTTAAATCATATGGAGACAGATTTGGCTATACTGGTAAAGACACCAAATGTAAGATATATTAGGACATGTTACAACAGAATGAAGACTGGACTTTTAAGTCAGAAGGCTGGTTTCTGGGGGCTCCTGGTGGCTCAGCAGGTTACGTGTCTCAGGTTAAGCTCAGGTCATGATCTCAGGGTTGTAAGATCAAGCCCCACATAGGGCTCCACAGCGGGAAGTCTGCTTAAGATTCTCCCCCTCCTTCGCTGCCCTTCCCCTGCATCACGTATATGCTCAATCTCTCTCTTAATAATAATTAAAAAGAAAGAAAGAAAGAAAGAAAGAAAGAAAAAAAAAAAAGCCTGTGTCTGCCTTTCTTCCATTCTTAGCCATGAGACCCTGGACAAATAACTTCTTTTGACTCTGTTTCATCACCTAAAAAGTGAATGACAATGATTCCCCTTATGTAGTATTAGGGAAATAAACATGCAAAAGTATATCAATGTGCTTTCTCAATTGTACAGCACTGTACAAATTACTTTTAAAAATTTACTGGTAGAAAAGCAAGGAACTTCACTATAACTTTCCAGCGTGGATTTGGTTAAGAAACAGAATAAGATTTTGTGGGCCTACATTTGGGATCATTGTCAACCTCCCACCCATATTCCCCACCCCCAGATTATCTTCTTTTTAATTAAGACCTTTTAAAATGCAGTCTTAGGTTCACCCCAAATTTCTAAAAGATAATTAATTAATTTAGTAAATTAGAGGATTAGGATGTGGTTGACAATTAGAGTTTTTTTTTATAAATTCAAAAAGCTCAGAAGGACAGATATATATTTAAAACACAAAAATAATTGCTTGGATCTACAGCATGCATTGGAGTGCAATTATGTTCCTTTTTTCTACTGAAATAAAGATCTGGAGCACTGGTTTCATTAAAACACACAAGATAAAATGAGATTATGAAATTTAAAATTTGCAAATAGATCTTAAGTGCTCTCAACTACACACATAAAAAAGTAAATAGGTGAAGTGACTGATAATGTTAAATGGCTTCATTGTGGTTAGTAATCCTTTCACAATGTTACCTATATTAAAGCATCATGTTGTACACATAAAATGAGATTATGGTTTTTGTAAACAATCAAGTGTTTAGTCACTACCACATTAACAGATGCTGTAGATGGCTGGTCCAGAAAATGGGCTGGCCTAGGACTGAAGGGAGGAAGTGTTCCTTCTTCATTCTTTAATCTCTGCAGTGCCATTATCTGATCTGAAGAACCCATGGCTAAAAAGACGCGAAGACTCCCGTTTTGGTGGCCTGAGAACACATCAATCACAGGCATGTAGCTGTCAACAGCAACAACTGGGTACTGAGCATCAAGCAGCAGGCGAGAAATTTTGGGATCTCTAGAGGGAGAGAATATTGCAAATGAGCAAATAACAATCATCAATTATGTCACAGAGCTGATACTGCATTTCCTACTTGGCTTATTTTCTCAGTTTGTTAAAAATGCGTCTACAAACTAGAAAATACTGGTTTGAAAAAACATGATTTTATCATAGCTCATCAAATAAAAATTATCAGGCAGTTAAGTTCCAAATGTAGCAATTTGAAAGCAGAGAATGTCTGACTTATGTCTGTTATCATCATGACCCCAAGCCCAGCATCTGGGATTGAGCGCTACCTCAGTACAGGCTTGCTGAATTGCATGACTTTACAGGGAGGAAGTGTGGTCAACTTGAAATGGACTTTGGAGTCTGGCAGATATGATGTGGATAATATTAATATTTGCCATCTATAATCCTAATGCTGCAAAAGTTGATATTATCCACCATTAATAGATGAGAAAAAGTCCAAATACTCTCCATTATACCATGCTAAGTCTTAGCTCTGTTACTTACTTGCTGAATGACTCTCAGTAATCAATTTAATCTTTCTAAGTCTTTCCTCTTCTGTAAAATGTAGGTAATAAAACTTCCATCAAGGGGCAGTTACTAGGATTAGATGAGATGACAAACCTAAAATATCAACTATAATACTTAGTAGATAAAAGTACTCAGTAACTGGTAGCTAATATTTTACGCTCTTTTAGCAAAGAATGGGGTCTAATGAAGTGAGAAGGGAAGGGAAGTACGAGACCACATTAATCATAACTAAAAAAGCGGAAAAAGCCTAGTTGACAGACAGCATGATTCCAGCAGCACTCCTTAGCCTGACCATGCTTTCCACTGTTACTATTTTAAGTATTTCACTGTTCACAGAAGGCTTACCCACTTATTTTCTCACTGGACTGTCACAATTGTGCCATAAGGAAGAAAGGGGTGTCTATCATTACCCTCATTTTATAGATGATGAAAAGAAGCCAAAGAGGCTGACTTCTGCAAGTCAAAGGATAAGTTTCCTAATTTGTAAAAAGGGGATAATGACAATAGTTCCTGGGGTTACAGAAAGGCTCTCGTCAAACTGCGCCCACAAAAGGGCTCTCCGTAAAATGTAAAACAGCATTTAAACACAGAACCATAAGAAGGCCGTTACGAAAGAAGTCAGCACTAAAATAACTAAAAATCAGTACCTTGAACCAAAAGAAAAAATGAACAGTCTATAGTGAGGACAGAAATAACCTTCAGATAAATCAATACCCCACTGGGGTGTTGCACAGTGAAAAGTGAGGTACAGTGATCAAATGTGAAGGTCCAAAAGACAACACTCAGTATAGAAATCTTGCAAATAGGTGAAGTAAACAGTACTAAAGGTTTTGTGAGAGAGAACTAAACCATTAGTTTTGTGAGGTTAGGGTTAGGGTTGGCAGTAGAGCTTCTTGGTGAAGCAGTAGAACTTGCTGCGTTCTAACCCTGGTTCTACTACTTACAATATATATAACAAGTTATTTAAATCCTCTGCGCCTTTGTTAACTCATCTGTAAAACAGGGGAAATAAAAATTACCTGCCTTAGAAAACTCTCATGAGGATTAAAGGACTTGATATATGTAAGGTTCTTAGCACAGGGCCTGAAACATGGTAAGCAGTAACTGTAAAACTGTTTTAACACAGGAGAAAGTGCAGCAATTGTGGTAAAATTGAGAAAAGTCCTCCAAGGTTTTATTGCGCTAGTTATTTTTGCAAACCAAAAGAATTCCTCTTCAGTCCATACAAAGCTAAAGATGAAAAGTAAAGAACACTCCAAAAGATCCTATTTACTTGAATGACATGTAAAACTGATGGAGGGGGAGTTTCACCAGCCCGAGCAACTTGTCCTGTCCAGGGCTCCGCAATTTGTTCCACGCTTCAATTACCATCACGTTGTTCTTCAGCCTTTCCAGGTATTTGGAAGACAGAGAGACAGGAATCACCTGGGGAGAGGACAATCAAAAAAACAAAACCCACACCTGAGACAAAGGATTAATCTATGCTTTTATTCAACAAGTACTAACTGAAAGCCCAACTTGAATTGAAAGCCATGTACAGTGCTAGGAGCTGAAGACATTAAAATAAAACCTGCTCTGTATTCTCAAGAGAAGTCAGTTTGGTGTAAGTGACCAACATATAAAGACCAAATACAAAATGGTATGAGTTCTCTGATGACAAAGCTCATATGGATGGGGCTCTGAGGACACAGAGAAGGTTGTGAGACACGTCAATCACCGCCTGCCCACCTCAGCCAAGCCTAGTTCTAAGGCCAAATAACCCATTTGTAAACCCCAGCTGAGAGATACTTTTTTTTTTTTTTTTAACTGTCCCCTGCCCCATGTTTTTGAAAGAAAGCTGGCTACTGATTAGACAAGGGTTGAGCACCGAATCAAAGGGCAGCCAATCCACGGGTTAGGTGGTATGGCCTAGTGCAAAAAGCTCTGCCCAACAACGTCATGGTAAATAACAAGCTAACTGTTCATCAGTGTAAAATTACTCGAGAACTGGCCTGTCAGCTGGTAGCTGAAAGAGAAAGGAAAAGTCACAAAGAGAAGCAGAGATCTGCAGCTAAGAGCGTCAGTTAAATTAATGGTAGAATCAAAGGTCCACCAATTTGAAGGGACCCACACTATAGTATAACTGAATCAGCAGAGGAGAGATAAGCCCCAGGATAAAACCAATAGAAAATACGAAAGGCAAAAGGGTGAAACCAGAAATGATGTATGGCAAGATGAGAGAAAGACAAGAGCAGAGAACCTGAGTAGACCTACTTTTGTATCCATATAAGAAACTCCAATTACATAAGGTACCCTAAGTACATTTCTGTTCTGTGAAATAAAAAGAGTGAAACATAGCGACCTAACATACAATTAGGGAGATTCCAGAGAAAGCTGCTGGCAGAAAGTAACCTTAAATTCTGAAGGATAAACAGAAGTTAACTAGTACAGGGGTGCCTGGGCGGCTCAGTGGATTAAGCCTCTGCCTCCGGCTGAGGTCATGATCCCAGGGTTCTGGGATTGAAACCTGCATCGATCTGCTCAGCTGGGAGCCTGCTACGCCCCCTCTCTCTGACTCTCTGCCTACTTGTGATCTCTGTCAAATAAATAAAATTTTGGGGAAAAAAAAGGAGTTAACTAGTACAAAAAACTCTGTCTAATAGGAGTCATGAAGGTAGAGTAGGAAATGCAAGGCAGAAGGAAAAGTACATGTAAAGACATGACGGTGGGGCGTTCGGGTGGCTCAGTGGGTTAAAGCCTCTGCCTTCAGCTTGGGTCATGGTCCCGGGGTCCTGGGATTGAGCCCTGCATTGGGCTCTCTGCTTGGCGGGGAGCCTGCTTCCTCCTCTCTCTCTGCCTACTTGAGATCTCTGTCTGTCAAATAAATAAATAAAATCTTAAAAAAAAGTAAAAAAATAAAGACACGGCAGTAGGAAAAGAGAACATTTATGAAACATCAAGTAGCTGAACATAACTGCCACTATCTAGTGTGAAGGGAAGAGTTCTGAAGGGAAGACAGTTCTTAAAGGGTTTTGCAATCCACAGTAGACATCTGGATTCTATTCTGAAGGCTATGGGGAAATCACTGAAAAGTTTAAAGCAGGGGAGGAAAATATTCAGGTTAATGTTTTAGAAAGATCATCCCTACTGATACAAAAAGGAATGGATAGGCAAAGACCAGAAATAGACTAGACTGAAGGCCATCTGTAATAAGAAAGGGGGCCTGAATGAAAGCACTGGCAATTGAGTTTAGGTAAGAAGATTTATTCTGGAGATAATTAAGTTTGCAGCATCTATTGGATTTGGTGAATAATTATGTAATAAAGAGTTGAGGATACCTCTCAGGTTCTGCTTGGGTTTCTGAGTACATTACAATATGAATTAGGGCAGATAGGAGGAGGTGGAACAGGTCTGGAAGAAATAATAAAATCAGATTTTGACATATCTGAATTCCTTTTTTATTTAGAAATTAAAATTAAAACCTTTATTGAATACCACTGATATGGCAGGCAGCACATTAGGTCTAAGCCAAGTGTACAGTGCTTTTGACATATCTGGGGATGATGACCAGCAGTTAGAGAGATCAGAAACCTGATCAGAAAAGCTGGCCTACATGGAAATATGGATTTGGAAGTTATTTTCATAAAAATAATAGCTGAAGCTATGGGAATAGAAGTAGTGGCTGTGGGAAAAAAGGACTGGTTTGAAAGAGGACCAAGGAACAATGAACAGGAACAACAGTAATTAAAGGTAAGAGAAAGAGAGAAAGAAGTGTTGGGGTCACCACTCTTTTCCTACTGGCCCATAGACCGAAAAAGAATAGTTGTTGATTCAGGAAGAAAGTAAGAGAGTAGAGTTACAAAAATCAAGAAAGGAAACAATTTAAGCAAAAGTATCAAATCCTACAGAGAAATCAAGCAAGATAAGTACTGAAATAAGAATAATAAAGGAGAGAAAAAATATATTAAAAAGCTGACTGAGTGAAGAGTTTGGAGATACAGAAAAGAATGGGGAAAGTTTAATTCTAAAGGAAGCCGAAAGGAATACAATTCAGAACTCAGGCAAAGAAACAGTGGGAAACCATATCAGCTGAGACAGAACAAAAGGAAATGAAGACACGTTTTAAAATGCTGACAATGTCCTTTCCTTTTCCAGTCCCACAGTGGGAATGGGTCCATATGACAGACAATTACAAAGGTCTCTCCCAGTCTGAACATTCTAGGTTTCTTTCATAATGGAATTATGATTTGGGAAACACACACGTCTCTGCCCCCATACATCCCTAATGGATATGGAAGGTTAAGATATGTACAAAGTTACCTGTAAAAAGTTAAAGACTGGTTGTGTTGTGCCCCATGCAATGACAGATCTGGTGACTTCCTCTGTGCTGAAAAGTTTGCAATTTAAATAAACATTGCACGGTGGTTGTTTATCAGATTCTCCAGTAATGAAATCCTTCCCATCTGGAACCATCAACAGCACATGCAATAGCAAAGCAGTCTCTTTTGTTGACCCATTTGTCTGATTTGCTAAATTGTGAGAGGCTGGCACAGCCATGAAGGTTGAAGGATTTGATGTGACAGGGCTTGGTGACTTTGAGTTGGGGAGCATCAAATTTTGCACTTTATTTGCAGCTTCTTTGTGAATTTGATTGAGGTTCTCTGGATTTTTGGTACAGGTAACATATTGACCAGGTTCTGACAGTGTCTTATCTGGACTTGTAAGAGCACAAGGTGGGCTATGTTGGGTGCTGCTACTTAATTTAGTATTCACACCAGTGAAATCCTTGTTATCTATAACAAGCTCTACAGTTACCTATAAAACACAAAAGGAAGAGAGTTAGTAAGTATGTCTTCTGAAATCAGAATCAGAATTTTGGAGCCAGAGGCAAATTGGATTGTTAGAAAATAATTAACTCATTCTCAAATACCATAATAGTAAGAACACTAATAGACTGTATATACATTACCTTATTAGGATTAAGAGAAGCTAGACAGATGATTTATCAATAATACAAGATGAAAATGGAACATCATCTTGTGCTGGAAAATAAGGAAGTGCTCAGAAAAGGATGCAGGCATATTGAAAGGAGAAAGGATACAGAATTCAATCAAAGGAGCTCACATTGGCCAAATCTGGGACAATCTGAGCATCAAAATGAATAATAATAGTAATGGATTAGAACCTATTGAATAATGTAAAAGTCCATGAGTCTATCCCAACAAAAATAAATATGGGTAAAAGGACAACTCTTCTGTATAGTAGAATGCAACTAGTAAAAACATAAGGAAGGGAGGAGTTAGAAAATCATCACCTTACAATCATTATAGTGGTAAGTGATTCAGATAAACCTCAATGGAGGACAGTCTACAAAATAACAGGCTTTATTTTTTAAAAATATCAAAGTACTCAAAAACAAATAACGGTTGCAAAACTGTTATAGACTAAAGGAGATTAGAGGGTGCCTGGGTGGCTCAGTGGGTTAAGCCTCTGCTTTCGGCTTGGCTCAGGTCATGATCTCAGGGTTCTGGGATAAAGTCCTGCATTGGGCTCTCTGCTCAGCAGGGAGCCTGCTTCCCCCCCTCCTCTGCCTGCTTGTGATCTCTCTCTGTGTGTCAAATAAATAAATAAAATCTTAAAAAAAAATAAGGAGATTAGAGAGAGATGACAAATGTGATAGATAATCCTGGACTGGAAAAAAAAATTCTATAAATGGATGTATTGGCACAGCTGGTGAAATCTGCATATGGACTGTGGACATTATCAAGGTTAAGTTGATTTTTATAACTGTACGGTGTTGTGTATGATCATGTTCTTGTTCTTAGGAAATACAAGAATCTGGGGGGAAAGATGCAAGATGTCTATAACATATTCTCAGATAGTTCAGAACAAAACTGTGTGTGGGTGTGTGGGGGGGGATGCAGAGGAAGACAAAGAAAAAAAGACAAGTGAGAAAGGGAGAGATAGGAGGTAGATGATTATAAAGCAAATGTGACAAATGTTAGTAATTGGTGAGTCTCCGTAAAGGGTATGTGAGTTCTTTGTACTATTTTTGCAATTTTTCTCTAAGTTTAAAGTCATTAGGGATAAAAGGGGACTTGCTGTTCCCTTTATTTAAAACCCACAGCAAACTTCTTTCTCGCTGTTAATTATGGACAGCAATCTATCTAGAACAGTACTTCCCACAATACAGCCAGGACAGAAACAATTTCTAGCCCATGAGTTCCATTAATTCTTCTTTTCTGATTTTTAAACTTGCAGTCCAGAATTGAACTAGGCAAACAAAATATAAAACTTTTGATTGTGGAAGAGAAATGTAGTGTTAATTTTTCATAATGACAATCACACCAGTCTTTAAAACTAAATGTTATTTATTACCGAGAAGACCATAAAGTAGGCAGAGAGGGCTTCCAAGAGGAGGCAGTAGCATGAAAATCAAGATCAAAACCATGGAGGTATAAACCAGCATGATACCTTATTGATTCTTTACATAGTTTGACATGGCTATTGGTAGGGAAGCTGTAAGTGATAGGCTAGGAATTTATGGGGAGCCCTGTATTTTTATCTTTTGGATAATGAAGAGCCATGGAAATGTCATAGGTATGGCTGTGATTATTTTAAAAGCTCACCAGAACAATAAGACAAAGCTATACTGAAGCCACACATTCAAATTCTGCCATCTAAGAAATCCCGTAGCTTCTGAATACAAGGAAAGAACCCTCTCTCCAATGAATTATACATCAGAATTCATTCCACCAGACCATAAACTCAGTCACTTCTTTCCTTGTTTATATCCAATTACTCTACTCCAAGCCATCAGTTATCTCTTTTCTGGACTAATGTAAGTTTCTATTTTTCTTCTTGTCCCCTACAATGTATTTTCCATAGTTACCTTTTAAAAATGTAAATCAGGGGTGCCTAGGTAGTGCAGTTGGTTAAACATCTGACTCTGGGTTTTGGTTTACATTGTGATCTCAGGGTTGTGGGACTGAGCCCCACATCGAGCTCCATGCTCAGCATGAAGTCTGCTTCAGATTCCCTCTCCCTCTGCCCCTCCTGCTTGTGCTCTCTCTCTCAAAAAAAAAAAAAAAGTAATTCAAATGTCACTGTCCCACTTCAATGTCCTTTCTTGGCTCTTATGATAAAATCTAAACCATTTACATAGATCTACAAAGCTCCGAATGATATGGCTTCCACATGCCAGTCCAATCTTATTTTCTACCATTCTCCCTCCTGGCTCCCTATCTATGGCAACGATACTGCTTTAGGGCCTTTGCATGTGTTATTCCCCTTCTCTGGAATGATCTTCCCTCTACTTTTTACTTGGTGGTCTCTTCCTCTCCTTCAAATCTTACCTAAAATGTCACTTCTTTAGATCTTCTCTGACCAAAAGCCCCCTACTTTCTCCCAGATATTCACTTTCACATTTTACTATTTATTTCCTTCACAGCAACTCTGCTGCCCTATTTTAACAGAAGTTGCAAGAGGAGAGACCCTGATTTTTCTCATTCAGTGCCAGCCAGTAATACATATTCCATAATACTTGACTACCTGAATGTGTATCTATGTACCTTAAGGGGGCCCAGTGGAGTCTGACCATTCTCTTGTTGCACTGGAAGCTGGTTACTGAAAGAAAGCAACTCAGACTGAATGACAGTTCGTAAAGGCAGTGATGCAGATCCAATGATTTCTGGCTGAGAGAAGAAGGAAAGAAAAACTTTAGGTTAAATTAAAGACAAGCCACAGGGGATTTTAACTGAAGTGATAACACAGTACAGCTTAGAAAGGAGCCCAGGCTTTATGAAGTAAATAGCTTAACTATTTGACTGAGGCAACTTTAAGTGGCAACCTACATTCTGCCATACTTTGGTCCCCATTCTGGGTGTCACTACTTCTCTCTAGAAGATTATAGAGGGTTTCATGAGTCACCAAGAGGTTGGAAGAAAATCTTTTTTCTATCTTAAGAGTTAGTTCTTTACAAAAAGGGTTCAACTTCACTATTAAAAAAATGAAAAATAACATTTAGATGATACAAATTCTTGACATTAAGCTAGAAAAATTACAAAATATACCTGATGCAAACAGAGGCTATCATAAACGTGTGAAATTGGGAATATAAACTGGCAACATACTTCTGGACAGCAAATTTGGCAGTAAATATTAAAAGCTTTAAATATTCACTCTTAAGCCCAGTGGTTCCACTTCTGGGAATTTATACTACAGAAGTAACAAACACATAAAAAGCTTATAGACAAATATGTATACTTCAAAAATTAACAATTAGAAATAACAAGAGGTCCAATAATCAGGAATTAAGTTAATTACAGCACATTGTTACAATGCAATAACATATAGTCAATAGCGTTTACAAAAAGTCCAAAATAATATGAACAGTATGAACAGTATTTACCATGTTTGGTAAAAAGAGGGTGTTAAGTAATATATAGCAAATCTTCAAATATTTATAAAGATAATGTTAAATTTTTTAAAAAGGATAAAAAAACTGTAAATAAAATTATCCTAATACTGCCAAAGATTTGCCAATGTATTGTAACCATCTGAAAAAAAAACAAAAGTGAAACATAAATATTAACAGTTATTTCTTGGTGATGGGATTATAGACAGTTTTTGCTTTTCAGAAATATTTTCTCAAGTTCTCTGCCAAAAACACGTACAACTCTTTTATTAGAAAGAAGCCATTAGCTAGGTGATTCAATGTAAATATACTGAAACGTTTGCAGAGGCAGTCTTGAGGTTGTAGAATTATGTGTTTTTCCACCTCTTCTTATTTTAGTATATTCTTCAAAAAGAACTTGTATTAATTATATCCTCTGAAAAGACAAAAAAAAAACCCCTAAAGATACATTCCTCATGCTATCCATACCAAGAGGAGATCAAAGATTAGAAAGATTTCAGTAGTTTTACTGAAATAAGTTAAAAACTGCGCAGGACATAGTTTATCGATTTATGCTGTACCAATTGCAAGTGAATTTTATAAACTTGGAATAAGTTTATAAGATGATCAAAACTGCTATCCACATTGTATTATCTTGGACCTCTATATATTCTACCTGAAAATAAGAAACAGGGTCTCAAATTAAGACTTATAACCTGTATCAGTTCAAACAGTCCCCTCTCTGTTGCAGGGAATACAGTGAAGAGGTTAAGAACTTAGGGTCAAAAAAAAAAAAAAAGAACTTAGGGTCTAAAGTCAGAACACGAGGTAGAGTCCTGCCTGGCTTTATCTTTTATTAGCTTGAGTGATCTTAGACAAGTTACTGAACTTCACCAAATCTCAGTTTCTTTGTCTATAAAACAAAGATAATAATGTACCTAATTCACAGAGTTAGAATGATTAAATTTGCTAGTGTGTTTGTGTAGTGCCTTTAGCATATCTCGCTTATAACAAATAGCAAACAGAGATTAGAAACAATAATAAGCAGTGGTTGAGCCTGGAGAAATTCCTAGTTTAGGTCGGAATATAATTTTAAGTATATTCTAATTCCCTAGTGTAGTGATAAGGCGAAGGTCAAAATCACTTAAGTACCTTTTTCTGTAAGGTTTTCTTTGTGTAAATTTGGAAAGTGAGGTTGGAATTCCACCAGTGTTCTATCATTGGGCCACCAAAATGTACTGGAAACACAAATCGCTGCTGGAAATTCACCACTGTAAGGAGAACCAAACACATAAGCACATGTCAGTCCACCCAACTACAGCCATCATCAATCCATGCTTTGACACAACCTGCTTCCCTTTTGATCTAACTAAAATCTCTTTCAGAAGTCTAGTCAGGCACCTGGGTGGGTTAGTCAGTTAAGGGTCTGACTTCTACTCAGGTCATGATCTCAGGGGTCCTGGTTTTGAGCCCTGCAGTCAGTTGGGCTCTGTGCTCATCCGGGAGTCTGCTTGTCCCTCTCCCTCTGCTCTTCCCCCTGCTTGTACATTCTCTCTCTCACATAAATAAATAAAATCTTAAAAATTAAAAAAAGAAATCTAGTCAGCATAATTTCACAAAAGTGTTAGGGTTGTAGGGATTGAAGGAGCAGAGACAAAGAGAAAACCCTGCATATAGTACAGAGAAGATAAGCAGTGCTCTGTTGCTCTAGTTTTGCTATGAGAAATGAATGTCAAACATATGCGCTCAGGGGGTGCCTGGGTGGCTCAGTGGGTTAAAGCCTCTGCCTTCAGCTCAGATCATGATGTCAGGGTCCTGGGATCCAGCCCCAGATCAGGTTCTCTGCTCAGCAGGGAGCCTGCTTCCTCCTCTCTCTGCGGCCTCTCTGCCTACTTGTGATCTCTGTCAAATAAATAAACTCTTTATAAAAAAAGAGAGAGAGAGAAAAGGAAATATATGTCCATACAAACACTTGTACAAGAATGTTTATAACAGATTTATTGGTAATAGTTAAGAATTATAAACAACCCAAGTGCTCATCAACAGATGAATGGATAAACAAATTTTTCTATATCTACAGAATGGAACAACGGTCAGAATGGCTGAAATTAACAACACAGGAAAAAAAAGATGTTGGCAAGGATACGGAGAAAGGGGAACCCTCTTACGCTGTGGAAATGCAAATTGGTGCAAACATTCTTTTTTTTTTTAAGTGGTTGTTGTTTTTTTAATATTTTATTTATTTTACAAGTAGGCAGAGAGGCAGGTAGAGAGAGAGAGAGAGAGGAGGAAGCAGGCTACCTGCTGAGCAGAGAGCCCGATGTGGGACTCAATCCCAGGACCCTGAGATCATGACCCGAGCTGAAGGCAGAGGCTTTAACCCACTGAGCCACCCAGGGGCCCAACCACTCTTGAAGACAGAAAAGAGGTTCCTCAAAAAGTTAAAAATAGAGCTACCCTAAGACCCAGCAATTGAGCTACAAGGTATTTATCTAATGGATACAAATATGGTGATTCGAAGGGGCACATGCATCCCAATGTTTATAGCAGCTATGTCCACAATAGCCAAACTATGGAAAGAGCCCAGATGTACATCGATAGATGAATGGATAAAACAGAAGATGTAGTATGTGTGTACACACACACATACATGCTGGGATATTATTCAGCCATTAATAAGAATGAAATCTTGCCGTTTGCAATGACTTGGATATAACTAGAGGGTATTATGCTAAATGACAAACATCAGTCAGAGAAAGACAAATATCACATGATTTCACTCATATGTGGAATTTAAGAAACAAAACAGATAAACACATGGGAAGGAAAGGAAACATAAAAAAAAAACTAAAAACATGGAAGGATACAAACTGTCAGAGACTTAACTCTAGGAAACAAACAGGGTTGCTGGAGGGGAGGGAGGTGAGGAGGTGGGGTAACAGGGTGATGGGCATTAAGGAGGGCACTTGATGGAATGCGCACTGGGTGTTATATGCAACTGATGAATCACTAAATTCTATCTCTGAAACTAATAATACAGTATATGTTAATTAAACTGAATTTAAATTTTTTAAAAATGTAAAAAAAGAGTAAATAAGTATTTTTAATGTTTGTACTGGATATACTCATATCAAATGAGACATGATGCATGTTCAAAATTTTTCTACTGAACCACCGTTTTTAACAGTAAGACTGAAAACAACCTAAACAGTAATATATTAATAAGAGGTGTTTAAGTTATGGCATAGTCATACAAGGGAATATTATGTGGCCATAAAGGACTGGGAAGACTGAGTTCTTTATGTCCTGGTATGAAAAAATTACTAAGATACACTGTTAAAGACAAGGTACAAAACAGGGCATAAGGTACACTAATACTTGGATTAAAATGGGAGGGCAAAAAAGGATAAACATATTTGCTTATATATGCATGAAATACCTTAGGAATAATAGAAAATTTACAACATTGCCTACAAAAATTTTGAACCAAGTAAATGGATTATATCTAGTTAAAAAAACAAATAAAACAAAGCAAAATAAAAATTTAAAAATCCATCATTACCAGGCTGTACTGGAATGTTACTTGAATGTGTAGGAGAATTAGGACCATATCTTTTACTTTTTAAACTACCTCCCAGAAAAAAAAAAATAAATAAATAAACTACCTCCCAGAGAAGGAATTAAATACTGATGAACTGTTCATGGATCAAACTGGATAACCAATGCAAAGAAACTCACAAAATCTGTTAGAAAGTTATATAACTTTGGATGACAGGAACATAAATGTTTATTATATTACCCTTTTACTTTTTTGTATTAGAAACCCTTAAAATAGAAAAAAAAGGTAGAATCAAAAGCACATGCAAAAAAAGAAAAAAATTGGGCAAGAGTAAAATTCAAAACATTTGTTCTATAAATGATAGTACTTAGAAACTGAAAGGACAGCCTATTAACAGGAGAAAATACTCAAAATCATAGCTCTCACAATAGTCTCATATCCAGAATATGTAACTCATACGGGCCTTATGTAACTTACAAGGACCTTAAGATATATAAAGGATATATAAAGAATTCTTATAACCCAGTAACAACTTAAAAATGGGCAAAGAATTACAACAGACATTTCTCTAAGATATACAAACAGACAATAAGCAACAGGGAAACACACTCAACACCATTAGTTATTGGGAAATGCAAATCAAAACCACAGTGAGATACTACTTCATAACCCCTAAGATGGCTACAATAAAAAATAATGAAAGATAACGAGGGTTGGTGAGTATGTAGAGAATTGGAAACCTCCACACACTGCCGCTGAGAATGAAAAATAGTAGAGCAACTAATGAAAACTGTCCGGTAGTTCTTCAAAAAGTTAAAACATATAGTTACCATATGACCCAGCAAGTCCACTCTTAGGTATACACTGAAGGGAAATGAAAACATTATTATCCGCACAAAAACGTGTACACAAATACTCAGAAAAGCATTCTCCACAATAGCCAAAAAGCAGAAACAACCCAAATGCCCATCAGCTGAGGAATGGATAACCAAATGTGATATAGTCATATGATGAAATATTATATAGCCACAATAAAGAAAAAGGTACTGAAACATATCATAACATAGATCAAATTTGAAAATATTATGGTAAGTCAAAGAAGCCAGTTACAAAAATCACATACTGTATGATTCCATTTACATGAAATGTCCAGAATGAGTAAAACGATAGACAGAAAATGGATTAGGGGTTGTTTAGTGTGGGTGGGGGTGGAGATAGGAAAATGAAGAGTGAATGCTAATGAGTAAGAGATTTCTTTTGGGGGGATGAAAATGTTCTAAAATTAGATCATGATGGTTGTACAACTCTTCGTATATACAAAAACCACTGAACTCTTCAATGGGTTCAACGAACACCCTAAATGGTTAAATTGTATAATATGTGAATTATATCTTGATAAAGTTGTTTTAAAAAGGGAATAAAAGAAAAACGGCAAGAGTCCAGCGAACGTGATCTAAGCATCAGGAGCTCTGCATTCTAGTCTCAGGTATGTTACTGACTTGCTGCCTTGCAACAGGATAGTCACAGGGCCTCTGGGGCAGTGTCCTCACTTATAAAATAAAAGATGATGGTAGATCACTTCACAATTCTTTCTAACTCTATGATTTCATGGTACTATAAAAGTCAGATGAATATTTAGGGATTGAAAAATTCTTCCACAGTAAAAATGTCTAAGGAAGAGAAAACTAGTCTTTCTCTTACTTCCATCTGTAATTTTACTGGAGGCAAGTCGAACGACCTCGGTGATCAAAGCTGTCTTTCCCAATCCATTTTTAGAAAAGCCCACAGGAAAGTGATATTCCACAAAGAAGGTGCTAAAAAATCAAAACCAAAAAAAGTGATTTAAACATAAACCAAATAACAAATGAACATATTTATTATTTGATCAATCCTACAGATCTTTCAAGGTCCTATTTTCAGCATCTCAGATCCTCAGAGGACCTATCTGGTCTCTTGAAAGCCTTCACCAGGGGCGCCTGGGTGGCTCAGTGGGTTAAAGCCTCTGCCTTCGGCTCAGGTCATGATCCCAGCGTCCTGGGATCGAGCCCCGCATCGGGCTCTCTGCTCTGCGGGGAGCCTGCTTCCTCTTCTCTCTGCCTGCCTCCCTGCCTGCTTGTGATCTCGGTCTGTCAAATAAATAAATAATATCTTAAAAAAAAAAAAAAAAAAAAAAGCCTTCACCAATCCTATCAGGCAAGTTCTACCTTGTGCTCGCATAGTTTACTTACTCTGTCTTTTACCTATCTATTATTGAGACATAACTGACATATAACGTATTAGTTTCAGGCATATAACAATGATTTGATATTTGTAGAAGCTGGAAAATTATCACAGAATGTCTACAAATCTTCCAAAGTATTTTTTAACGTAAAACACCTATTTTGCATCCTACAGCCTCTTAAATATGTCTGTATTGTGCTGACTATAAAGTATATAACAACAGAGTCAGGGTCTCAATTTCCTTTTTTCTCACACTTACCTAGTATTGGCCTTGACACCTAGTGAGGAATTCATTTTTGAAAACATTTTTGTTGATGGATTCATATTAAAGTACTTTATAAATCATAAAATGTTATACAATTATATATTTTATAATTTTATTTTTTGTTATATATTTTTATATATTATATATATTATTTATTAATTACTATTACCATCACACACATTCCAGAAATATCAAATTTAGCTTTTCCATGTTAGAGACGTACCGCTTTTTTGTTGCTGTCAGCTTAAGTGGTCTGCCAGGAAAGCTTTTCTTGCCAGAGGTCATCTGGGGACTATCTGGAGGAACTATCATTGTTTCGATGATGATTCTGACTGAATGTGTTCTACCCAAAAGGGCCAATCTATCCACACTTAGTGTCATCACTTGGGCATCTTCTGGAGTTTCTGATCTCATCTGTTGTTCAACCACATTTCTGAAAGGAGTTCATATAGACAGTGAAACAGACAGTCCAAAGCCCAACATGAAAGGATCTAGTTTGTATAGGCAAAAAGAGGAAAGAGGAAGGGCAGCCAAGTATCTAATTCACAAGTTATCAAGGACTGAGAGATGACTTTAATCAATAGAATGGTCCTAACCCAGAGTGAAAGAAATTTCAAAAAATGTAAAACCATTCTTCTAATATAAAGGCTTATCTCCACACAAGTATAGAAACGGATGTTACAGAATTAGGTTTTCTTTTTTCTTTTTCCAAGATTTTATTTATTTATTTGACAGAGAGACAGCCAGAGAGGAAACACAAGCAGGTGGTGCAGCAGGTAGAGGGAGAAGCAGGCTCCCTGGAAGCCTAATGCGGGGCTCGATCCCAGAACCCTGGGATCATGACATGAGCCAAAGGCAGACACTTAAAGACAGCCACCCAGGAGGCCCCAGAATTAGCTTTTCTTATAAGGGCTACAGACATTACACCTCAGTTAACCTACTACTTCAATATAACTACTATCATCACTTCTGTGTATTCGTTTTCATTATTCATATTTTCTACAGTCTAGTATAGCACACATTCAACCTAGAATTCTGCTTTCTCAACCATTTTATTGTATCCTTCTTTTCATATTATTACACTTTTAAGGATTCAATACTTAGTGAACTCACTTAACTAGGATGATAGTGCTGGGCAAATACAAATCATTTACTTTAGGAGTCTTCCTTTGCTTTTGCCTCAATCATAGCCTCACCTATTTTTCTTGCCTGCTGCCCTTTTCTTCAACTTAGGATCACTTGACTCCACAAGCTTAGGAGATTTGGCAAGAGGTTTTGACTGGTTCATTTTTTTAGAAGGGACAATATCATCTTCACTGAAGAAATCACTGATGCTGGTATCGGATTTCTACGGGGGGAAGAAATAAAAAAAGAGGCACTAAAAAAAAATTGTTTTAGGGAGAGTGGTAAAGAAAATATTTCTCTAAAGGTAATCAAATTCTTCTCTGCACATATATCATTCTTTTAAAGAGATTACTGATGCCAGGGAGATAATCCCACATTTCTCTTGGTATATAAAAATAACCTACAAATTCAGTTCAAAGAAAATAAATGAAAATAGACTCTTCTTTCAAATTTTCAACAATAATAACAATCATTACTTATTTACTATCTATTATGTATCTAGTATCAAAGCCAGATACCAAAGCCTGTATTTCTATCACAGTTTGAGGCAAAACGGAACAATGTCACCTAATTAAGAATTTTAGGAACCAAAAACACAGGCTCATAATGCTAAATTTCTAAGCTCTGGATGTTATTCAATATTAAGAACATCAAACCCTGGGAAAGGACATGTACATTTTAACTCCCTGATCTTTCATTGCATCATGGTCTATTGGTTCACTCCTCATCAGCCAATCTTTTCTAAGATTATTTTGGTCAAATGGCATGGGGGATTACACAGTGCCATTCGTAAACTCATTCCTTTATTCACTAAGTACTCACTGAGTACACTCAATATTCATCAGGCTTTGTTGTACTGGTAATACAAAGATAATGCAGACATGGTCTTGTTCTTGAGAAAGTGTATCATAAAATATTGTCTCAATGTCCCAGGATCCTGTGGAAATCTGGGCAATAAATTCTGCTTGGAGAAGTGTACAATGGCTTCTTCAGAGAGGTAATCAGCTGATTTTTGAAGAATAAAGAGTTTATCAGATGTATAAAAGCATTTCAACATTCGAAGTAGAACAATCAGTAGAAGGAAAAAATACAGAGATTTAAAAAAGAACTACAATGTTTGTGGAGTGATGAGACAATCAGTATGACTGGAGGGTAAAGGGCAAATGTGGGAGATAAGGTTAGGGAGGTAAGTCAAGATCAGATTCTAATGCATACATAAGGCTTATGAGATGATGTCATTATTTACAAGTAATTAACACTCCTAAGCATTTATATCATGATGTATAAAAGAAAACATCATATTGGGCTAGATAAAGAATTAAATGAAATAATGAATATAAAACATTTGGCACAGTACTCAAAAATAATAGATAAGAAGCAAGACAGTGGAGGAGTATGAGACTGAAATATCATTAGGTCCCAGGAGTTAAGCTAGATAGTTATCAAATCATTCTGAACACCTACAAACTCAACAGGAGATAGAGAAGAAGAGCAGCAATTCTAGGAACAGAAAATAAACTACTTTCTGGAAGGTAGAACGTGTGGGAAGTGAATCCGAAGCCATGGGGGAGGGGCCGGCTCCCCACAAGCGGTAGAGCAGCTGAGCACAAAATCAAGAGATTTTAGAAGTCTGCTCTGCTGAGGGACGTTGCACCAGTGGCTAAGCGTGGGGTGGAATCCTTGCTGAGACCGTGTGGTCTCAGGTCCCGCAGGGTCACAGAAAGACCGGGGTGTCTGAGTGTGGCAGAGCTCCCAGGTATTGGAGCGGGGAAGCCGGCTACAGAGATGGAGCTGAAGAGTATGTTCTCAGCTTGCGGTTACCTTAAACCGTGATCTAAGGCACAGCTGGGCCACTGCTCTTTGAGCAGGGACCCACAAGTGGCAGACCCAGAGAGAGGCCCTCCTCCCTCCTCAGGGAGGAGCAGCATAGGAGCACACAGCAGGAGTCTGCTGGGTTTGGAAACTCCAAACAGGGCTGTCTGCCAGAGACAGAAATGCTCGGTCACAAGCCAGGTGAGCACGGAGTATGGCCGGACACCAGGGAGACAGGAGGGATTCACTGCTTTTCTCTGAGGGTACACTGAGGAGTGGGGCCCTCCGCTCTCTACTTGGACGGCCGGAGATTGGGTGGCTGCCATTTTTATTCCCGTTCTCCAAAGCTCTACAGAAAGCGTTCAGGGAACAAAAGCTACTAAGAGCAAACATGAGCAGATTACTTAGCCTGGCCCCTGGCAAGGGTGGTACAATTCCACCTCAGGCAAAGACATTTGAGAATCACTGTAACAGGCCCTTCCCTCAGAAGATCAGCAAGAATATGCAGCCAAGACCAAGTTAACTGATCAATGAGAACTGTGGAACTCCAGAGCTAGGGGAAAGCAACACATTAGAATTCATGGCTTTTTTCCTATGATTCTTTAGTCTTGCAAAGTTATATATTTTTTTTATTTTATGTTTTTCTTACTCTATTTTTTAACTTTTCCTCTTTTAACATTTTTTTTTAAAGATTTTATTTATTTATTTGACAGACAGAGATCACAAGCAGGCAGAGAGAGAGGAGGAAGCAGGCTCCCTGCTGAGCAGAGAGCCCGATGCGGGGCTCGATCCCAGGACCCTGAGATCATGACCTGAGCCGAAGGCAGCAGCTTAACCCACTGAGCCACCCAGGTGCCCCATCTTTTAACATTTTTTAACTATTTTATCTTATCAATACATTTAAAAAAATCTTTTAAAATTTTCATTGTTATAGTCATATTTTATACCTTCATTGTGTTTACCCTTATTTTTTGTATACATACTTTTTTCTTTAAAATTTTGGGATACAATTTCTTCTAATAGATCAAAATATACCCTAAATCTAGCACATGGCTTTGTTTTAGTCTCCAGCCTGATCACATTCTCTCCTTTTTTTTTTCTTTTTCCAACCAACTTATCTTATCAATTCCTTTTTAGAATCTTTTTAAATTTTCATCTTTAGAGTCAACCATCTCTTCACCATATTTACCCTTATTTTTGTATATATATATATATATATATATGTATTTTTCTTTCCTTGAACTTTCAGAGGTAGTTTCTTCTAAGAGATCGGAATACACCCAAAATCAAGTGGGTGGCTCTGTTCTATTCACCAGTTTAATATATATATTTTTTTTTTTCTTTTTTTTTCCCCTCCTTTTCCTCTCCCCCCCATTTCAGGTCTCTTCTGATTTGGTTAGGGTATATTTTTCTGGAGTCTTTGAGACCCTTTCAGTATTTTGTTTCCACATTCATCTATTATCTGGATAAAATGACAAGCAGAAAAATTCACCACAAAAAAAAAAATAACAAGAGGCAGTACTGACGGCTAGGGACCTAATCAATACGGACATAGTAATACATTAGAACTAGAGTTCAGAATGACGACTATCAAGGTGCTAGCTGGGCTCGTAAAAAGCATGGAAGATATTAGAAAATCCCTTTCTTGAGAAATAAAAGAACTCAAGTCCAACCAAGTTGAAATAAAAAAAGCTATTAATAAGGTGCAATAAAAAATGGAGGCTGTTATTGCTAGGATAAATGAGGCAGAAGAGAGAATTAGTGATATAGAAGACCAAATGATGGAGAATAAAGAAGCTGAACAAAAGACAGACAAACAACTACTGGACCACGAGGGGAGAATTCGAGAGACGAGTGACCCCATAAGATGAAACAGTATTGGAATAATTGGGACCTCAGAAGATGAAGAAAGACAGAGGGACAGAAGGTATATTGGAGCAAATTAGAGAATTTCCCTAATATGGCAAAGGGAACAAGCTTCAAAATCCAGGAGGCAAAGAAAGCCCCCTCAAAAATCAACAAAAATAGGTCCATACCCCCTCATCTAGTCGTAAAACTGACAAGTCTTAGTGACAAAGAAAATCCTGAAAGCAGCTTGGGACAAGAGGTCTGTAACATACAATGGTAGAAATATTAGATTGGCATCAGACTTATCCACAGAGACCCAGCAGGCCAGAAAGGACTGGTATGATATATTCAGAGCACTAAACGAGAAAAATATGCAGCCCAGAATACTATATCCAGCTAGGCTGTCATTGAAAATAGAAGGAGAGGGGCGCCTGGGTGGCTCAGCGGGTTAAAGCCTCTGCCTTCGGCTCAGGTCATGATGCCAGGGTCCTGGGATCAAGCCCCACATTGGGCTCTCTGCTTACCAGGGAGCCTGCTTCCTCCCCTCTCTCTGCCCGCCTCTTTGCCTACTTGTGATCTCTGTCTGTCAAATAAATGGAAAAATCTTAAAAAAAAAAAAAGGAAGAAAATAGAAGGAGAGATAAAAAGCTTTCAGGACAAACAAAAATTAAAAGAATTTGCAAACACCAGGGACACCTGGGTTGCTTAGCAGGTTAAAGCCTCTGCCTTTGGCTCAGGTCATGATCCCAAGGTCCTGGGATCGAGCCCCACATCAGGCTCTCTGCTTAGCAGGGAGCCTGCTTCCTCCTCTCTCTCTCTGCCTGCCTCTCTGCCTACTTGTAATCTCTATCTGTCAAATAAATAAATAAAATCTTAAAAAAAAAAAAATTTGCAAACACCAGACCAGCCCTACAGGAAATATTGAAAGGGGTTCTCTAAGCAAAGAGAGACTCTAAAAGTAATAGACCAGAAAGGAACAGAGACAATATACAGTAACAGTCACCTTACAGGCAATACAATGGCACTAAATTCATATCTTTCAATAGTTATCCTGAATGTAGAGGCTAAATGCCCTAATCAAAGTCACAGGGTATCAGAATGGATAAAAAAACAAGACCCATTGATATGCTGTCTACAAGAAACTCATTTTAGGCCCAAAGACACCTCCAGATTTAAAGTGAGGGGGTGGAAAACAATTTACCATGCTAATGGACATCAAAAGAAAGTTGGGGTGGCAATCCTTATATCAGATAAATTAGATTTTAAGCCAAAGACTATAATAAGAGAGGAGGAAGGACATTATATCATACTTAAATGGTCTGTCCAATAAGAAGTTCTAAAAATTTTAAATATCTATGCCCCTAACATGGGAGCAGCCAATTATATAAGACAATTAGTAACAAAAGCAAAGAAATACATCAACAATAATACAATAATAGTAGGGGACTTTAACAGCCCCCTCACTGAAATGGACAGATCATCTAAGAAAATATCAACAAGGAAATAAAGGCTTTAAATGACACACTGGACCAGATGGACATCACAGATATATTCAGAGCATTCCATCCCAAAGCAACAGAATACACATTGTTCTCTAGTGCACATGGAACATTCTCTAGAACAGATCAAATCCTGGGTCACAAATCAGGTCTCAACCGGTACCAAAAGATTGGGATCATTCCCTGCATATTTTCAGACCACAATACTCTGAAACTAGAATTCAATCACAAGAGGAAAGTTGCAAAGAACTCAAATATATGGAGGCTAAAGAGCATCCTACTAAAGAATGAATGGGTCAACCAGGAAATTAAGGAAAATTTTAAGAAATTCATGGGAACAAATGAAAATGAAAACACAACTGTTCAAAATCTTTGGGACACAGCAAAGGCAGTCCTGAGAGGAAAGTATAGTGATACAAGCCTTTGTCAAGAAACAATGTCTCAAGTATACAACCTAAACCTACACCTAAAGGAGCTGGAGAAAGAACAGCAAAGAAAGCCTAAACCCAGCAGGAGAAGAGAAATAAAGATTAGAGCAGAAATCAATGAAATAGAAACCAAAAGAACAGTAGAACAAATCAATGAAACTGGGATCTGGTTCTTTGAAAGAATTAATAAGATTCATAAACCCCTGGCCAGACTTATCAAAAAGAAAAGAGAAAGGACCCAAATTATAAAATCATGAATGAAAGAGGAGAGATCGCAACCAACACTAAAGAAATAAAAACAATTATAAGAACATATTATAAGCAACTATATGCCAGCAAATTGGACAATCTGGAAGAAATGGATGCATTCCTAGAGACATATAAACTACCAAAACTGAACCAGGAAGAAATAGAAAACCTGACCAGACCCATAACCAGTAAGAAATTGAAGCAGTCATCAAAAATCTCCCAACAAATGAGCCCAGGGCCAGACGGCTTCCCAGGGGAATTCTACCAAACATTTAAAGAAGAATTAATACCTATTCTCCTGAAACTGTTACAAAAAATAGAAATGGATAGAAAACTTCCAAACTCATTCTATGAGGCAGCATTACCTTGATCCCAAAACCAGACAAAGACCCCATAAAAAGGTGACTTACCACTATCCTTGATGAACACGGATGCAAAAATTCTCACCAAAAAACTAGCCAATAGGATCCAACAGTACATTAAAAGGATGATTCACCACGACCAAGTGGGATTTATTCCTGGGCTGCAAGGTTGGTTCAACATCCACAAATCAATTAATGTGATACAATACATTAATAAAAAGAAAGAATAAGAACTATATGATACTCTCAATAGATGCTGAAAAAGCATTTGACAAAGTACAGCATTCATTCTTGATCAAAACTCTTCACAGTGTAGGGATAGAGGGTACATACCTCAGTATCATCAAAGCCATCTATGAAAAATTCACAGTGAATACCATTCTCAATGGGGAAAAACTGAGAACTTTTCCCCTAAGGTCAGGAACATGGCAGGGATGTACATTATCACCACTGCTATTCAACATAGTACTAAAAGTCCTCGCCTCGGCAATCAGACAAAGAAAAGAAATAAAAGTCATCCAAATTGGCAAAGAAGTCGTCTCTCAGTTTTGCAGATGATATGATACTTTATGTGGAAAACCCAAAAGACTCCACTCCAAAACTGTGAGAAATCATACAGGAATTCAGTGAAGTGTCAGGATATAAAATCAACGCACAGAAATCAGCTGCATTTCTATACACCAACAGCAAGACAGAAGAAAGAGAAATTAAGGAGTCGATCCCATTTACAATTGCACCCAAAACCATAAGGTACCTAGGAATAAACCTAACCAAAGAGCCAAACAATCTATACTCAGAAACTATAAAGTACTCGTGAATGAAATTGAGGAAGACATGAAGAAATGGAAAAATGTTCTAGGCTCATGGATTGGAATAACAAATACTGTGAAAATGTCTATGCTACCTAAAGCAGTCTACACATTTAATGCAATCACTATCAAAATACTATCAATTTTTTCCAAAGAAATGGAACAGATATATCCTAAAATATATTTTTATATTATATTATATTTTATATTTTTATATCCTAAAATTCATAGGGAACCAGAAAAGACCCCAAATAGCCAGAGGAATGTTGAAAAAGAAAGCCAAAGTTGGTGGCATCACAATTCCAGATTTCAAGCTCTATTATAAAGCTGTAATCAAGACAGTATGGTACTGACAGAAAAAAAAAGACACAGATCAATGGAACAGAATAGAGAGCTTAGAAATAGTTTACCATAAACTAATCTTCAACAAAGCAGGAAAGAATGTCCAATGAAAAAAAAAATCAGTCTCTTCAACAAATGCTGTTGGGAAAATTGGATAGCCACATGCAGAAGAATGAAACTGGACCATTTCCTTATACCACACACAAAAATAGACTCAAAATGGATGAAAGACCTCCATGTGAGACAGGAATCCATCAAAATCCTTAAGGAGAATACAGGCAGTAACCTCTTTGATCTCAGCTACAGCAACTTCTTCCTAGAAAAATCACCAAAGGCAAGGGAAGCAAGGGCAAAAATGAACTACTGGGACTTCATCAAGATCAAAAGCTTTTGCACAACAAAGGAAACAGTCAACAAAACCAAAAGACAACTGACAGAATGAGAGAAGATATTTGCAAGTGACATATAGATAAAGGGCTAGCATCCAAAATCTATAAAAAATTTATCAAACGCAACACCCAAAGAACAAATAATCCCATCATGAAATGGGCAAAAGACATGAACAGACATTTCTGCAAAGAAGACATCAAGATGGCTAACAGACACATGAAAAAGTGTCCACATCACTCAGCATCAGGGAAATACAAGTCAAAACCACAATGAGATACCATCTCACACCAGTCAGAATGGTAAAATTAACAAGTCAGGAAACAACAGATGTTGGAGAGGATGCTGAGAAAGGGGAGCCCTCCTACACTGTTGGTGGGAATGCAAACTGGTGCAGCCACTCTGGAAAACAACATGGAGGTTCCTCAGAGAGTTGAAAATAGAGCTACCCTACAACCCAGCAATCACACTACTGGGTATCTACCCTAAAGATACAAATGTAGTGATCTAAAGGGCACGTGCACCTGAATGTTTATAGCAGCAAGGTGCACAATAGCCAAACTAAGGAAAGAACCTAGATGTAGATCAACAGATGAAAGGATAAAGAAGATGTAGTATATATGTACAATGGAATACTATGCAGCCATCAAAAGAAATGAAATCTTGCCATTTGCAATGATGTGGATGGAACTAGAGGGTGTTACACTGAGTGAAATAAGTCTATCAGAGAAAGACAGTTATATGATCTCTCTGATATGAAGAATTTGAGGGAGGGTAGGGAGTTGTCGGGAGTAGGGAAGGGAAAAATGAAACAAGATGGGATCAGGAGGGAGACAAGCCATAAGAGACTCTTAATGTCACAAAACAAACTGAGGGTTGCTGGGGGCTGCTGGGGGGTAGGGAAAGGGTGGCTGGGTTATAGACATTGGGGAAGGTATGGTGAGTGTTGTGAAATGTGTAAGCCTGATGATCCACAGACCTGTACCCCTGGGGCAAATAATACATTATATGTTAATAAAAACAAAAAAATAGAAATAAAAATAACAGATAACATGTAAATTCCCTGTCATACCAAAAATGGGTAATAAATTTAAATTCTCTCTTTATCCCACAAGTAACAGAGTATCAGTGATGACTTTTAAAACAGAGAGTCATGAAATGCTAATAATTCATAATATCTTTCAAATTTATCTCTTCATTTCCAACCACATTACTGTCATTCTCATACATACCTCCAATAACCCAGTGGCTTCCTATCTCCTTCCAGGTATTTTCCCCTAAATTAGCTCCCTAAATCATTGCTAGATTAACGTTTCTTAACCACCATTTTGATCATGTCATTTCTCCTCACCTGATATTCAAAGGTTTTCTGCAATATGCCAGGCTGCCTTACCGATGATGACTTTCCCACATATCTTCTCGTCAGTCCAAATTAGATCCCTTGCAGTGCACAAATTGCTTCTCTGGACGGGTCATTCTTTCTTTTACCATTTCATATCCTCTATCTCTCTAAATGCTTTTTTTTTTTTTTAAAGTAAGCTCTATATATACTTAATGTGAGGCTAGAACTCATAACCTTGAGATCAAGAGTCCCATGCTGTACCAACTGAGCCAGCCAGCCACCTCTAAAATTCTTAACCTTACTAGGCCTGTCTCCTCATCTATAAAATGACATGTACTCTTAATTTCAGGAAACAAACTGAGGGTTGCTAGAGGTTGGGGAGAGGGATAGGGTGGCTGGGTTATGGACACTGTGGAGGGCATATGCTACAGTGAGTGCTGTGAATTGTGTAAGACTGATGATTCACAGACCTGTACCCCTGAAACAAATAATATATTACATATTAATTTTTTAAAAAATTTTAAAAGGAAAAGAAAAATGACATATATAAAATGTCTGGCAAGTGGTAATATGTCTACACTTAATAATCTTATTAATAGTCTTGTTCTCTAATTTCCAAAGCTGTAGATTCAATGACTTACAGGTGCAGTGTAAAATAAGCTCTCCAGGAGACTCTGGTCATACTGAGGATCATTCAGCTCACTGCTACAATACACATCACTCCCAGGAGATGGGGAATCTGGAGGAGAGCCAAGCCCATTCCAGTACTGACCTTGGGATAATTCAGCACTGTAGAGGTAAGAAAAACAAAGCAAAAGGACATTAAAAGAAGTTTCAGTTGAGCTATAGGTTTCTAATTGAAAACCTAAAGTTCTAAACATTAAAGAAGATATGTTAAGCAAAAGACTCACATTAGGGAGAAGACTCTCTGATAAATATTTTCATATTATATTCTCCTTCCTCTGGGATGCCAACAGCTAGTATTCAAAAATAAACTACTGACCCTGATTATGATCTCATTCATTTATTTAACAAACATTTTTCTTTTCTGGGCAGCTATTATGTGCCAGGCATGGTGTTAGGTCTTGAGTGATACAGAGATGGTTAAACTAACTTGCTCTACTCTTACACTGCTTATGGTCTAGCAGGGAGGAAAAGAAGGTAAAGAATTATCTATAATTCAATGAGTTAAAAGCTCATGCTGTTTTTGTAAAGAATTCATAAATATGCCTTCTTCCATTAAGCAAAAATATGTGTATTTAGGGTTAATCATGGCAAGATTAATTCCATGTGTGATATAGAAATAAGTAAAACAGATACCCTACTTACAAAAAGTTCGTAGATTTTTTTAAAAATTATTTTTATTAACATATAATGGACTATTTGCCCCAGGGGTACAAGTCTATGAATCATCGGCTTACACATTTCACAGCCCTCACCACAGCACATACCCTCCCCAATGTCCATCACCCAGCCACTCCATCCCTATTCCCCCAACCCCCAGCAACCCTGTTTGTTTTTTGAGATTAAGAATCCCCACAAGTTTGTAAATCGATAAGGAATATAAGCATACAAGTACATGTATACTTCATTTTTGTTTCTCCTAAAATAACTGGTACTGAATAGATACCTGTAAAGGACTTACTGAATTCTTAATGAACATGTTATTAAAAATAAAGGCAAAATTTATTAAATGTACAGGCGCTGTGCTAAGTATTTGTTATTAATTCTTTCAACTTTGCTTCCCTTTCATGCTAGTTGCTATACTTTCTCCCCTTCTTTTTTTTTTTAATTTATTTAAGCAGTCTCTATATCCAACGTGGGGCTCAAACTCAAGACCCTGAGATCAAGAGTCACATGCTCTTTTAACTGAGCCAGCCAGGTGCCCCATTTCCGTCTTTAATTTCTCAAGAGAATAGCATATAAATACTACCTTCAAATTAGATCATGTTCCTACATTTCTTGGAAAAAACAGATAATAAATGTTCCTTTTCTCACTTTTTAAAATCTAAAGCAGGGTTTCTCAAATTTAGCACTACTTCAACCGTCGGTCAGGTAATTCTTGGTCATTGGGAGCTATCCTGTACATTTTGTACCCCTCTAAACATTACAAAATGTGCCATGGGGCTGGGAGTAGGAGAGAATTGCCCCTCAGCTGAGAACTACAGATCTATAGAAATCTCTCTCTCAAAGGTAAGAATAGCTCTCTAACTGCTACAACCCAACTAACAACTTCCCAAACACAGGGCTTCTCTAGCTCCAGAGCACTGTTCCTTTTTGAAGCTCTACTTCTTGGCATTTTACATAACAATCACTTGCTATTTATAGTTCCCCCTCACTTGGTTACTCCTTTTTTCCCTCCACTGCACACCTTTGAAGTTATCAAGATCACCACTGTTCAGTATTCAGTCCTCCCCATTTAATTTTTTTTTTCAGTTAACACGTCTTTGAACTTACTCTACTGACTACAACACATTAAAAGGCCATGCTGAATTAAAATGGTGAGAGCAAGCATCTTTTGTTTCTAATCTTACAGGAAAAGCTTTCAGTGTTTCATCATTAACTATGATGTTTGTTGTGGGCTAGTCATTTATGGCCTTTGTTATTATGTTGAGGTACACTGCTCGTGCCCCCCCCCCCTTTAAGATTTTATTTATTCTGGAAAGAGAGAATGAGAGATCATGGAGCCTGATCCAGAGCTTGATCTCAGGACCCTGAGGCATGACCTGAGCCCAAACTAAGAGTCAGATGCTTAACTGAGTGAGCCACCCAGGCGCCCATGGTACACTGGTTCTATACCCAGTTTGTTGGGAGGTTTTATCATGAATGGGTGTTGAATTCTTTCAAATGCTTTTTCTGTATTTATTGAGAGGATCATATGACATTTATGCTTCTTTTTGTTAATACAGTGTATCACAATTACTGATTTGTGGCTGTTGAACTGTTTCTGCACCCCTGGAACAAATTCTACTTGATCATGGTATATGATTATTTTAATGTACTGTTGAGCATATTTGCTACTTTGCTGAAGACTTTTGCATCTATGTTCATCAGGGATACTAGCCCATAATTTTCTTTTCTTGCAGCGTCTTTGTCTGGCTTTTGCAGCAAGGTAATGCTGGCCTTGTGAAATGAGTTTGGATGTGTTCCCTCCTCTTCTGTGTTTTGGAAGAGTTTGAGAAGGAGTGGTACTAGTTCTTCACATGTTCGGTAAAACTCACTAGTGGAGCCATCTAGTTTCAGACTTCAATTTGCCAGGAGATTTTTGATTACTCATTTAATCTCCTTACTAGTAATCAGTCTGCTCAGGTGTCTATTTCTGCATGATGCAGTTTTGACAGCTGTATATTTCCAGGAATTTACCAATTTCTTTTAGGTTTTCCAATTTGTTGGCATATAATTTTTCATGGTAGTTTCTTATGATTGTACTTCTCTGGTATCAGTTATAATGTCTCCGATTTCATTTATAATTTTAAGTCCTCTCTTTTTGTTTTCATAAGTCTAATAGTTTATCTATTAAAAAAAAAAACAAACCCAGCTCTTAGTTTCATTGATCTTTTATATTCTCTTTGTAGTCTATTTCATTTGTTTCCACTCTGATTTTTGTTCTTTCCTTCCACCAACTTTGGGCTTAGTCTGTTCTTTCTCTAAGTTCCCTGAGGTATAAATTTAGTTATTTTACTTGAGATCTTTCTTATTTTTTAATATACACACTTATGCTATTGATTTTCTTCATAGGTCCGCTTTTGCTGCATCCCGTAACTTTTGGTACATTGTGTTTCCAGTTTCCTCTGTCTCAAGTTACTTTGATTTCCCTGTTGATTTCTTCTTTGACCCACTGGTTGTTCAGGAACATGTTGTTTAATTTCCACACACTTGTAAATTTTCTAGTTTTCTTTTTGTAATTGATTTTTAATTTCATACTACTGTGGTCAGAAAAAAATGCCCACTATTTTAATCTCCTTAAATGTATTAATAACTGTTTTATGGCCCAGTAGATGATCACAGAGAATGTTCCATGTGTGCGTGAGAAAAATATGTATTTTGCTGCTATTAGGTGGAAAGTTCTATATACGTGTATCAGGTCCATCTGTTTGTGTCATTTAAGTCCAGGATTTCCTTATTGATATTCTGTCTGGATGATCTATCCATTGTGGGATGTGGGATTTAAAGTTCCCTGCTATTATTGTGTTGTTGTCTCTCCATTTGCATCTACTAACATTTGCTTTATGTATTTGGCTGCATCAATATTTACGTTTATATCCGCTTGAGGAATTGACCAACTATCACTCTATCATGACTTTCTTTACCTCTTGTTATAGTTTTTGGTTTAAAGTCTATCTGTCTGACCTAAGAATAGCTACCCCAAACTCTCCTTTGGTTTCCACTTGCATGAAATCCCTTCATTTTGAGCTTATAAATACTTAAAGTCTCCTGCAGGCTGCATATAGTTGGGTCTTATTTTTTTACCCATTCAGTACTGTCTTCTGGTTGGATACTTTAGTCTACCTACATTTAAAACAATTATTGATAGGTATGAACTTACTACTATCATTTTGTTAACTGCTTCCTGGTTGATTTGTAGTTCCTTTCTTGTTCTCTTCCTTTGTGATTTGATGATTCACTGGAGTGGCATGTTTTAATTCCTTTATATTTTACATATTTTACTATACACTTTTGCTCTGTGGTTACCATGAGGCTTACATATTTATAACAGCCTATTTTAGCGTGATAAACCAACACACATACAAAAGTTCCCCTACCTCATTTTCAATTTTTTTTTTTAGATTCTTTTTTTTTTTAATTTTTTTATTTGACAGAGAGAGATCACAAGTAGACAGAGAGGCAGGCAGAGAGAGAGAGAGAGAGAGGGAAGCAGGCTCCCTGCTGAGCAGAGAGCCCGATGTGGGACTCGATCCCAGGACCCTGAGATCATGACCTGAGCTGAAGGCAGCGGCTTAACCCACTGAGCCACCCAGGCGCCCCTCATTTTCAATTTTTGATGTCACAGTTTGTAGCTTTATATCATGTATCCATTAACCAATTATTATAGTTAAATTTTTTTTAATTTTTTTTTAAGATTTTTAATTATTTATTTGACAGAGAGAGATCACAAGTAGACGGAGAGGCAGGCAGAGAGAGAGAGAGGGAAGTAGGCTTCCTGCTGAGCAGAGAGCCGGATGTGGGACTCGATCCCAGGACCCTGAGATCATGACCTGAGCCGAAGGCAGCGGCTTAACCCACTGAGCCACCCAGGCGCCCAGTTAAATTTATTTTTAATACTTTGTCTTTTAGCCTTCATATTAGATTTATAAGTGAATTACCCGCCACCATTGTAGTATTACAGTATTCTCAGTTTAACTATATATTTACCTTTAGCCATGAGTTTTAGAATTTTGTATGTCTTCTTGTTACTGCTTAGCATCTTTTTATTTCAGCTTGAAGAACTTCCTTTAATGTTTTTTGTAAGGTTAGTCTAATGGTCATTAAGTCCTTCAGCTTGTGTTTATCTGGAAAATTCTTTATCTTCCCTTCCATTCTGAAGGACAGTTTTGCCAGGTACAGTATTCTTGGCTGGCAGTTTTTTTTCTTTCAGCACTTTTGAATATATAATCCCACTGCCTTCTAGTCTGCAGGGTTTTTTTTCTGTTGTTCTTTCTAAAGACTTATCTATTTATTTGAGAGAGGCAGGGGAGGGGCAGAGGCAGAGAGAGAGAATCTCAAGCAGACTCCCCACTGTGTGTGGAGCCTGACACTGGGCTTGATCTCATGACCCTGAGATCATGACCTGAGTTGAAATCATGAGACGGACGTTTAACTGACTGAGCCACCCAGGCACCTCTAGTTTACAGGTTTTGCTGAAAAATCTGCTAAAAGTCTTATGGGGTATCCCCTGTCAGTAACAAGTTGCTTTTTGCTCTCTACTTTTAAGATTATCTCCTTTTAAACTTTGACAATTTAATTATCTTGTGTTACAGTATGGGTCTCCTTTGATTCATCTAACTTAAAACTCTCTGGGATTCCTGATTCTGGATGTCTGTTTCTTTCCTCAGGCTAGGGAAATTTTCAGCCATTATTTCTTTGACTATTTTTGCTCCTTTCTCTCTCTCTCACCTTCTTCTTCTGGGACTCCTATAATGTGTATGCTGGTCTCTTGGTTTCTCATAAGTCCCTTATACTATCTAAACTCCTTTCATTCTTTTTTCTTTTTGTATCTCTGACTGAATTCCACTGCTTTGTTTTTGAGTTTGCTGATTCTTTCTTCCCTTTGATCTAGTTTGCTGCTGAATCCCTCTCAAATTTTTCAGTGAGTTATTGTGTTCTTTAGCTCTATGATTAGTTTGGTACTTTTTTTTTTTTTTAAAGATTTTATTTATTTGACAGACAGAGATCACAAGTAGGCAGAGAGGCAGGCAGGGGGTGATGGGGGGAGAAGCAGTCTCCATGCTGAGCAGAGAGCCTGATGCGGGCTCAATCTCAGGACCCTGAGATCATGACCTGAGCCAAAGGCAGAGGCTTTAACCCACTGAGCCACCCAGGCACCCCAGTTTGGTACTCTTTATGACCGTTATTTTTAATTCTCTGTCAGGTAACTCACTTATCTCTGCTTCCCTAAGATCTATTTCTGGATATTTATTCTGTCCTTTTGTTTGGAACATATTCTTTGGTTTCTTCATTTTCTTTGACTTTCTCTGTTGAATTCTGCATATTAGACAAAACAGTCACCTGTCTCAGTCCTGCTGTAATGTCCTGACAGACAGTTCTGACCTGTTTCTATTCTTGACAGTAGGAGATAAACCTCATCAATTAGTTTGGCTCCCAAGCCCCTACCTGCCTCATAAATTTTTCTGATTGTCCAAGCCTCCTCCATTGTTCTTAGTAGATCCCAGTAGTTGAGGGCATACAAAGACCTACTATTGTCCCAAACAGGAGGATCAAAGTCAGTGCCTAGATGCACTCTGATTGGAAGCTGAACCCCAAATAGCAGCTGGGAAAGTGTGTATTATTATGAGTCACATGAATGCAAGCCCCACTGGCTTTCAAATTAAGTGTTTTCGGAGCCCATACCTCTAGTGGGGGGCTTAAAAGTTGCGGCACTAAATGTGGGGTCCAAATCCTTCACTCTTTAAGTAAAGTCAGGATGTAGAGGTTCCCTCTTGACTATATAGTACTACACTGGGGGTTTTTAAAAAGTTTCATTTAGACATTATTTACGTAAGATACAATTCACTCAAAGTGAGTAATTCAGGTTTTTTTGTATATTTACAGACATGAACAACCATCACCAGAGTCACTTTAAAACCTTAAAAAGAAACTATCCACTAGCTATTATCACTTACTCTCCCATCATACCCAGGGATAAAGAACCCACTAATCTACTTTCTTTTCTCTAGATTTGTCTATTTTGTATGTTTCATATAAATGGACTCACAAAATATGGTCTCTTTTGTGACTAGCCTCTTTCATTCAGCATGTTTTCAATGTTCATCCATGCTAGAGCATGTTATCAGTAATTTATTACATTTTCTGGCTAAATAATATTACACTTTATGAATATATTACTTTTTTACATTCATTCATCTCATGAACATTTTAACTATAATGAATAATGCTGCTATGGAAATTCATGTACATGTTTTTGCATGGATGTAGCTTTCATTTCCCTTTGGTGTATATCTAGGAGCTGAACTGCTAGGTCATATGTTAACTCTACATATACCAGTTTGAGAAAGTGGTGAACTATTTTCCAAAGTAGTATACCATTTTACACTGCTGTAAGCACTGTATGAAGGTTCCAAATTCTCCACATCCTCACCAATTTTACTACCTGATTTTTTTTTTTTTTTAACTACCTGATTTTTTGATTCAAGCCATCCTGGTGCTTATGAAGTGGTATCTCACTGTGGTGATATGCGTTTCCCTGAGAACTAATGGTGCTGACATCTTTTCATGCATATATTAGCCATTTCACTATCTTCTTGGGAAAAATCTCTATTTAGATCCTTTGCCCATATTTTTAATTGAATGACTGGTCCTTTAATTATTAAGTTGTATGAATTCTTTATATACTCTAGATATAAATCCTTTATCAGATATGCAAATATTTTCTTCCATTCTATGACCCTTTTACTTTCTTAACAATGTCCTTTGAAGCACAAACATTTTTTATTTTAATTAACTCTAATTTATCTGGGTTTTTTGTTGCTTCTCCTTTTGGTGTCATATTAAAGAATCTTTTTCTGAATCCAAGGTCATAAAAATTTACCTCTGTATTTCTGCTAAGAGCTGTACAATTTTAGTTCTTCCATTTAGCCATTTTATCCATTTTGAGTTCTTTTTTATATATGGCTTGAGATAGTGATCCAACTTCATTTTTTTGGCATGTAGCTGGCCAGTTGTCCCAACAGTATTTGTTGAAAAGACTATTCCTCACAAATTGGTCTTGATATCCTTGTATTAGTCAACCACAGACATAGGTTCCTTCCTTCCTTACTCCCTCCATTCCTCTTCGTTCCTTCCTTCCATTATGTTCAGTTAGCCAACATACAGTATACATCATTAGTTTTTGATGTAGTGTTCAATGATTCATTAGTTGCATATAACACCTAGTACTCTTCACTACATGTGCCCTCCTTAATACCCATTACCTGGCCACACCTACCCTCCACTCCCCTCCATTCTGTAACCCTCAGCTTGTTTCCCAGAGTCCAGAGTCTCTCGTGGTTTGTCTGACATAGGTTTACTTATAAGCTCATTTCTAGTCCATTGATTTATATGTCTTTTCCTTATGTCAGTACCAAATAGACCTGTTATTTCTTTGTACTAAGTTTTAAAATAAGGAAGTGTGAATGGCACCTGGGTGGTGCAGTCAGTTAAGCATTCAACTCTTGGTTTTGGCTCAGTTTGGGATCTCAGGGTAGTGAGATTAAGCCATGGGTCTGGCTCCTTATTTAGTGTGGAGTCTGCTTAAGACCATCTTACCTTCTGATCCTCCCCCCATAAATAAAAAAATCTTTAAAAATAAAATAAGGATGTGTGAATCCCCCTAATTTTCTCTTTTTAAAGACTGTTTGGGCTATTCTGGGTCCCTTGCAATTTCACAGGAATTTTAGAATCAGTTTATTAATTTCTACAAAGAAGTCAGCTACAATACTGATAGGGATTGCACTGAATCATGAATTTGGGATTTTTGTACTTATTTAGATCTTTTAAAATTTCTTTTAATAATAATGTCTTGTAGTTGCAGAGTTTAGGTTTTACACTTCTTTTGTTAAAATTTTCCTAAGTGTTATTATTGCTATTATAAATGGAATTTTTTCTTAATTTCATTTTTGGATTGCTCATTGCAAGTACATAGAAATACAATTGATTTTTGTGTATTGATCTCATATCCTGCAATCTTCCAGAATTTATTAGTTCTAATATTTTTTTAGTGGATTCTTTAAGATTTTCTACATACCAGTTCATGTCACCTGTGAATATAGTTGTACTTCTTCCTTTCCAATTTGGATGCCTTTTTTTTTTTCCTGCCTAATTACATAGGCAACATAGGCTATATAAGAGACATACTAAGACCCCAAATTAACTTGTGTTTGCTTAAAATCTGAGGTTTTTAAAAAATTTATTTATTTGAAAGAGAGAGAGTTGGAGGGGGAGCAGAGGAAGAGAGAGATAAAGAATCTCAAGCAGACTCCCTGCTGTGGTGGAGCCCAACACGGGGCTCGATCTCAAAATCCTGAGATGATTACTTGAGCTGAAACCAAGAGCTGGGCACTTAATTGATTAAGCCACCCAGAAGCCCCTAAAATCTGAGTTTTTAAAATTATATCCTAATAATGGTGTTGAAGATAAAGTTGGGAGATAAGAATGGAAAGGTGGGCTGGAGACCATTCTGTAAATGAAGCTAAGAATAAAAGGCTAAAGACTAGATTTTTACTTAGTAGGTAATAAATAGTGATTTTTATTTAGTATGCAATGAGTAACCAAGGGAATGACTTGGCTACTCCATGGAAGTATTGCTTTCAGAAGATAAATCTGTTAACAATATACACAATGAATTGAAGGAAGAATTTAAAAAGAAGAAAGATAGTTAAAAGTCCTTACCTGCCTAATAGCAGCTGTATAGCTCTGGTATCGTCTTTTGTGTCATGTTTCCAAAATGTATTCTCAGTTGGAGGAAGGAGGTGATCTGCTATGTGGTCTTTAAACTGGTCCCTAGACAAGGCTTTGATTCTGCGGTGTGGAAAAATACTTTTCTGAGTGGCTAATATACAGGAAAAATCTAAATCAGCATTAACTGAGCTAAAAGATAGTACATGGAGATGATTCAACATGGAACACTTAACATCCTTCAGACATAACAACCTTAAATATATACAAAAGTTCACAATTTACAAAGCCCTTTTCTACCTTAGACTCTAATTTCATCTCTGTAAGAGAGGAAGGAAAGAATATCTCCATTATACATATAAGCATGCCAGTTCACAGGGAGCAAAGAATTTAACCATTTACACATTTAGCAAGTACCAGTACTATGTCTAGATTGTGAGTATATAAACTCCTAGTTTAGACTTCCTTTTCACCACATTAAGAATTATTTGCTGAATAAGTCTATAACTTAACAAAAAATATACATCAGCAACAATTAAGAAATGAACTGTTAGGAATCATCTTTATTCTGTAACTTACTGTGTTGAGGCGTTAAGAAAATCTTCTTTCATAGGAGGATGAACTTCATCCAACAACATGCTAGTATCTGGGCTTGATTTCATTGTAGAGATCACCATGGCATTACGCAGTTTATCACCTTGTTCTAACAATGCTGAAGAAGGCAAAAGCAGAACATGGAAAATCTAAAATCCAACAGCAATACCTGCAATATTCAGCGCCTTTCCATCTATGACAAGACTTAACATATTGTAAGACTTAGCATATTGTAATGACCTACCTGTTTTTTTTTTTAAATTTTTTATTTCTTTTCAGTGTAACAGTATTCATTGTTTTTGCACCACACCCAGTGATCCATGCAATCCTTGCCCTCTCTAATACCCACCACCTGGTTCCCCCAACCCCCCACCCCCCGCCCCTTCAAAACCCTCAGATTGTTTTTCAGAGTCCATAGTCTTTCATGGTTCACCTTCCCTTCCAATTTCCCTCAACTCCCTTCTCCTCTCCATCTCCCCTTGTCCTCCATGCTATTTGTTATGCTCCACAAATAAGTGAAACCATGTGATAATTGACTCTCTCTGCTTGACTTATTTCACTCAGCATAATCTCTTCCAGTCCCGTCCATGTTGCTACAAAAGTTGGGTATTCATCCTTTCTGATGGAAGCATAATATTCCGTAGTGTATATGGACCACATCTTCCTTATCCATTCGTTCGCTGAAGGGCATCTTGGTTCTTTCCACAGTTTGGCGACCGTGGCCATTGCTGCTATGAACACTGGGGTACAGATGGCCCTTCTTTTCACTACATCTGTATCTTGCTTTTCCTACTAGTTTGAGAATTTCTTAAGGACACTCATTTTACAATAGACAGTTTACAGAGCTTCTATGAGAGGACTGTTTTAAATGCTGGCATTACAGCAGTGAATGGAGTTTGTTCTGGAGGGAGGTCAGTCTCCAGAGTTGTTATACAATGGGAAACATTACATGAATGCACTGACTTTTTCAATTGGTTTTTATACATATTAAAATTAATAATGTCTACATAATTTATTTTTATATCCAGAGACCATACTGAATTCTATTATTTGTAATAGTTAATGTCACTATTATCCAAAAAACACTAACCTCTATACCAGTTATAACTTTTAGAAGCTACAGTGTTTACCTATTCCAAATTCATATTTTTATGAAGAATGCCAAAAAATTTCCATGACTTGTCTAAGATGATACAGCAGTTAATAGAAAAGCTAGGATGAAGTCTTCAGACTTTCTGATAAAATCTACCCAATCCCTGAGTAAAAATAACAATAACAACAGCAATAATAATTTACTGAACTCTTAAACACATGCTGGGCACTACTCTGTGTATATTATATTAAATATATTCACTCATTTATTCCTCCTAACAGTTCTCTGAGATGGATACTACTATTTCATCTTCTAGATTAAGAAAATTGAGACAGAGAGGATATATAACTTGCTCAAGTTATACACACCGTATAACCAGAATGATCACAGCCTATAATTTTATTTATTGTTATTATTTTTTAAGATTTTAGCTTTTTCAGTAATCTCCATACCCAGTGCAGGGCTCAAACTCACAACCCTGAAATCAATAGTCTCATGCTCCACCAAACTGTCCCAGCTCGGTGCCCCACATCCTATGATTTTAGTCACTATACTACATATAACCCCACTTTAGTTCTTAGACATCTTTTAAAAAGCTTAGGGCCAGTGGCATTATTCCAAGGAACAGTGGGAAATATTTTTTTCTTGAGGTTCCACAGTTGCTTTGGAGGTAACTGAGACTAGACACCAATTGTCCATTCTCTTAGTCTAGAGTTTTATAGCTTCTAAAATGAAAGAAGATATAGGGGCACCTGGGTGGCTCAGTTGGTTGGGTGGATGTCTAACTCTTGGTTTCTGCTCAGATCATGATCTCAGGGTTGTGGGATGGAGCCCCACCTAGGGCCTGTGTTGGGCATAGAGACTGCTTTGGATTCTCTCTCTGTTCCCCCACCCCTCAGCACCCTGTCCTACACACATATGCACACATGCACTTCCTCTCAAGAAAGAAGGAGGAGGAGGAGATGATGATGATGATGATACGGTGGTCAGGCCAAGAAAAAAAAAAGAAGCCAAGAAGATCCATAAACATCTAACATTTGTTAGTACAAAGAATTCAAAATCTATCTTACAAAGTAAAAAAAAAAAAAAAAAAAAAAATCTGAAATATCACATATTCAGTGACAATACAACTAAATTAAAAGAAAATAAAGATCAACCATTTAGAATTCTAAGATAATTCTCCCCAAGATTCCCGACTCTAGTGTACATATATCTCCTCTCTGATTAAAACACTCATCTAAAGGTACTGCTTTAAAGGGATTTTACAGATGTAAAATCAGTTCCAAATCAGTCAATCTTAAGATAGTGACATCATTTTGGTAGTCCAAACATTTTAAAAGCAGAGTTTTCTCTGGCCATTTGCAGGTTATGTCAACAGAGATTTGAAGCACGAGAAAGATTTAATGTATCATCACTGTCTTGAAGATGGAAGGGACCACGTGGGAAGAGATGCAGGTGGCCTCTAGGAAGCTAACAGTGGCTTGCAGCTTATAGCAAGGAAATGGGACCTCAGCCCTATGACTGCAAATAACTGAATTCAGTCAACAAGAATGAAATTGGGACTGCATTTTTCCCCAGCACTTACAGATGAGAATTTAGCTTGGTCAATATCCGATACCTTAAGCAGAAAACCTAACCATACCTTGTTGGACTTCTGAGCCACAGAACTGTGAGCTAATAAGTGGATGTTGTTTTAACCCATTAAATTTGTGGTAATTTGTCATGCAGCAACAGAAAACTAATATGTCCATTAATGCCACTATCCCGGAATATTCTTATAGTTTTTTAAATCTATGCATAAATACACATGTATTTATATATATATTTCCTTTTTTGCAAAAACATGTATACGGTTTTAAAATTGTTTTTCACTTAATATACATTAACTTTTTTCTATATAAATAATGGCTGCACAAATTCATTCAGAATTCATTGTATTTTTTATTCAAGATTTTATTTACTTATTTGACAGAGAGAGAGAGAGAGCACAAGCAGGTGAAGCAGCAGAGGGAGAGGGAGAAGCAGACTCCCCGATGAGCAGGAAGCCAGGGTCTGGGGATCACAACCCAAGCCGAAGGCAGATGCTTAACCAACTGAGTCACCCAGGCGCCCGTTTTTTTTTTCTTTTTAATCTCTGAGATTCAGCCAAAAAATGGCTATCTTGTTTACTCAATGAGAAAGGGTAAGGAAAACATGGTCTTGCTAGCATTGGAAATTTGGCTGAAGATTGCTATGTGACCAGAAACTTTTAGTTTCTAGTTGGCCCTTGGCTTTACTCAATATAAAGTTCTTCAAACGAGGTGGGCACATTCAAATGTTTTATGAATAAAGTGGATAATAACAAGCTGTGTTGATAATAAACCTCACCTGACTTCAGGACCATGAGGAAAACCAGTTTTTCTATCAATACTCAAAATGTTTTTGGAGAGATAATATCCTTGGTTCCTTAACCATACCCAACTATCTTCAACTCCTTAAACACAATACTTCCTTTGTATTCTCAAAGCTCTGGGTATTTAATTCCATCAAATAATTTCTCACTCGGTATTATAACTGTCTATCTCATCCAAAGAACTTTGAGACAAGGGATTGGTTCTTGTTGATTTTTGTATCATCAGTGTCTCATACAGTGCCTAGTATATATCAGGCATTTAATAAAATGTTCTTCCACTGTTGCTTATATCAGATGTAATTGTACTGTATCTGCTTTAGAGTCAGTTTCCTTTACTAGACTGAATTTCTTAAGGTCAAAGACTGTATTTTATTTATCACTGCAACCCCAATACTCAAAACAATGACTAACCTAAAAGACTGGTCAGTGTTCTGTTTTGACTCACTCAAATGTTACTTCTTGAATTAAACTGGGCTTGAAGTTTTTATCCCATTAAAAAATTCCTCTGGGAATGGTAATATTTCAAAAGGGACTTAAACAGTCATTTACATCTAAATGGTAAAAAGTATTTAAGATTCTTTCCAAAAGCAGGTTTTAAAAAGGAAATAAACATTGAGGAAAACAAGTAGGACAAATCTGAGCACAGGTGGTCCATTCACTAGCCTCCAAGTGGTTTGGCTGTTGAAACAGCCATTCTTGGAAAAGATTTTCTAAAGTTTGAGGCATGGTAACAAAAAAACATCTGACCTCCCCTTCTCAAGGGAAGCTGGTACCTACACTCTAAGAGCTGTCATGGCACCAGCCTGTACTTCAACTCAATAATCACTCCCTGAACACAAAAGAAGGCACCCAGGTGAGTCCAGGACAAATGTTTCCCTTGTTTATTACCCACATGCCTCAGGCACAGCTCCTGTTAAACACAAGGAGATGAACAGCTTCTGGTTTTTGGTCCAACTCCTTGCTATCTATTCCAAACCCAATTCTCAAAAGCAGGATGTGTAGTTTGTTTAATATATACTAGCTGGTTCACTAATTCAGCCCTGTACCCCTTTTCTGGAGTCATGTCAGTCCAATAAAGACCAGGAAGATATTTATATTTAAGTATTTGTTAGATCCCTCTCACAATCTCAGCTCTAGACCTACTTACTAGTATGAGCCACTTAATCTTAGTCTTCCAGAATCTTGTGGCTGGAAGGGATCTTAAGAGATCCTATCTGTCCATTTGATGATTCAATACAATCTGTAAAAGTCCTGACAGGATGGTTAGCTAGCTCCTCTTTTCCGGGGATAGAGAATACACTACCTCTTGAAGCTGTCCTTTCCCATTCTGCACAGGTGTTATTATTAACTCAGACTGAGTCATAATCTGTCTTGTTACATCTGTAAGCCAACTGATCCTCATAACTCTCAGGGAAGAGGCTGCACACTGGCAGCCCGTGGACTGTACTTGTCATATTTTGTTTGGCCTTAACAGTTGGCCAGCAAAGTCTTGATTTAAGGAAAAAAGAAAAAAAAAAAAAAAAGGCTGGCTTAGGTAAACAATGAACTTACAGTAGGATAAAGTAGAGGACCTTACCTTAGAGTCTAACTAGAGCTGAAGAGCAGCTTCCCCTTTGATAGGACAGGAGCTTCCCAAATCTGAGCCTGTGTTTTCATTTTAGAATGGTGATAACAATCCCTACCTCACTTGGTTTTTGTAAGATTATGTGTATAAGGCACCTGGCATAGTAGTTAGCATACAATGAATGCTCACTAAATGGTAGCCTCTTGTGAAGATAAATATCTCTTGGTAGTCCTTTCATAAACGTAGTTATTTTCCTTAAAAGGAACTCATTTTCTTTAGATCTTTACTCTCATATTACCTTCTTAATGAGGTTTTCCTTTGCCAACCTATGTAAAACTAACATCCCCTCCTCTTATGTGCCCTGCTTCATTTTTTTTCCCACTGCCATTATCACCATCTAACCTACATACTTACTTATTTATCCAGTTTATCATTGGTCTTCCCATCTAGGATATAAGATCCATAGGGCAGAAATTTGTTTTTGTTTTCATTTAAATTACTGTATTCCTGAAGCCTAGAAGAATGCCAGACATTTGATAGGTACTAAATAAGTAACTGCTTAATGAGTGAACAAATAATCTTTCTCAAAGTCTGTTGCCTAAGCAAAATATTGCAGGTGTGAGCTGACAAGTACAAGCAGTATAGTAAAATGGAACAATTTGTTCTTGTTAATGTAGCCTAGGATTGCACTGAAGGTTAAAATTAATACACTATCTAAGAGACTCTTAACTATAGGAAACAAATTAAAGGTTGCTGGAGAGGAGGTGGGTGGGGGGGATGGGGTAACCTGGGTGATGGGCATTAAGGAGGGCACTTGATGTAATGAGCACTGGATGCTATATGCAACTGATAAATCACTGAATTCTACCTATGAAACTAATAATACACTATATGTTAAATAATTGAATTTAAATAAAATTTAAAAATAAAAAAGATTATAATCAGAGTATATTTTAAAAAAGGGGATCACAGACATTTCAGTTGAAAATAAAAAAAGGGAACAGAATGTCTTTCTTCATGAAGAAAATATCCTTACTAATGTAAATTTTGTACCCAAATAGTTATTTTAGAGATTTTTCTACTAATGCTGCAGATACTCTACTTTGGAAATTTACTAGTAAGGATGGAGACAAATCCCCATCATGCTCCTGATGTCAAACAGATAAATGGTTGAGCATCACATAACATAAGGCATCTCAATTGCTTTTATAATATCACCTCTAAATAATCCTTTTTGGATTTATTTCAGTTTAAGCCCTTATACAAGTAAACTGACACCTTTCTACTTCTGCTTGGCTGTAAGTCATATTTAATTCCCAGACTTAAGATCAGCAGTTGCTGTGCAATGAAGGTTCCCACTGAGACCAAAAATTTTCAGGACATGAAGCAGATTTGGTACTTGCCTCTGCACAGGAGTGCAAGTAAATCTCCTGATGAGATAAAAACTCTATTTGCCTTGAATTATTTGGGAAAAAAATAAAGAATAATATTTCTCTATGATAAACTTTCCCCCTGTATCCAGGTTCATTTTAAATGGCTCCTTCCCTAAACCTACAATTTTAAGTACCTAGTATTTATTTAGAAGTAACTTATTGGTTTAAAAGAGCTGCCTTTAAATGGTGAGCAATTCAGAACTTCAGTGAGATCACTCACTTTTATTTGGTTATTTATTTCAAACAGAAGTCTTGGTTCTCTTTGAAGACTGGCTGACAAGCAGAGTAGTCCCAATAAATATAGCTTAGTCTTGGTTCACAGATACATACATACCTGAAAGAAGGTCCTTGGTAGGGGGGTTGTTTGAAGAAAGAATGCATGAGTCACTGCGACTCTTGGCCACTGTCCTAATTTGAGGCTGGAATTCAGAACTGTTAAGAAGGGACATCTGCTTCCTTGGGGCCTTGCCTTTCAGAGTCATAGACTCTAAACTCTGTCCTGAATTAAGATGGTGTTGTAGTCTGAAGAAAGAGTCCTTTATTGTATCAGAGTTCTCTGCAAAGTACAAGTGGTCCTTTCCCCTGTTATAAAATAAAGGAGAACTTTAGCAATATATTACCCATTGTGGTAACATTTCACTGTCAGAAACAGAAAGTGTATCAGTAGTTTATAGCAGTGTAGACTGCTTCGACTTTGTAAATCTGTTTTTCATCTCCCAAATGAAATAAATAATAGATGTTTTATCTACAGTTGTATGGTTGTGGCTGAAGTGAGACAATGAAATAGAGAGCTCAGTTGGGGCACCTGTGTGGCTCAGTCAGTTAAGTGTCTGACCTTGGTTTCGGCCCAGGTCATGATCTCAAGTCACGAGATCGAACCTCATGTTGGGCTCTGCGCTCAGCAGAGAGTCTGCTTGAAGATTCTCTCCCTCTGCCCCTCCCCTCACTTGTGCACATGCAAGTGTGTGTCCTCTCTCTCTCAAATAAATAAATCTTGAAAAAAGAGAAAGAACTTAGTGCAGAGCCCAACACAAAGCAAATGCTTTGTAATTATTTAAAATAAAAATCTAGGGGTGCCTGGGTGGCTCAGGTGGTGATTTCAGAGTCCTGGAATCTAGCCCTGCATCAGGCTCCGCAGGGAGCCTGCTTCTCCCTCCCTTTGCCGCTCTGCCTGCCTGTGCTCGCTCTCTGTCAAATAAATAAATAAAATCTTAAAAACAAACAAACAAACAAACAAACAAACCTATTTCTCTTACTCGATCCTGTTTCATGAACTACTGCCCTTTCCCTCTTTTTCCCTCATGGGCATCTATCATGGCATCTGTTTATGACTTAGTTATACCTATTTATCTGTACAATGGCCTCCCCACCAGATTGTGAGCAGTCCTCAAAGACAAGAATTGTGTCTTATTAATTTCTATGCCTAGTACTTGGTACTAGACCAGGCACACAGTGGGTACTTAATATTTGTTTGCTAAATGAATGACTACTTTCAGTCTTTCATCCAAACACAAATAAAAAACAGAAATTATGAAGTGGGAGTTAGCTGAAAGACTGGTAATTACCTCGGAGTGGTTGATCTACTACTGTTAGCTGCTAACTCTTTTCCATCAATTTTGGTGGTAGGCATCCTATGGGGCCTTGATGGAACCAGAAACTGGCTACTGCTGGGTTCAGTATATTCTCTGAATTCCTGCTCAGATAAAAGCACATTTTCTTTCACATCGGTGGCTGGAAGAGGGCTATAGCTGTCATAAGTTTCTGACAGAGGCTCCAGGGCAAGAGAGACCTGAAAGAGACAAACATGTAATACACCAGAAATTTTCTTTTGCATTGACTAATTTTAAGACTCCCTGCTTAATATAAATGAATAGTCCCCATTCCTTGTAGGATCAAGTTCAAATTCCTGCAGAAGCCTCATCTCTTGCTTTGCTCTCCTCCTCCTTTCCTCTCTCCCAGATATACCAATCATTTAAGGTTCTCTCAATGTACCTTATGTTTCATTCCCTTAGGCCTTGTATATGCAATTTCCTCCAGTATTACTTTCTTTGTAAAAATTTGTTTTTAATTCTTTCAAGATTTTTATTTATTTGAGAAAGAGAACACAAGTGGGGTTAGGGGTGGGTGCACAGAGGGAGAAGCAGACTCCCCATTGAGCAGAGGGCCAGACTTAGGGCTTGATCCCTGGACCCTGGGATCATGACCCAAGCTGATGACAGATGCTTAATCAAGTAAGTTACCAGGCCTCCCTGTGAAAACTTCTCTGTGCCCAGGTAGAGACATCATGGCCGCTCCCTTCTTTACGTTTCCACTTCTTCTGTGTCTACCCAACAATATAACCCCCATTTATTGAACTCTTTACTATAGGCCATAAGGTATGCTAAGTTCCTCACACGGAGAAGCTCATGTGATGATATAACTCCATCAGGAACGTATAATATTCTATTTGAAGATTTAAAAAAAAAAGCTTATAGGAGGTATTTGTAACTTTAGTTTATTCACTACCCTGATTAGGTTAATTCATTGAAGGCATGCACTTGTCTTTTTCATTTTTGTATGGACTAATCAGCACAATAAACACTTGGCATACAAGTCTATTATGCTTAATAATGTCTAATTATTATGTCTGATGAATAAGAGAATAACAACACCTTCTACATCCTTACTGTTGGTTATTTAAGAAAAATAAGACCCTAGTTCTATGCTAGATATAGGCAGGGTAAAGAAGGAGAAACATTAATATGAAAAGAAATCACTTGAAGTTTCTTTTATCATCTCATTCCTGTGAGATCCGGTTCTCTATTAAATGGCTCTCCAGTCCTCTGAAAAGCCTAATGGAAGAACGAAGCCTAAAAAAATAGAGTCTAAAGCAAAACTTTAGGAAAGAAGTTGAAGAATATACTGCAAAAGAAAAGAGTAATGGTGTTGAAAGTTCTATTATAATGACGGAGAAAGCAGAAGGCACTGTTCCAGCAGCCCAAGTCAAATAATGATGAAGGGCCTAACATAAAGAGGAAAGGTTGAAGTTAGATATTTCAAGATGTCTCTTGAAAGGTCAGTGGGATAATTTGTGCAGAGAAAGTGCCAAGGTCCAGACTCAATAAAATAACACTTGGGTCTTGATGAGAATTTTGTCCTTGAACAGTTAACATAAAGTCCTTTAAATCTATTCACCACCAAGATTTTTTTTACAAAGACAAATGACAGGAATGCAGTAGGATAAATATTCTGTGTAGTGATCACTATAATAGCATCACATAAAGTCCTGGCTGCCTAATGTAAATGTCAGAAAGTATTCCCTTACCATTCATCATTTCCCAAAAAACTGCCTCTATATTTTATAAACAGAGAAGACACTGAGAATAAAGGCATATGTCCCTGGCCTTAACAATGACCTGCTGTCTGGCTACTGAGTTTTGCTTTTCCTCTAAGCAGATCCAAACCAATCACAAAACAGATCATAGGCCTATACTACCAGTGACCCTTAAAGAGATAAGTAAGTCCAGGTACCTGCCAGACCAATCTTACAATCAAAACATGTGCCAGCCTAACTTCTCTACTCAATTAACAAATATCTGTTGATACTAGCTTAGTGCCAGGCTCTGTGCTACCTGCCTGAGGCAAAGAGATGAATAAAACATGGAGCCTGACTGGGAGGATGGTGGTATCTTGTAGAGGAACTTAAAGAGACTAATTTTAATTTAAAATGGTTTACTCTGAGATAGGGGTGTGTATCAGGCGGTAAGAGAAAAAGGGGTCTGAAATTGGGGAAGAGGTGAGGAAGGAGTGCCATGGTTTCCAGAAGTGAAACATAAACATCTGGATTTAGAATCTTAAATATGAATAGTACAGGTAAGGCTGAGGGAGATTGAGGTAAAACATACCAGCAGAGGGAAGAGCACGAGTCAAACTTTAAAGGTATAAAATATTGTTCCAGCAATTCCTACAATTCCAAGGGATTGCCACTCCTAACCCCCTGCTTTCACACAAAATACTCCTATATTCATCTTCCAGATCATCATTCTTGTCCACCTCAGTCATGCTCCCCTCCCCCAATCATGTTCACTCTTGTGCTCACTCCTCTGCCAACCTCTTCATGGAGCCCTGTAGGATTTCTATTTACATAAACTACTTTACCACTTCAACTGAACATCTCTTTCTTAAAATGTCCCAATTTTTCCAAAGTCTTCTGTAATGGAAACTCTTTCTTTTACTAGCCAGGATAAAGGAAGTGCCTTTCTGCTGCTTTCCCAGACCATCATTCTGTCACCTAAAGATTTCGCATCTTTTCAGAAGCCCATGCCATCCACAAATACCACAAATTTACCATAAGATTCTCACATCCATAATAGAGCAACCCTAGGGACATTTACCATTCTTCTCAACGACTCAAGGCTCTCTTTAGCACTAAGCTGCCTACAATCACTGACTACAACATCTATCAGTATCAATGATAGCACATTAGTATGCCTATTTTTCAGACTTATGCTGGCCAACATGGCATTTAAAAAAATATAAAAATTATTTAATTATTTAAATGGTATTATTTAAAATACCAGAGTTTACGTAAAATTTTGGAATTCTGGTTCTCTTAAAAATTCAGAAACTCCAATGGTGCTAGATCTCCATTTCAATGTGGCAAAAATTAGCTGAAGCAGACTAGTGACTTTAGTCAGGGCACATGTTCCAATCTGAAAAGTCCCCAGCCGTGTCCCAATGAGGTGGAGTGATAACTATTGTTTATCATCCCACGTGGTCTGCCGGGCTTTTAAAAATTCTACTATCTTACAATAAAATGGATATTTCTGTGTTTATACATTTTTATAAATTTTAACCTATCGACAGATGCATGTAACCATCACCATAATCAAGATAGAGAATAATTCCATTAACCCAAAAAACTCCCTGGGACTATCCCTCTGTAGCCACACTCTCTCCTCACCTTTAATCCCTAGAAACATCTGATCTATTCTCAACCATTATAGTTCTAGCTTTTTGAAAATGTCATACAAATGGAACTATATAGTATGTAACCTTTTGAGATGGGCTTCTTTCACTCAGAATAAGGCCTCTCAATGTGGAGAAAGGAGAACCATCTTACACTGTTTGTGGGAATGCAAGTTGGTGCAGCCAATTTGGAGAACAGTGTGGAGATTCCTTAAGAAATTAAAAATAGAGCTTCCCTATGACCCTGCAATGACACTACTGGGTATTTACCCCAAAGATACAGATGTAGTAAAAAGAAGGGCCATCTGTACCCCAATGTTCATAGCAGCAATGGCCACGGTCGCCAAACTGTGGAAAGAACCAAGATGCCCTTCAACGGACGAATGGATAAGGAAGATGTGGTCCATACACACTATGGAGTATTATGCCTCCATCAGAAAGGATGAATACCCAACTTTTGTAGCAACATAGACGGGACTGGAAGAGATTATGCTGAGTGAAGTAAGTCAAGCAGATAGAGTCAAGTATCATAGGGTTTCACTTATTTGTGGAGCATAAGAAATAACACGGAGGACATGGGGAGATGGAGAGGAGAAGGGAGTTGAGGGAAATTGGAAGGGGAGATGAACCATGAGAGACTATGGACTCTGAAAAACAATCTGAGGGTTTTGAAGGGGTGGGGGGCGGGAGGTTGGGGGAGGCTGGTGGTGGGTATTATGGAGGGAACGTATTGCATGGAGCACTGGGTGTGGTGCATAAACAATGAATTCTGTTACACTGAAAAGAAATTAAATTAAATTAAAAAAAAAAAAAAGAATAAGGCCTCTCAGATTCATCAACATGGTGCGTGTATCAGCAGTTCATGCCTTTTTACTGACTTGGTAGTATTCTATTGTTAACATGGCTTATCACATTGGTTGACTTTCAAAGACCGAGATAGCCTTGCATTGTTGGTACAGACCCCACGTGGATATGGTCTCATTACTCTTTTTATATACTACTAGACTCAACTTGCTAATATTTTTTTGAGAATTTTTAGGTTTATTTTTAGGTCTAGATCTTAAACTGTCCTCTATTTTGCTATCAAAGTGGTGTAAGCCTCATAAAATAAGTCAAAAAGTATTTTCTCCTGTTTTATTTTCTGGAAAAGCTTGTGAAAATCAGTGCTATCTCTTTTTTTAAAATGTCTGCAAGAATTCACTAGTGAAATTATCTTGGCTTAGAGATTTCTTTTTTGGAAGGATTTAAACTGCAAAAGCAATTCTTTAATAGTTACAAGTCTAGTCAGGTTATATATTTTATCTTGAGTGATTTTTGGTAGTTTGTGGTTTTCAAAGAATTGATCGATTTCATCTAAATCATCAAACTTTTGTGTATAGAGTTTATACTATTCCCTGTCTTTGGGATTCTGTGGGCTATGGTCTCTCTCACATTAGAATCAAGAGGAAAGTAAAATATTTCTTGCATCCAAGAAAGAACTAGAGCCCCATGATTTTCAAAAGAAATGTCAGAATGCATATTTCTTTGTGGAAGAGAATATCCCTAATGGTGAAATAAAGCAAAAAAAATGTGACTGTCAAAAACAGCATTATGAAACAAAGTACAATAGGATTATAATTACTTAGTAGAAAAGATGCATGATAAAAATGGAATAAACAGAAAGGTACTGATTTTAAATAGGGTTTGTTTTTTAAATACCAATAAAATAAGTGGTACTCTTGTGACATAAAATCAAATATTTAAGATAAAAAACTTTATAAAGTATCGAAGTCTCTTATAAATGGCAACATTTATTAAAGAATGTAACAATTTGTGAATCATAAACATTTGCATATGTAGGTC